TGCATCCTCATCGCTTTTGGCCCGGACGGGTGCGAAGAGCAGGCCGCTGCCGATGCCAGTCAGAGGTCGGAGAGAAAACTGGGGAAACGGCCGGCGGAACTGGAGCAGCAGCAGCCTCAAGACGAGCATTGGCACATGTGCGACGGCTGCTTCAAGAAGCCGGTTCCCCCTGGCGAGAGGAAATGCCCAGGCTGTGTGGCCCGGCTCGCCCTGCTGCGTCGTATGCAGAATATGTGCGTCATTTGCGAGCGCAAACCCGCTGTCGGGGGCCAATCCTGCTGCAGCGACTGCGAAGTCCAGGGTAGTCTTGGCTCAGGCGCCACCACAATGGCTACTTCTGCGGTGTGCAACGCTTGCGGGTATTACGTTGACGAGACTATAGATGGGCTTTGCTGCGGCTGCCGTGCGTCTCGTGCGTCCACGAGCGCGGCCGTAAGCAGAGAGAGCCGAAGGTTTTATGACGATTAGGGCCCGATGCACACACACGCCCGAGGTAAGATGGCCTTTGCTACAGAAGTACAGAAGTCAGTAGACGAAAACTTTTGTAGTCCTCTCTAATAAACAGAATCCGTCGAGGTCGGACAACATATCACAAATATCCCGAGGCTGTGCTCAGGGCAGCCTGCGCGGAGGAACAACTGGCCTAAAGAAGACTGACAAGGTTCTCGGAAGAAAAACGTTCATGAGTATCGACTACGGTGGGTTCTTGCATTTAGAAAATGGATGAGGTAGTTTGGTCGCGTTCAAGCGTTGCGGTAAGCTTGGATAGAGATCAAGTCCTAGGTCGTTGGACTCTTCAAGGCGCAGTCCCGCAACGAGCCTTCTGTCTTCTCCAAATGCACCCGACGTTTGATAATGGACAGGTGACAATATGGTCTTTGAATCATTTCATAAAGGGAACTGGCACCGGCAGGGATAGAGATATGCAAAATGGCCAAGCCGTGCCGGGTAATTGTCGTCCGGGTCTTTGTAGTGGGCAGGTTAGACAATCGTACGTTTGCCTGGCTTTCGTAGAATCCCTGTTGAAGATCAGAGATCACACGAAAAACATACATTGCGGGATACAGACGAAGAGTTCTTTGGGGTGAACAACTTTGCTTTTTAGAAGAAGAAAACATATATGCTGATAGCCACAAACATCTTGAATCATGTACGCCGGCGCCCCTGGCAATGGACTAGGCGTAAAATAACAGGTACCGACACTAACCCCTCTACATCCCGTTTGCGCGTCTTCCACCGCGTTTACTCCTCTCAATGTGACCCTGCAACACCTTGCGCGTCTGCACCAAACTCCTCTTGTTCTTGTGCTTGGCCTTGTTCAGCGTCATCAAGAAGTTCTTCTGGCGCGCCTTCTCCTTGTTCGTCGTGCTCTTGCCCTCGGCGTCCTTCTTGGACCGGCGGATGGCCTGCGTCGACTTGTGCTCCTCGCGGCCCGGCTTGCCCTCCTTGGCCATGGCCACCCTCTCCTCCTTGGTCGTCTTGCGCAGCCTGGCCGGCGCCTCGATCTGCTCGGCGGTGAGGCCGTCGTCGGCGTGCCGGGCCAGGGCCTTCTCTATCTCCTTCTGGCGCTTCGAGGAGCGGTTGCCCAGCGTCTTGTTCAGGCTGGCTTCCATGCGCAGCTCCTGGAGCTTCTGGAGGTCGGCGGGCGTGAGGATGGTGGTCGTGGCCAGCTTTTGTATCCTCTCGATCTCGGCAGCGCTATCCTCGTCGTCCTCGGAGTCGGATCCGTCCTCGCCTGTCCGGCGCTTCTTCGGCGCCGGCTCGTCGTCTTCGTCTTCCGAGTGGCTGACGTTGATCCATCCACCCGAGTCATCGCTGTCGTCGGAGTCCACTTCCCAGTCTTCCGAGTTGTAACCGTCCTCCTCGTCTTCCTTGTCGGAGCCGTCCTCGGGAAGACCCTTGGCAGCACGCTTCAGCTTGCGCTGCTCCTCCTTCCACTTGGCCAGCAGCTCAATGCCCTCGATACCTCCAACCTCTTCCTCTCCAAACCTCTTCGTCTTTATCTCGCCGCTCCTCAGGCCCATGGACGCGTCCTTGCCTCTGTCCTTCTTCATCAGCATGTCCGCGCCGACCTCTCTGTACAACGACAAAAGACCCTTTGCGGCCATCATGGTTCCCTTGTCTTTGCTCTTTCGGTACTGGACAAGATCCTGTAGCAGCGTGTCGGTCATGGCTAGGGGCTGTCTCGCGCAAATTTCGCGGATGGCGTTGAGACCGGCGGCGGCAACCTCGGCGGCGGCGGCTTCTGACACAAACTCATTGGCTATCTTCTGGATAAGAGGCTCGACAGCATCCGGGGGGACCAGGTTATGTGTTCCCTGGGCGAGCGAGGCCAGGTAAGAGGTGACGGACTCTTGACGAGGCGTGAGGAACTTGATGAACCACGAGTAGAGGCTGATGATGGTCAGCTTATGGAGACCGACCAGTCTCGTCACCAGCTGCAGGACCAGTAGTTTGTTCTCATGCGCCATCTTGGTCTTGGTGTTCTGCAAGTGCTTCTGGAAAACGGTCTCGGCAAAACCCTGAGGGTCATGCAAGAGATGAAAGGCCGAGAAGTTAAGCGGGTGAGGCTTGGCCTTGCTGCGCTCCTGCTTGTGAACCTTGGCAACGGCCTTCTTATAGGCGTTGGCCTGCTTCTTGGATTTCTTGTTGATTCCGATCTGATGCTTTATCTTCATCAGGTCAATCGCCTCCTCGTCACTGCTGTCGTCCTCCAGCTCCTCGCGCTCCTTATCTCCACCAAGGAAGAACCGCACGGCACCAATGACAACCTTTTCGTTATCGGACAGGGCCGCCTCCTTCATGACGTCGACAGTCTTGGCATCAGTCCAGATCTGACGCTTCCACAGCTCGCGTGTGAGCTTCACGGCCCAGATACCCTTGGGCGAGGTGCGGTCGGCTGTGATGAGGTTGTAGAGGACAGTCTGGATGGTACGGTTGAGGGGGTGGTTCGTAGCTTTGGCGTTCGCATTGCGCATCTCGGTGAGGATCTTCTGGAAGAGGAGCGTTCGCAGCGTCTTGCTTGGCGAGGAAACGAGGATTGGGAACAGCGTCGTCAGGAAGCTCGTCGAGTCAATGACTTCCTTCTTGCGGAGAAGTGCCAGACTTCCGACAATCTTCTCGCGCAGCTCGGGGTGCAGGACCTCGTGGTGCTGCAGCAGGATGGCCTTCAGGTCATCGGGGAAGGCAACGGCGTGTTTCGGGTACAGGTCCACGGTGTGCGCGAGAAGGTCGACGAGGTTGTGAAAGGACTCGGTGTATTCTCTCGTCGCGGTTGTCGGCGAGCCGAGGAAGACCTCGCGCTGACTCTCATATTGGCCCCATTGCTGGAGGAAGTTCTCCTCGTACGACTTGGGGTCGCGGCGGATCTTGTACTGCAGGCTCGCGCTGTAACGATTAGCAATTGGCGTACATAGCTGATCAGATGAAGGCTTACAAGTCTACATCGACCTTTTCCAGGGCGGTGACCTTGCGCTTTCCCATGATCGCTGTCTGCTTGGATTAAGTCGGGCGTGTATGGGGGTGTCTGAGCGACGGCGCGGGGAGTTGCGTTGCCCGTCAAAAAATCTCAAATGGAACTTTTTGCATCTTATCGTTATCTTATCTATATCTTGGATATTCTTATCGTCTTATCTAAGCGTGTGGGGCAGACCCTGACGGAGCCATGCCGGGAACCGGCAACTCTGGACCGGCATTACCCTGATGACGATCGAGGGATGAAGCACGGCGGATTTCACGGTGAAGAGAGGCCAACGGCACGCCAGCAAAGACACATCTTCACGATGCGAATCTCCGCCGTCATTTCACCGCTAGCTTCGTGCCATTCTGCAAATCGTGACGAGGACTATGTTGTAGGTTAACACCTTAGACAGTAAATGCCTGCGACGAGCAGCGATCCGTCGGCTACATAGAGTATCATGTGAATCAATAAGTCGTTGACTACAATCCCTCAGTCTCTCTGTGAAAATGATCTCTAGCATCGATTTCTCTTTGCTCGTGCAAATTCCCACGCAAGAGCCGCATACACAGCTCAAGCCCGGTGGCTACTCGCCGACAACACCGTGGCGTCGTTATGAGCACAACACCCACGAGGGGACGGCCATTTCAAGGCGATATTGCAAATGAGACTAGGCCAGCTACTTGACTGATCCTTAATTCTCTCCAATATCTCCATGATCAAGTGCAGGATGATGCCCCAATTAGAAATGAACATGTAATAGCACATATATATTCAACCAGACCTGCAGCAGCCAGCAGCCCGCAATGAACAAGATGGTAATGCCATTACCAACGAGTTGGACAACAATACTGAGCAGGCAACTCTTCCGTATGGCGCTTTACGGGAGTTGTTGATGAGACCCTAAGGCTTCACTGGCTAAAGGGCCCTACCGTAGCCTGCTTCTTAGGTACCACAACAGGTGGCTGGCTTCAGTCGTGTTTGTCACAATGCATATTGATACCCAATGTGATAAGCAAATTAGGCATCTATTCACCTCATTAGCACTTACATGTCTTCGGGAAGGTATTGATTTCTCGTCAATTTATCTAAAGCCGCATGCTCCCATCTGTTTCAACCAACTCAGAAGCACCAACGAGTACACAAATACAGGCGCACCTTGAACATCCTTGCTCATCATATCAACCCAACAGATTTGACCATAACTCTGCTCACGTCGCCTTCTGCAATCTACCGGTAAGCGGCAAGTCTTCCATCATTAATGCCCTCAGAGCCCTACGCAACAACCATAGAGGCGCAGCAAGGATCGGTACAGTCGAAACAGCTGTCGAAAGAACCCGGTACGTGGGGCATTCAAGCTTCGACCCCCTCGCGCTGTACGATATCCCGGGATCTGGAACACTGAGCTTAACGTCTTAGGGGTACTATGATGCCCAAGAGCTGTACTTGTTCCATGCGTTGCTAATCGTCTGGGGAGAAAGGCTTGGAGATGTGAGACATAATTATGCACTTTGAATTGCATCTTGTGACGATACTATACTGTGTCTTCGAGCTACCTGTTCAACTATCACGAGCGACATCTAACCGTGTGGGCATGTTGAGCTAAATATCAGAGCCTGCATGTGAAATCGACGGCGATTTTACCTCGTACGCTCGAGGTCCGACGAGTTAATCCGCCGCATTGAAGACGACTGAGGATTTGAGGACACAGCCAAAGGTGACCCTGAAGCAAAAAGAATCCTTGAGAGCACGACGGCTACTGCATTGAAACGCGAGATGCCCCGGGCTAACGTTCCGGATACGCTCATACACGAGTTTTTGTCCATTGCATTGTAGTAAATAAGAACGACCTTCGCGAGCTTTCTTCGAGGCCCTCTGCCATCAGAAGATTAGCAGAGCCATCACCAGGCTGATAGAAGATGATAACCATTGCGAATGAGGGAAACGCAACAGTATTTATGCCTTCGAATTCAGGATAACGTCGCAATTTTGTCCAAAAGCGGAATCGGGGCCAGCAGGAAGCTACATCTAGCTGAATAGTTTGGACTATGGAAGAGTACTTTTGATTACAGATAAGCAGATCGTGCCTACATTGTAATCCGAGAAATCTTGATGGGTATCGTCGAAGCAATTGATAATTTAATTCTTCGACCAGGCTTAATACTATCAACGTTAAGATCATTTTAGAAAGGATGTTGAGTTGATCATTTATGAGAGACAACCCTGTATCACATTACATACTATGAGGGGTACTGTAGGACATTGAGGTATGGTAACACAGGTTTTGAGTTTTATAATTCGATTTAATATGGTTTACTTTCACTCAGCGATTGAACCTTTTCATCCATTTTTTGCATGTGAACTTGAGCTTGTTCTATATCGAGGTGGGCAGGTTTCCATGAGCAACATATCACCGTAACTCAAAAGACCTTCTCATGATGGTCGTCAAAAAGAAATGGGATTTGACTTCCATCAAGATGCCTTTTCCCACCGATAGCCGTATTGCGCATGGGTTTGCTCAATGGCTTCAAGGCCTTCATCCCACATGATCATCTTCTTCTCCTTGGGTATCACAGCGTTGGGCACTTTCACCAAGTCAATCGACTGTCTCCGTAAATTTGTAGCTCTCTGGAAAGACTCACCTTCTAACCACCCGTGGAATGCTTCCTCCAGATAAACGGCCTCTACGCTGCTCTCCGGCTTACCCTTCTCTCCCCGTTCTTTCTTGACACGCGCTACGAACATCAACTGTTCTTGGACAAGGATGTCGATGCCAGCGACCACGAGCAGCATTCTCTCGGGCAACGTCTCCTCGCTGGCCAAGAACGGACTCATCCTCTGGTCATCCAAATCCTTTGCTTTCATCGGCGCCGCGTATGAATCATACAGCGGCTGCATGAACGACATGGGATCTTTCTTGGGGAAATTTGCCGGGCGCGGTTTATCCTCCGGCCTGAGACGAAGGCCGATGGGTGCGTAAAAGGTCACCGCGGCGCGAATGGAAAACTCTTCAGGCGGTATCGCCTGACCTGCCGCCAGGACCAGGTTGCCTCCAGCCGAGGCGCCCGATACGGTCATCAGCGTCGGGTCCGCGCCGAAGTCCTCCGCGGCATGCTCGCGCAGCCACGCGAGCGCTGCGTCGACATCATCGATGGCGGCTGGGAAGGGGTGTACGGGCGCGAGGCGGTAGCTCAGGCTGACGGCGACCGCTCCCGTTTCTGCCGCGACGAGCGAGCAAAACGGAGCGCTTGCCTCCGGGATGCCTCACACGAAGCCGCCCGCATGACAGTCAACATGCAACTTGCAAGGGCCGCAGACCGATTCGACCAGCCCCCCCACGCCGGATCCATTGAACAGGAGAGCGCGTGGGAAGCGGTCAGGGCTAACGGGTATGTGGATGACAGTATAGGGTCGTCGAAAGAGGTTCGGGACCAAGGTTAGGGAGTTTGAGAGAAAGACTACGGGCTGGAGGGCGAGGAGTCGCCAACGAAGGGACCAAGGGAGGTGGCGGCCGAAGAAGAGGGTGTCGAGTGTCGGCCTAACAAAGGCAAGAGCAATATCTCGAAGTGTGCGAAGCATGCTGGCGGCGATTAGACGGCTTATGTTATGGACTTTGTGAATCAAGCCGTCAGATTCATTCTCGGGAGTAGTAGGTTGGGTGTCAAGCTTGTGAGCACACGTTGTATTCAGCTACTGGTGTCGCAAAAGGCCTCGCAGCGTACCGCAGCGAATGATCCCCTTTGCTTCCGATGGGCACCGAGTGTAAGTCGGCCCAAATGTAAGACCGATCAGCTGAACGTCGGCCAGTGGCAGTGTCAAGGGATGGCCTCAACACTCGGTGGACCATCGGCCTACCCCTCACCCGCTTAAAGGCGCGCGGGCAACGCGATCGGAACGGAGCGGGCCATACATAGCTGCACGTTTCGAAACATTTTCTGGGGGGAACGCTGGGTCTCAAAATGGTAAACGGAACCGTTGTGTGGGTAACGGGCTAACAGCAATACAGAGTTCGGATGAACAAGATCGACAGTGGCAATCCCAGCTTTGCGGAACGCCCATCCGGCGAGGCATCCGGGATGGGGGATGGAATCACGCAATCTGCGACGCTGTTTCAATGACTCAATGACTTTATTAGGCTTAACAGCCTTGGCTGAGTTACGGTCAGACACACATGACTCCGGTTTCTTCTTAAGCATGGCCTTGATCTATAATTTTGCTCGTGTCATTGGAGTGGAATGTCGCCGGTTGAATCTCACGCGATTTAAGATTTGTCGATGCGGCTCATATAGGAAAGCCAGTAAGTTCGGAATGAGACATGAGGGCAGGGGACTCGCAAGCGTCTCTCCCACACACGCCCTTGGAAGTCTCTGTTTCGTCTCAGCCTATGAGTCTGAAGTCCCAGATATATACAGCGTTCGACAGCGACGCCAAGCAAACCTAGCCTGATGTTGACTAGATCGTTTGTTACATTCATTGGTAACCAACTCAAGTGACAAACGAAGGAGCCGGCCCAGAAGAGGTACCCTGGTATCACTGCGGATTGGAGAGATGGTGTACAGAATTATTCTTAATCATTACATCTATAAATACTATAATGACAAAAGACTAACAAACCCAGTCATGTCTCGTCAATCCGGCCATGAACATTTTCCTTCGTGAATACGCGTACCCCAAACCATCGGGTCCGTTTCGTCGCGTCTGAGCTCTCAAACCGGCTGCTTCAGACCGGGCAAAGGAGAATGCAATACAGGGCCAATAGCGTGAACGATCAAGCCCATTGTGAATTCAAATCCGACGAGATCTCGTAACGACCTGAAGGGGCTGAGGACGATTGTCTTTCCATCCAAGCTCGTTCAACTTCAAAATTGCCCCGATTCCCCTCCCCCAGCCTAGCATCGGGCTTCTAAATGAAGAAAAAACGGAGACTTCTCGTCCTTTCAACACTTTCATCCCCGCCTCTGACAAGACATTTATTCTGCGTATACATGTTAGCATGTTTGTCGTACCTCAGATCATGGGTATCTTCCAAAGCTTACCCTCGCAAGAGTCGGCGGTCGTGGTGACGGTGACGGTAGGGCGGGGAGCAGTGCTGGTAACAGCGGTGATTCCCCAGCACGAGCAGGCAGAGAAGTACTCGGCACCGTCGTCGCAGGAGGAGGCGTAGGCCGGGATGGCGGTGGGGACCTCGGTGACCTGACGGTTGGCGATCTGGCCGTCGCGACGGATACGTTCAGGGGCAGAATCGACGGTGATGGTGACGGTACTAATAGGGTTTGTCAGTCATAATGACCACCCGGCGAGTCCGGGCTTGGATCCTTTTTCCACCGAGGAACAAGTGTGTCAGGGTAGGAGAAAGATGGTTGACATACGTGGGGGAGGGGGTGACGGTGGTCTTGAGGAAGGACGTGCAGTCGGCCTTGCGGCTGCTGATGGGCAGGAGACCCGGGCGGGTACCGGTGACCTGACGGTTGCAGTTGTTACCGCTGCACTCGCGCTTCTGGAAGATAGAGCCGAGAACGAAGCTGGCGAGGGACAGTATGACGGCGGCCTTCATTTTGACGGATTGGGGTGGAGAGTCTTTGGGAGAGACGATCGACTGAGGTCCCAAGAGATGGAAGGGGTTGGCTGGAGGGATCTGGTAGGAAGTCGGTGGATGAGAGGGAAGGGGAAAAGGAGGAGAGGAACGGTTACATGGAGGCGACGGTACCGTGATATATAATTGCGAGATCGGGGATAGGCCTTGCCATGATGGTGCATGGTGCGTGGGGGGGATGGACTGGGGGAGCGGGTAGATTGGCCATGATCCTCGCAGATGGACTAACACGCCGAGGGACGCAAGTTTGGTACAGTTCGTACCAGGCTGGTACGAACTGCAGCCACCAGAGAGGCGGATGGGAGCGTATTGGAGGTCTCACCCGTGCCTCTGGGAAACATCCAAAGTAGGCGATGAGGAGATGGGTCATTAACCGGGCCATGGGACAAACGGAGGGAGGGGGGCGGGGGCGTGGTTGAGAAGCAAAGACAAAGACATATTTAGAGCAACGACAGCATCGTGGGTGCAAACTAACAGCATGTTGGAGCCAGTTTTTGCCAGGCTCCCCGGCACCGTAACACCTGGTTCCTGAGCACTAGACAGGAACAGGAGGGCGAAGGAGGGGGATGGCCATGCGAGCGGAAAGCGAGGACCGACAGGCTGCAATAGTCGTTCCAACCCGTTCAGCCCATTTTTTGCCCGGGGGGTCGCAATCCCATTCCCACCTATCAGCAGGCGCAGCGGCCATATGAGACAGGTGGAGAGAGTGTGTGGGCTGGAGGCGAGGCGAAGAGCAGGAACATGCATGAACATCTAAACATGCGCCACGCAGGCGTAGCGTATCCGTAGGAAGGGTTGGCCCGCGGGCAGACATACCGTTTGGCTCACGAAGGACTCGGATCCCAGAGTGACCTGTCTGACCCATCAAGGACATATCCCAGGATATTGTCGAAGTACATCTTGTCTTACAGTGTTGTGTTTGCTAATATGTGTTGATGTGAAGAACGAATGGGAACACAGTCGCAGGAACAAGCACTTGGTACAGCGACCAGTTAGAAATTCTATTGTGTCGAGTATTGGGCGTGATACTATCGCTGTGTATGGATAGCTGTGCGAGGGCATTCCAGTTCAGCTCGAGAACGCGTGCGTGAGCCCCCCCTCCCCCCACTGTGGCTCTTGTTTCTTGGCTGCCACTAGGAAATAACCATGAAATGGTTTCCCACCAGCGCCCCTTCACCAACGCTGTCTCGCCGGTGGGGAGGTTCGTCCGACTCGGCCTAGCCCAGGCTGCTGGATACGAGGGATTCCTGAGGGGAGATATCCATCCCACATCTCTCTCGCCGAAGGCCGATGCTGTTTCTTATTTGTCGAAATGCAAAGCGCGAGAGGCATTCAGGGTTTGGCGAAGCCCGAGCCGCATGTAAGGGAGGCATCTAGACGCCTGAAGAGAGCTGATGAAACGACCTATGGCTTGCCGGGTACAAGCTGGAAACCATTGGATGCGGCCGCTGTTTGTGGACGGCGAATGCGATGTGGCTTTGTCTTGGGCTATTCTGGTGCTCTGCTCGAAAGACATTCACCCGCTCGGAAAAATACCCACGTAAGAAGGGTCTGTCTGGGCTGTGCTTGGCCTGCTGCTTTTGGAACAAAACGTGCGACGGGGAGGCTGATCAGAAAGCTTGGGACTGCGGAACAACACGCGATCGGAGGAGACATTCCTTTTGCTATCCCCTGACGGCATCTCTTCGGAGAACAAGCGCACGCCGTACTCTGTGTCTCGCCTGATCTCCTCTAGGTGTGGCTGGACGGCATGAGGGGAACCAAAGCCAAAGGTCACTGCGCTCTGCTTGCTGAGCAGATGGCTGCCGGCAGCCCGATGCACCTGTGCCTCTGTCTGGTCCGTGATAGCCTCAAGCGATCCCCTCACTTCTCGAATTCATCCGCCGTAGCGTCACGCTCGTGGCATGCATACTGAGAGAGGTAGAGAAACGCATACGCGGGAACCGGGCTTGGACAACGAGATGATGAGAAGCGCCAGAGTGGGGAGGCAGGGGAAAGGGGGAAAAAAAAGGTACGATATGCAGGCGAGGACATGGGAGGAGTTGCAGGGACCGATTCCATACTAGTGTAGCAACTTGGTCTGTGACGACTCGAAGTGAGGAATAAGGAACAGGTCGGAAGCGAAGGGTGCGGTTTTGGCAGCCGGGCAAAAGGCAGAACAGGCAAGAGAAGAAAAGCCTGAATGAGATAGGAATTGTTAGCGGGAGGGGGGATTGCCAATGGGAATGCGCCGCCGACCTGCATTGACGATGATGTTGGCGGTAATGATCCGATGCGACCCTCGGCCGTGGAACAATGGTTCTTTTTTTCTTCTTCCGTCCTGATGGGAAAACGAAAAGCCACTGACTCTCGTATTGATTCTTTTGCTCAATTATACTACATTCCTCTGCCTCCTGCGATGATAGGCCACCGGCGCGTTTGTCATCATTATCATCATCATCATCATCATCATCATCATGGACGCCCTCAGCATTCAGCCCTGACAAACTTTTTCTCGATCGACTGTCTAGCGCAGGCGCCACACGGGACGCGACTCTGATTGTAACCGGAAAGGCTGCCCGGGGGTGGCTGTTATGGCACCCCACTGTAATTAAGCGACAGCCCAGATTCAGCCCGCCCGCAAGCCAACAAGAAAAGGCTTCTCCCGGGGGGCACTAAGAGCTACAAGGGCCGCTCTCCGGGCTGGCTGCCGGTGCTAAGAGAGCTAATGGAGCATGCATCAGCGTCGCAACCAGGACACCCATTAGGGGGGCGGCCAAGCCATGACACGAACACACTTGCAAGCTTGCCCAGTGATGCGGTGACACCATGACGGCCCAGAATATAGGGGTTGGCAGGCCTTACGGTGTAACTCTCGTATCGCCTCTTGAATCAGGCTACAGTTAATACAGTATGTTTGTATGATACGAAAGTTTGTGGTCTAGGTACCGCGTGCGCTTCCTGGGCCGGAGCCAGACTGGTAGTCCAAGCAAACCCCAACCAAGGGTTAACGTTAACGCCTCGGAGAGAAACAAGCCACTCGAGTTTTCCATTGACGGTGGTCTCTCTGGAAGGTGAGAAGCAAACCGGTGCCAAAGCCGCTGGTTTCCATTGATCTGCCCAGGCCGTGCGATATCTACCGGCCTTCTCTGTGTCTCGGAAGCATACGGGATGGGCCACTCGACCCGACCAGGGGCCATCCTCTCCTCGGGGAGTATGCGCCACGCCTGATGCTAGGAGCCGCTTCGCCGAAAGAGGCAGCTCGAGATTGGGGCCTGGCCGATTAGTCGCCAGGCGGTTGGCGCTCCGCCTTTTGCTGGACGACGCTCATTTCCACCGACGGGGGGACGCGAGGCATCCCAGAGGTTCTTTTTCTCATGGCTGATGGAAAACAAAGAGCAGCTTCGCTCTGTTTCGCCAATCCACCTACCTCCACCGCGGCACGTGGCCGTCAAAACCATCGCCGGTGTGTTGGCAATCTTATATCCCAAGACAATGACGCGCTCTCTCACACGGGTAGACGATCTCCAAAGGCCGGACATTGATCCTTCTCCAGAGCCCTCCTCCCGGTCAACTCTCTCTGACCCTCCATCACCAAGGCTAGTCTCCATCGGCCCATCATACCCGTTTGCAGCCTAGGAGCAGAATGCCCAGTGGCCCCATCTCCGGCCGCCCGCCGTATCAACATCACTTCTGCGTAGCAGTCGGTGAAGGCCCTGTAGTGCAGCGCACGTGGGTAGCCGGAGAGCGCTTCCTCGCAGGCTCTCGGCGAGGGCGACGTGCAAACGACAGCAGCTTAATAGTAAGCTTAGCCGCCATAAACCAAGTGCCCCCGTCACCCAGGACCTCTATTACATGCTGACTGATATCTGCTTGACTGCCCTTTGCTCTCGTGCATCCTTCTTTTCGTCAATGCCATGTCCAAGGGCGTACGTACATTCACCTGGCTTGTCTTCATAGCCGGTAGCAAAAGGGCATTGTACAACGGTCCCGGCCATCATTGACAGATGCGATTCTTTACCGTAGGCGGCACCGCCGATATACAGCATTTCGGCCAGCACGCGCGCATCTCGCGCACAGCGTGTCAAGATCTCTACCTAGTCAACAACCCGTTGAAGTCGATACATCTGGGAGGGTCCATCCTGCACCTCAGCCAGAGGCGTTTTGCCTGGCCGTTCATCTTCGAGCAGGTAAAGATCATACGACTCGCACAAGTCTCCCTCCTCTCTCCCTCACTGACTAGACCATTTTACCCGGCGACCATCCGAGCCCCTTTCCCCCTTGTTGGTTTACCCCTCCAGCGGCGGGGGAGGGGGGAATATCTGCCTGGGCAACGTATCTCCGCAGAGCAATCCCGACGCCCAGCTCTGCTCCCGCAAGTCTTGCCCTGCTTTTCCTCCCCTTCCTCTTCCTTTCCTACAGCCACAGGCCAAACGGAACATACGTCTCCCCCGCACACATCACAGCAGGACGAGCCGGGGGCGCAGGCACGCTATGCTCTGTCGAGTTCACGCCGTCAAGAGGGGGGGGGGGGGGGGGGGGGGGGGTGTTCAAGCAGGCCGGATCTGATCGACGGAGCAAACTGCGCCGAAGGCACGCTCTCCGCGTCCCTCGCCCTCTCGTCGCTACTTCATCGTCGCTCCCGAGGAGCCGGGAATCCTGGAGTTTTCCCCACAGACGAAGATCTTATAGTCCGTGCGGAATAGTAGGTAAGGTATGATGGGCTTTCCCGACAGGCAGGCACCGCGTGGCATGACCGTCCCGATCGGCAAAGTGATGGCGGTGCGGGTAAATAGAGCACCCCTCACCCGTCGTCAGCCAAGGCTGCTGTTTGCCAGGCACGAACTTATCCGTCGGCGCTTGGGTCGTATTGGGACGAACCGTTCACAACGGAACCGCCTCTTCGACCTGCCCCCCCTTGCCCTTGTTCGCCATGGCGCGCATCGCTGGTTCTACGTCTCTGCTCTCGTGGAAGCCACCGGTTGCCCTTCCGATCTCGCTCCGTATGAGTACCAAATGAAGAGTCGAGCAGCAGATGGTTACAAACCGGAATACGTGTCCAGGAAGATTCCTCTTCAGGTTGCCCAGGTACACAATAATACTCTTAATGCGGTCTGGACGGAGAGCTGCAAACAACGGTCAGCAAGAGATCTTGCCGAACCGGCCCCATCCTGCCGCCTCTTGGCTGCCGCTGAACGTCCCACCTCTTCGCCCTCGTAATGATGCCCACCGAGGTGACTTGATGGGCTTGGCTTTTGGAAGACCGGGGTTGGAGCTTGCATTCACCCCATACCCCGCAAGTTGGGAGCGGAGACACTGGCGGATAGAGCAAAAAAGTGCAAGATAGGGCTTCTCTGGGTCTCTCGGCGTCTTTCTGGCCGGCACTGTCCCCCCCACTGTCGTTGATATGTTATGGTACCGGAGGGCGACCACAGCCGTCTCTTAGCCACGGCACATAGCGGCGACCTCGCCCAAAAGCTAGACAATCTCACCAATGCTCCGGATGTCGCTACTTCCGCTTTCCATCTCATCATCGTGGATTGAACTCGTCGCCTCACTTGCAAGGAGGGCCCCATGCATGCAGCCATGAGGCACAAGCAATGGCACGCTCCTCAAGTGCCAAGGGGAAGGGGAAAGGTATCATGTATGGTAGGCGTGCCTAGCAACAAAAGAAAAGAAAAAAAACCGAACGCCCCGGTAGTGTAACGCCATGCGCATTTATCGTGTATCCTGCCCCGGCCTAAGTGAAATCCCGGCTGCCCTTCAGTCGAACCCAAGTTTTTCACCAAGACGGCCTTCCAATCCTGATGGTTGCTTCTTCGAGAGGGGAACGGAGAGCGCTTCCTCGACTTTGAGGTATGACGCGTGTTCCGATGACACCGCGGTAACGGAGAGCCTTTCTTGTGAAACCCATCTTCGAGAACAAATCATCAAACGCAGCTGATCTCGATCAAGCCAGACCGATTCAGCGTGACCGACACAGATACGGCTCAAGACGAAGACCCTTCCTTCCCAACAGACGTCTGACACATCGCCCGATCCGACGGGCCATTATGCCCAATCAACTCCGTATCCTCGCTGACCACGCTCAAACCCGCTGCCGCCGAGCTATCGCTTCTCCCCCTGCCGTTTCCGCCCTCGCTGCTCCTCCGCCGTCGGTGTACGGCCGGCGGCCGGCTCATACCCAACAACCGCCCCGCCGACCTACGGCGTGCGTCGGCTACGGCGTCAGACACAGGCGTGGCCGCCAGCTCCGGGACGTACGGCGTCGAGTCGAGCTCCTGGAGCAGCGCCCGATTGTCCACGCTCCCGTGATCGCTGCTCGCCTCGCTGGCGTTGCTCCAGTTCCGCAGGTGCGCGTAGGTCCCCTGGGAATCTGTGCTCCCGCGGTGCAGCCCGACCCAAGCGCTCGACCCCTGGCTGACGCGCTGGCTCCGGTCCGGGACGTCAAAGTAGCCCCCGGTGTACGCCGAGTCGTAGCTGGCGTGTGGGTCCGAACCCGAGCCCTGCGGCACTGGCTGGTAGTCGCCTACGGAGCCCGGCGTGCCCCTGTACGACGGCGTGAAGTCGGTGTCGGAGTCGTGTCTCCGGTGCGACGGCCGGGGAGACATCATGAGCGGGTCCACGCTCATGTCTTCCACCTCGGACGGTGTGGGCTTGAACTGGTACATGAAGGGCCGCGACTGTGCGCCCGAGGATGTTCCATTATTGCTGGTTTCGACTGCCTGGACGACCTTGTTGAGATGGCGGATGATGATCCAGGCAGCGACCAGGACGATAATGAGCAGTCCCACGCCTCCAGCCACGATTCCAGCAATCTGGCCTGTCGTCAGGCCGTCGCTGTCGTCGTTGCTCCTTGACAATGGTTGTTCCTTTGGCACTGTGCTTGGGTAGTATTTGAATACGACCTGGTCTGGGTCTTGTGCATCCATAGTCGCCAGGGCTGTTGGGGCCGTCGTCGGCCTCGAGGGCGTGAGGACTGTCGTTGCAGTCACCGCTGTGATTATGACTTGAGTTGCGTCCTGTGTTGTCGACACCGTCGTAGTGACTGTATAAGTCGACGGGTCCGTGTAGTAACAGGCGCTCACGGCGCATCCGAGGCCGTTGCGGCAGCAGCCGTAGCTCAAACTGGCAGGGCATAAGTAGTAGCTTGCCGGGCACGACTGAGAGTATGCGACACCGGACGCTGCGACGCAATTTCCTCCTCGTTCGCACCTGTACCCCTCAGGACAACAGCCGCCTGATCCGGAGAATTTAGCTACTGCAGAGCGACCGAGACGAATTTGTATTTGGTTGACTTACCTCCCATAACTGCATCGCACGCATAACTCCCATAACTGCATCGCACGCATAATATCCAACCTTCCCCAAGCAAGTCCGCGGTGCGCTTGTTGTCGCGTAGCATGAATCTGTTGCGCAAGCGTAGCCTGACTGGCAACAGCCTCCGTTAAGGCTCGACGCGCAGGCAGAGTATCCAGTCGCACAGGTCGCTGTGTCTCTCTGGTTCAGATCCTGGAACACCGTGACGTGCGCCTTTTCCATTCGGTGTACCCCGTCTCGTCTCTTAAACTCCGCTCCGCTTGTTTTCCCCACAAGCCAATCCATTCCAAGGTAGAGCGCGCAGAGCGAGCAAGAAGCCAGCCTCTTCATTGTGACGACGGTTGAGAGGATAGGCAAGAGTGTCGTGCAGGGTTATGCGGTCTGCCGATCATCAGACAGCCTTTGGCTCAGCAAGTGGATGCTCGTCGAGTGTCAAGGGCGGATGGCGGGCAAAACAGTTGCTCTTCGGTAGCCGCGCCGATTAATAGCAAAGTAAAAAGCATCTGAGAATCTGTACTTTCGCACCTTAGAGCCATCCACGGTTCGTTTAGTATGGAGATGGCAAGTTACGTTGGTGCCTGCGAGAGGGTTAAGGATTGAGATTGCCCAACTGCATGTATAGCTGGGGGCTAAGCCAGTGTACAGCACAGCGGTACCACACACAGCTACACCCCACGAGGTTGCAATCGGCGATGAGAGAGGCACGGCAATAGGGCTGAGATGGCAGGACCAAGATGGCGTGACTGAACTCGGCCAGTCGTACCAGACATGAACCTTTTTCGTGCACTTTCGACCAAGACGCCCAAAGCTACGGTCAAGGTCGGGTCTCTTTCGTCTTCGTTCCTTCACGTATGATCGACCCGGCAGCGGGTGATTGCATACGTGGGTGGGAAAGAGGAGGTCGATCATGGACTGCTTGAGAGGGGAATGGTCGGATCACTAGTAAGTGAGTGCGGGTATGTGTGACTGTGGGGGACATGCCTCGAGTTAGGCCCCATGAACAGTGCATCTTGGGGTCCATAGGATTTGGAAAATAGGTCTGCGTCTGCCTGTCAGCACTCAGTGAGGGTGACTTCGCCATTCCGGGGGTGAACCAGCCACGAGGCTCGGTCAATCAGATGAGGCTAAGCGAGGAGCATCAGCCTTCTGGAGAGCTACGATAACACGGCAGAGGTCCCGCAGGATGGAGATAATTCTCTTTGGGATAATAAGCTGGAAGGAATCCGATGCTATTGCCGTGGCTGCTCAGGTCGTCGGGCACGGTTGGGTGCAGGATCGAGGAGCGAATTGTGACGCAGCTGCTGACTGGTCCAACGGGCATTGAGATGTAGTGATGCGGCACGACGATGCCTGTCTTACCCATGAAAGTGGGCAACGCATGGCGAGGATATCGAGGGCCTCCAATAAGAGGAGGGTGCGCTGGCTGTAAATAAATGACAAGGGCCAAGGAGGATGCCATCTCATAGTGAAGAGGAGGAGGGCTGGGCAAGCACCATGCAAAGCAGCAGCTTGCTGGCGGATAAGCCCATGACGGAGCTGCAGATGGACATAAGGCCGTGGGCCCGCAGCTCGGAAAACCAAAGCCCTTAGCGACGTTGTCTTTGGGGGTTGTTCTGTCAGAACGCAACACTGAGCCAACATGAGCGCGTCTAAGGAGTACAGCTGACAGTATTGGGCGAGACTGAGTGTGTCTGCACCAACTGGCGAACAATCGCAGTCAACTTACAGGGGAAACGACGATGGGCGGCCTTGCACTTGCAGTGGCAGTCGGGGAGAAAAGGTATTCTCAACACGATCGGGGCCGGAAGTCGCCGACCGGGGAGCCACTCGGGACCGGTGCGGACCCTGAAGTTGGGCTGGGTTGGACATAGCCCGGCCTCTGTTTCAGACATGTGAGTTGTCGACACTGGTAGAAGCCACGCAGAAGCCACCGTTCTACTTGTTTCATGTCTCATAAGACAGGCCCTCGGCACCAGGATCAGGCCGGCAATGGCCATCTGGATAGTGATGCCGGGTAGAGAGAGTTATTGAGAGTTGCTGGAGGCGAGACTCGGATGGCTTCTGTGAACCGGAGCCACTTCGGGTTTGTAATGAGTGGAGGGCGACGGTGCGGCTGCTCAAGTGAAACGCTATATTAGCTTTCCTGTCATCCTGCGGTAGCTGGGTGTTGAAGAATTGACAAGTAACCAAAAAGTCAGCCAGTCGTCGCACTGACCCATGGTTTGGATGAAAACAGGACACGAGACGAAAAGGGGGGGGGGGGGGGGAGCAAATCGCAGGCAACTATCCGATGAACATACCGACTGTCTGTGTTACCAGCAGTCTTGGATGGGATGACGGCGATGCCATTCAGCTGCGTCGTGGGGTTGATGAGAAGAATGTTTGCCTTCATCAGAGATGAATGAAGATGAGGAAAGGGTTTCTCGGCTTACATCGGGAAGTATCGGTTGCAGTAGCTCGCAAGGAAGGAAGGGAGACCAGCTTCAGGCAAACGCTGCCTTCCATTCCATGTGATGTACTTCATCAGGTAAGTGCTCGCTCTTTCCTTCCTGGTATTGGATCTTGGTGTACTCCGTACCGTACCGCACCTGCAGTGACCAAAGACAAAGGAAGATGGAGCAACCGACGGGACTTGCGCCTGCAACTCACTCTCCTTCCATCATTTCTGCCCAGAGTGCTTACCCATTACTGATAAAATGCACAGCAATGCTAAGGCCACACCCGTTCGTTCTGCGCGTCGCTCACTTCGGCCGTCGGCAACTGGGATATCGACAGGAGAGGAAGGGATGGGGGGCCAAGAGGGAGGCAGTGGGTGGGTGGGTACATCTGCTGATCAGCTGCTAAACAGGCTGTTTTGGGAAACCCTTCCCCGGATTCCTATTCTTCTTTCGCACCCATCAACGGCCGCCAAATTAAGGTACACACTACTAACATGTATAGGTAGAACACCTACAGAGCCGGTACGAACACAACCCTCTTGGACAAGGTATACTACCTGACAACGAGCAACATAGGCCGTCTGTCTTGCATTGCGACGGAGACACCACGCAGACTGTGGCTGGCGCGGGCACTCGAGCAGCCCGCCTACCTTGACACACCTTGGATGGATCAGCGGCCGCCGAGAATGCGGGGAAGCAAGCCTTCTTGACATTGGCGGCCTAGTCACCCACCTCTCACCGTGGCCTCGTGTCGACGACCATGTACCACACACAAAGACGACCCGGACCGACGCTCTCGAGTCGAACCATCCCAAATATTCCCTGTCGGCTTTGGGTTTCCAGGAGGAAGAGGCGAGAAAGGGGTACGAAGGAAGGGTTCGCTACCATCAGTGCCCCCCCCCCCCCCCCCCCCCTCCCAAATCGTCTGCTGCCGGCATGTCTAGCCATCGGCCACCGCTGGTTGATGCCATGCACACTATAATAGTGTGAGTTGACAGCAGGCAGGCATCCCCATCCCATCCCCATCCCATCCCCATATAATAACAAGCTTACCAGGCGGTAGGTAAGCGCGGTGCAGGACGAGCGAAAGCAACCGAGTGATGCCCACGGATGGGTGGTTCCGTTTGCAGCTCGGCTTGGTAGGTGGCAGACCACCAAAGTCAGGTCACCCGACTCAATGTTGGCACACACACATACCCCATCCTTTAACCCCTTCGACATGGGCAGCACCAGAGGCTATTGGGCTTCAATTCAGGGCGATACCCGCCAAATCCTGAGTCTTCAGGCATCCGCCCGAACGGCTTTGGCAGATAAACTTTCTCACGTCGCTGCTGCAGGGTCCATCTCACAGGTACGAGATGCACTACCGTATCCTCTCAGCAGATTCGTACACCGCACAGACCACCCACTAGGCCAATTTCGAAAGGCGGTCAGCCAGCCTAGCCACCCACCTAGCCATCTAACCCTAACCCTTGCCACCAAACTTGCTGCTGACGTTGACTAACCCTTGCATTTGCCACTTCTAGATCCCTGTTTCTGCCAGCCTGCTAGCCCCTATCCAGCAGCCCGTAGTCAGTGCGGTGTACGAATCTACTGAGAGGATACGGTATAGCACCTTCTGGTAGTCTGCTGCAAAGGAGTTGTGACTACCAACTCGGGGAGGCATGACGTCTCCGACCCGTTGCCGTGCAGAATGCCGTACGAGACGGCAAAACCGCCGTCAGCCCGGAGCAGTTGTGACAGATGCGGCGACTAAGGTATCAGCTAGACCGGTCCTGGCTTAGGCCCTGGTTCGGCGATACGAAGAATCCTCCTCCTTCTCTTCTATTCCTGTTCTAGATGCCTTGCAAGCATACAGATAGATACCTCTGGAGAATTCCTCTGTCAGGCGTGCACGTTAACTAAATAATTACCAACAGGCATCTCCCATGCCGAAAAGTTGGGCCCCTTTACTCCAACAAATGCCCCTGACCTACAGCAAGGTCATGCCTCGGAGCAAACTGGGCTGGCACAGACAAAGAGGGCACAGAGCAGCAGGCACACACCGACCAAGCGAGACAGAGAGAGTCCACATCTCCGCACACCAGAATCGCCGCTGTAACCCCGCAAGTTTCTCCACCTTTCTGCTTCTGGCACCACTTAGCCTTCCAGGATCTCTGGGTCACGATGTGCGTGATGGCAGCGGTCTTGTCAGCATTGGGAAGGCCGACGCCAGCATGACATGGACTCGATCTTGACCTTGACCTTGACCTTGGCTTGTGTTTGGAGAGGGGCATGCTTTGTTGGAGGAAATCGCCAAACCGTTTGGCCGCAAAAGCCCAATTCACCACTCTTTCGCCGCCTCGGTGTGTGCCTCTTTGCCTCCATACGCTATTTATTAACATCCTTCTGTCCGAGGGACATCTCGTTGATTAGCACAATCTCTGGTCCCTGCCCCCTCCCCTCTCTTCTCCGTCTCCTCTCTCCAATTTTCCCCATATCTCACCGTTCACTCCCGAGCCCCCCGTCTCCATTCCCCATCCCCCACGCCTTGATTGATAGGACGGACCAACTATACGAATCCGTCTTCTCCTCAGCGCCTAACCCTGGCCACCCAAGCTTGCGGCCCCGTTGAACAAGGCGAGAACAATAACACTGACGAGTGAAAAGCTTTCCCAGCCTCGGCACCGATCCGACAGATCTAGGTCGATTGTCGAGCAGCGAGCAGGAGGGGGCCGCCTGAGAAGCAGAGAGAGAAAAGGACGAAAGAGAGGGTTCGGAGCAAAACTACCCACCAAACACGTCCAGTGTCCACCGACTTCTTTACAACTTGCCCTTGCCACTATTACCATCTCATCCCCCCTCCTTTCTCTCCAGCAGAATCAGGACCGCCCTTCGTCGCCTTACATTACGTCCGCCACCCCCAACCGTCACACTGCCAGACCCTCCAATATCGTGAAAGATTGACTGCTTTCTCTCGCCTTCTGGACCAAGTTGCCTCGATCCACACACGCCTTTGCCTCCGCGTTTTTCCTCCTCCGCCTTCTCCTCCTCTTCCTCCTATTTCTCTTGGTAGGTGATGTAGGTGTATGGCGACTTCGCCCTGTAAACCACATCATCTGAGAGAAACCGCACTGCGACAACATTGAGAAAACGTCATGCCTATGCCTGCTGCAGGTACCAGCTCGTGAGCATCATGTTGCTGTATACTAAACTCGCCCCGCCAAAGGCCCCCAAAAGACGGTCTAGAGCAGGTGAGTTGTTGGTTTTTACGATCGATACTTCTTCCTTTTACCTCCATTTTCTTTTCTTTGACCCGCAAGCGCCTCTTTTCCTATTTGGCTTGCTGCACATTCTCGTGCGGTAACTGTTGCCGCCCGGATAGCTTCGTCATCTTACTCTGAGCCTTGCCTTTTTTTTAACCCGTCATGCCATACCTGCCATTACTTGTTTCATTTCGTTCGATATCTGACATAATGTTGTTCAACACATGCAGGATGCACATACTGGTGAGTGGACGGACCCCAAACATAACCCTCCCCGAAAACATTGGAAGCAACGTTTTCACTGACAGATAGATCGGTACAGCAAAGAAAAGGTACGACCTTATGCCCTTGTTTACTAACTGGTCACAAATTGGCTCCCGGATTTCTTCCTTTTCATCATTCCGAACTTGCTCTGACTTCTCTCACGCCCACAGAAGAAGAAATGCGATGAAACCCGTCCACAGTGCTCCCGATGCGCCGAGCGCGCTCAGGAGTGCTCCTACGAACCGGTCAAGCCTCGTCAACGCAAGAAGCGCGACTCTATCGCCGGGTTTGGATCCGACACCGGCTCTCAAACAAGCGCATCTGCAACCATTCGACGTTATTCGGCTCCCGATGCAACCATGCGACGCTGGAAGGAGGAATGTCTGGATGACGAGAACGACGTGGCTGTGGAGGAAGCCATGTTGGAAGAGAATGGCAATCCGCTCATATTTGACTACAAGAAGATGTTCGCCATGTACCACAACAAGGACGACGACGACGCGCCCCTGTTCTCTCCGGTCGACTCCGTGGCTTTTGACCTGTCACTGGAAGACGTAGACGAAGAAGTTATCCGTTGCGATTCGGTGCAGCATAACGCCATATCCCGCCTGGCCGCCACACGGCCGCAGCGCCACTCGGACCTAACCATGATCGCGCCCGTCCCGGTGGCGTCGCCACATCTCGAGCTATTGTTCCCAACGTTCTCCGAGTTTTCGGATCGGCCAAATCGTCGGGCGTTGGTCGACCACTTCACCAACGTCATGTCGCATCTGATTGTACTGCGCGAGACCGAAACAGGGAACCCGTTCCGGCAGCTGGTATTGCCGCTTTGTCACAGCAGTTCGACAGTGACAAATACCATCTACGCGCTGGCGAGTGCGCATCTGGAGAATAGAGGCTGCGGGCACGCTGAAGAGAAGGCGGTGTACTTCCACAACCAGGCCATTCAGGGCTTGGCGCGCTTGATTGAGCTCGGTGGCCAAGCAAACAAAAACGAGCTTCTAGCCACCATCATGCTGCTGGTTTACTACGAAGTAGTGAGTATTTCCGCCTTCCATCGTTGGATGGAACTCGACTGACCGGGTAAAAAGCTTGTGCAACAAAACCGATCCAACATTGTTGATGGCCATCTCAAAGGCGCTATCGCAATCATGAATGCCAACAGCGATGATACCGACCCCACCGCCGCCTTTCTTGAACGCGTATGTCTTCCCGACTTGCTTGATACTAGCGATTCCTATTCTGACAACGTTCCAGGCGTTCCGCTTCTACGATGTTATTGCTGCGCTCTCTTTCGGCACGGCTCCCCTCTCAACGGCACCAGCGACAGGTTGCCTCGCCCCATTCCCACCCATTGACTCCTCTACGTCGTCATCCCTCGGATCTGTCGACACATTGCTCGGCTTTTCCACAACCCTTTGGCCCATTATCCATCGCCTCTCCAACCTCCTGTCGCTCAAGACCGAGCTCCAGGCGGCTATCGCCGACGGCCAAACGACTAAGGTTGCCGTTCTCCGCAGCGAGTTTGAGACCACATCAGAAGCCATCGAGCATGCTCTCAAGGTATGGCAACCTAGCTTTCCTCCAGGCTTTTCGCCCGATACCATGGACGACGTGACTACGGACGAGTCTGAGGTGGCCACCGAGCGCGCCCGGCTGCAGTCAATCCTTAACAATGCTCTGGCCTACCGCCACTCGGCTTTCGTGTATCTCTACCGCAGCATCTACGGTTACCCTCGACGACACCATCTCGTGCAGCACCACACGCACGCTGCGCTAAGCCACTGCGCTGCGACAGTCAAACACGCTGGGTCGATGGCCGCTCTGCTGTGGCCTTTATTCGTTGCGGCCTGTGAGGCCATCAGCCCCGGCGACAGAGAGTTGGCACAGCAGGCGTTCGTGGCGGTCGAGCGCAGGCAGGGCATGACGAACATTCAGCGCGCCTGGACCATCGCGCAAGAGGTCTGGAGACGCGCAGACATGATTGATGACCACACTACGGACGATGGCGGCGCTGTCACGATGTCGACGCCCAGCCAGCAGCTTGGCAAGGGGGCAGACCTGTGGAGACGTGTCAGCGAAGATATGGGCGTGACGATTGTCTTTGGGTGAGGCATCTTCATCTCCAAAGGTATACATATCCACATATGATGACGAATGCGCCCTCGGTCGTGCATAGCGGCGGTGATGAGACCGGACTCAATGAGCAAAGGCAGGCATATCTGGCAATGGATTGGGCGGCTTACACAAAAACACAATCTTACGCATGGGAATTCTTAGTGACAACGACGGTGGGAACTATGGATAGGCGCTACTGGTGTCTTTTTCTTTTCTTTTCTTTCCCCCCTTCGAAGTTGGACTCGGAGAAAATCATGTCGATGGGGGCCAGAGCCGTAGGAGAGTGGGTTTGTATTTGTAAGTCCTGGATATCGAGCTCTTTTCCGGGGGTTTTACGATATCATCACTTTGTAATGGGCGTCAATTGAAAGCCGTCCTTGCCTGCCTCATTTCCATCATATAGGTATGGAATGTCATATCGGGCTGTTTACTCTATTTCCCACCTGGACATCCAATCGCCCGTTATCACTGGTGGGTGTGGCACTAGCCCGACAGCGGCAGCGGCTTCGCCCTCCGGTCGCAACCGTGACTCGGAGCGGATGGCTTTTCTTCATAAACCTATTGCGTTGAGTACTGATCATGGTACTTTTACTGTGTTTTTATGACTGTGTACGGCCAATGTTGTGTGCCTGTGCAACCTCAAGAGGGGCCCGCCTTGTACTGGTACCTTTGTAGGCTTGAGATCTGGGGTAAAGCGGGGCCCTCTGCTGTCTGGTGGGAGAGCATTTCCATCTGACGAAGCCACGGCAGGGCAGTATTCGTTCTACGTTTAGAGGAGAGCCATCGTCCCTGAACCACGACGGACTTGTGTCCCGCAACGAAGAATAAACCCGGTTTATAGCCGTACACGTTTGGAGATGGAGTGAAAGTTCATCTAGCACTGCGACTGCTTGCACACATGCGCGAAAATGATATAGGATATATATGATGGCGTCCGGATTAAGAGCGCACACACAGCTAAGGTTGAGGTCGGTAGGGGACGGAAGGTATTCTCCGCGCGAGGTACTCTGTGACTACCGGGTAGATAGGTAGTTACACGTGTTCGTTCCATTTGCGCCCTGGTGACCCGGCACTGCGGCTTCTCTTAAAAACACTTGCCTTGGATATCCACAGTACCTGGGGAGGTAGCTATGAAGTATTCAGCGCAGGGCAGTGATCTCGCCACAAAAGAGACTGCAAAGACCCAGTTTTCTGCACCTTTGCTTAGGTACCTATAGTATATCGTACATTGAATGTAAGGTCCCTAGGACTACAACTGTAGTACGTACTGATTTCATACGACCTACACTGCTGCCAGGTAAACCACCTAAGGCAGGTAGGTAAGCAGTTCAAATTAGGCAGGCAGGTAGGCACCTTCTAATGTGTTTGTGCTGTTTGTGCATGCACACAGGCAGGTACCTACGAGGTGCAGCAAATGTTCTCTGGTTCAGCCAAGTGCACCACACTGCAGATATTAGATACTGTGGAAGGTACGGAGTACTTGCTTGCTATGTACTGGTCAGGTACTCCAGCTCCAACCCCCCGATCCCTTTTTCCTGTCTTCCCCGTCCTTGACCACATTCCCCCAAATTCCATGTTAAGACGACGCAGTAACGACGAACCACATCGAAACAAACAACACTCGCTGAACCCCCGCCCTCCGACACAATGGCGGCGGTCTAAGACAAGGCGAGCTAACTCCCAACGCCCATCATCGTTCTCTCCCGCCTCCCGCCCACGTTGCCTTCGTCTCTGCCCCCTCTTTCGGCCGCCGTCGCCCTTCGCTTCTCAACCAACAGCTCTCGCTTGGCCCAGTACGGCTTGGCTCTCTAGTGCACCCTTTGCTCATATCTGTTGGTCGCATGTTAGCTTTTCACACCTTTTCCCCCCTTCTTTCCAACTCGGGATGAGACGTCCATGGTCCCCCTTTACACGAACTGCGGCCTCGAATTCCCATCTCTCCTGAGAGCTCCGGCCGCCATGTCCCATATCCGTCAAGCCCACAATTAACCTCCCGTCACCCGATTCTCGGCTGAAGCTCGAGCCCTACCACTGGACTGCATCTGGAGCTCGTCTCCACCGAACACTCTCACCCGCCGCCTGCACCAGCACCACCCAAGCTTTCCCCAAGAACCTAGAACTGTCCCCAGGAGCCACAACCCCAGTCTGCCTACTGCCAAAATTCGAGTCAGTCCCTGTCTTGTGTTGGGAGAGACCTGTCTTACCATCTCCACAGGGGTTCGACCTGACTTTTGGAGACCCGACGTGGACCACTCTTGCGTTGCGTTGGGCCGGCTTGGGCTGGTCTGGTCTGTCCCTTTCAGTCAATATCCGCCCACTGCAGCGCAGCATCATGCTGCATGACCGTTGAGAGGTTCCTTCACCTCGCGCGCCATGACCTCCATCATTGAAGGAGCGACGACCCCCGCGCCAAAGCAGATCCGCTTCGTCCACAACCAAGGTCAACCACCATCCAAGAGACGCAGAATCAACGCCGCGTGAGTCTTTCCCCGCTTCCTCTTTGCTTTCATTCTCCCGCCCGTCCCTCTCGAGCCCGCGGCCCCAGACACAGAAATCCTTCCTTGCCTGCAGAAGCTGACCTGACTCGACTCGTTGCTAGCTGCCTGACCTGTCGCAAGCGAAAGACGAGATGCGCCGGCGAGCGCCCTATCTGCTCAACCTGCTCCAAAAACGGCCACACATGCTTGGGTTACAACGAAGCGATTGAGAAGAAATCTTCAGGTGCCGCCACCGCCACCCGGGACCCTCTTCATGACGGCGACGACAACGAGGACGGTAACGATGACAACGATGAGGACGACGAAGCAGAAGCCCAGCCTCGCGAAGAGGAAGGCTGTCACGATGAGAGGCGCCAGCAGAAGGGAAAGAAGGACCTGCGACCCCCCGTCGTCCAACAAAGGGGCGGTGATGCACGACCGACAAAATCTGCTACCCCTCCTGGTCGCCCGCCTACATTCCTACGACGGTCGTCAGACTATAGCTCTCGTGAACAAGATCAAACCTCACATCACCGCCGCACCTCCCGCCCTCGCACGACGTCTTTCTCCGACGATGCTCATAGCGCGCATAGCCGTTCCCCTGTCTTGCATCATACCGAGCGCCATAGGGTGCCCTACTTCCGCTATTTTGGGCCAACGGCCATCGTACCTGGCTACAAGCAGATGGTCGTCTCTGTCCGGGACAGAAGGCGGAGTACAGGAGGCTCCGCCAGTGCTACATCGCCAAGTTCCGGCTCCAGTGTGATTCAACCCATGGGTATAGCGCTATCAGGCATGCTTCCCCACGACGAGGAAGTCGCCGCGGACGAAGACCTGCCCGTATACGACCCTACTGACGCTGCGCCGGTGCACCCCCTGATTTTACACTTGGTGAAGACCTTTTTTCTGCATTTGGGCTGCAACTATCCCTTTCTGAAAGAAGAAAGATTCGTTCGCATGGTCAAGGAGAAGAGAATCGAACCAATTCTCGTCGATGCTGTATGTGCACTAGCCGCCCGGTTTTCCGATTCGCCACAACTCGGACACAACAAGGCAGAGGAAGCATCGCATGCGGAGAAAGGCCAGCATTACGCCCATAGAGCCAAAGCTGCTACTGTCGATACGTTCCCCTGCCCATCTGTGGGTGCTGTTCAGGCGCTTCTGATGATGGCATACGAGGGCTTCGGTGCAGACCAGGACAGCGCCCTATGGATGTACCTGGGTCTAGCTATCCGCATGGCCGTAGACCTTGGCTTGCAAAAGATGGTGGGCGTGAGATATCAAGGTGAAAGAGACCCTTGGTTTACCCGTCATGGCGGCCAAGCAAGTAGTGAGGCCGGGGCAGACGAAGAGCCACAAGAGGACGAAAACAGTCTTACCCGCGAGCAGCAGCTCGAGGTGGAACAGGAGCGTACCGATACGTTCTGGGCTGTCTTCATACTCGATAGGGTCATTTCGTCTGGCACAGGCAGACCCGTGACCATACGTGACGATGACTTTGAGTTGGCGCTACCGGAGCCAACGCTCGACCCGACTTCTGGATGGCCTGCCCCTTTCCCCGTCTTCATCCAGATCATTCATCTGTACGGCCGCGTTTCTGACGTTTTGAATAATATTCGTAATGCCAAGGACATCACGCAGGAGAAGTGGACAAGACTGGCCCGGATGGAGCACGAGTTAACAAGGTTGTACCAAAAGCAGGATCCCCGGCTTCATTTCAGCGTCTCCAATTTCAAGACGTACTTGAAATTGGGCCAGGGAGCGAACTTCATACTCCTGCACTTTTGGTTCCATGCGCTCATCATTATCCTCCACCAGCCCACCCTCTTGACTCCCTTTGGCTCGTTGAGCCGCACACACCAACTGCTACCCAACAGTCGTGAGCTGTCCATGTCGAGTGCCAAAACCATCGCTGACATTCTGGCGTTCGCCGAACTCATTGACCCAAAAAGCTTCATCAGTAACCCGTTCACGTCCCAGCCTATTTACATCGCCGCTTGCGCCTTCCTCATGGAATCCATCGCAAACGCCTCCAGCCCTACATCGCGAGAAGCCTCTCCCCCAGCCGAGCTCAAGACGGGAAGTCAGAAGCAGAAGTCGTCCTCTCATGACCACAGAGCATCATCTACAAAGCACTCTCTTTTGGCCTCGGCCGCCAATCAGAATTACTCGCGCTGTTACAAGTCTCTGCAACAGTTACATAAGTACTGGGGCGGCGTCAAGTACATTCTCACGGCACTTGACCAGAAGTCCGAGGGTATATGGGACTGCGAGACTTACACCAGCGAGGAATACGAAAGCACCAGGCTGCCCCGCCGCGGCTCCATCGGCAGCCAGTTTCCCCATCCTACGTCGCCCAACATGCCACCTATCGCTTGGTCTCTGACGGGCACGACAAACTCGCCCAACTCAAGCCTCACGCTCATGTATCAGAACATGCATGCCGCGGCATCTGGCCATCACAACTTTACACAGTCGCAGACGTCCAACGCCCCCACTTCCGCGCCTACACCTCCCGGCAACATGATTTACGACCCGATCCGACAGAGTCTTCCGGAGGCGGCGCCTCACTCCATCTTTGCCACTGCCTATCCGCAACCGGTAACGTCTGCCATGCGACATTTACCCCGGCAGCACTCATCCCAGCGGGTGTCGGCATCCTCTATGGATAGCCCGCATGGACAAGGGAGAGGACAGATGCGGTTCAATGGCATCCGCGAAGAGGAGGCGTCTTCTCCCATGGGCCATGGCAGCTCGATGGTTGCCGGATCCTCTGCTCCGCAGCAAACCCCTTCCTTCACACCGTCATCGCATAACTCGACAAACTACGATCGTCACATTATGCCATCCGTCTCTCCGTCTAGCAATATGCACGATGCAACATCACACCATCACCACAGTGGACAGCATATTGCGTTCGATCCAACATATGCGAATGCCACCTACTCGTATCTCGGCCATGGCATGGGTCCCATCACAGATGTCATCACTTTCGAAAACCCTATTGACATAGGCGCGTTGGGTTTGCCCCATGAGATGGTGCCGCCGTGGTTGGAGTACCTGCCCGGCGACGTTCTAGGCCTCTTTGAGAACAACGACATGGATCCAGGGTCTTAACTGGGTTGCCGCCTTGGCCTGGCATCAAGCAGCCATCCGATGACCAGCCAGATATTTGCAGCATGTCTTCTATTAGAGCGAACTGAGCCACAATGCATCTGCTGTAACGCGTCGAGACAGCATTCGGCTCACCTTATCTGAAGCTGTGTCCATTTGTGGTACACAGCCCCTGGGGTATTGGCGTCAGGTGCAACGAATGTTCTGCGGGCAGTCTCTAACTTTTGGCTAACTAAGGTAATGATAACGACACGAAAACTGTTTTTTTTAAGGGGGGGTTTATATAGGGGCTGTTTGTAAAGCATATATCGCGACTTCAGTGTAAGCTATACTATATTTGCTGTATGTAAGAAAAATGGAACCCGACGATGACAAGAGCAGTATATATTCAGGTGATGGTGAAACTTGGGAACAGCTCGTCAGAAAGGCTTAGGCCCGTCTCGATGGTGAAGTTGACCATTTGACCGTTGCCGTCAATTTCTTTTGACTTCCGGTCCGGGGGCGGGTGTGGAACCAAGCGGGATCGTGACTCGGAGCCGGATTAACCGTAGCAGCTGGGGCGGTGGGTTCCCGGACAGTACGCCGTGCCGCCCGCTCTGCGCTCAGGACGGAGTGGGCAAGATGGCTGGCAGGTGTCTGCGGATTTGAGTCATGATGGAGGGCGAGACTGACGCAATTGCCGAGAAGACTGGAAGCGAACGAAGACGATGGCGTTTCAGGGACGTAAGGTGCACGAGAGAAAGGTTTACGCCCGTAATAGATTTTTTCTTTTTTATTTCCCCTGTTCTTTTTTCCCTTTTTCGAGAGAAAGGATGCGACTGTTAACGTCCAGGACTTCAACATTCAACATTGAATAATTGGGTAAACCGGGAAAAGAGATCCAGAAATGGTCGGTGATGTCGCGATGGGATCCCGGGCAGGTCTGACGACACTGGGCGGCCAGCACATGGGTGAAAGGAGCACGATAAGTGGACAGGTGGGTCCTTCTGTTTTAGTAGACTACCTCTACTTGGCAGTCTGAGTGGGAACCGGACTTTTTGCGGAAAGACTGCCCGGCTAAACCTTGGCCGGCTCAAAGAGTAACCATACACAGGATTTTCCGACGAGCCGAGCGGGAACTTATCCCTGCTGGTCAGGCGGTACGTACCGCGCAAGCATCGGGAAATGGCTCGTGCACACTGCGTAACCAAGTGCGATGGCGGGTAGGTGCCCGAGTAATCCCGAGCCAATGTGTGGTTGGCCGCAGAGGACAAGTTCCCAATTCGCGCGCCGGGGGCGCTGCTGCTGTCCGGAAAAAAAGAAAAGAAAAAAAAGGCCTCAGTTTTCCCTCGACAAACAACAACCGAAAAAAGTTTCTCCCTTGTTCCTCTCCATCCTTCAATCTTCACGATCCTCTTTGCGCGGTCCTTCGTGTCAAGTCCTCCTCTCCACTCGGCCCTTTTGTCTGTTTTTTTTCTTCTTCCCGGTTCACACATCATATCACACGCAATGGCTTCCTCTTTGCCCTCCACCGGCTCGACCAAGGTCGACGCCGTCGTCGAGAAGGCTGCTGCCAACGCCCCTGGCCAGCTGTCCGGCTTTGCCCTCTACTCCAGATTCGCCCTTGCCGGTGCCGTCTGCTGCTCCGTCACCCACGGTGCCCTCACTCCCGTCGATGTGTAGGTTTTTCTTTCCATTCTGTACTTGTCGGCTGTTGCGAGTTTCGTCGTCGACCCCGATCGATCCTGCGGTGTTTTCGCGCAAGGGGCGGACAAAAACTGCGTTTGCCGAGGGATGCTCCGGCCCATCGGGACGGACACAACACGCACCATTGGCACTGGCTAACAATGTCAACAGCGTCAAGACCAGAATCCAGCTTGACCCCGCGACCTACAACCGTGGCATGATCGGTGGTTTCCGCCAGGTCATCCAGTCCGAGGGTGCCGGCGCTCTGCTCACCGGTTTCGGTCCTACCGCCGCTGGCTACTTCCTCCAGGGCTCCCTGAAGTTCGGAGGATACGAGTTCTTCAAGCAGCAATCCATCAACCTGATTGGCTACGAGAACGCCGTCAACAACCGCACCGCCGTCTACCTCGCCTCGTCCGCCGCCGCCGAGTTCTTCGCCGACATTGCCCTGTGCCCCCTCGAGGCCACCCGTATCCGTCTCGTCTCCGAGCCCACCTACGCCTCGGGCCTCATCTCGGGCTTCGGCAAGATGCTGAAGAACGAGGGCATCGGCGCCTTCTACGCCGGATTCGGCCCCATTCTGTTCAAGCAGTAAGTCCCCATTCCCGTCCCCGCCCGTCCCGACCCACACACGTGTGGAGGGAAGAGAGAGAGAGAGAGAGAGACGACAGCAAACTGACACGGATGCATAGGATCCCCTACACCATGTCCAAGTTCGTCGTCTACGAGAAGGTCTCGGAGTTCATCTTCCGCAGCTACCCCAAGAACACCCTCTCGGACAGTGCTCAGACGGCCGTCAACCTCGGCTCCGGTCTCATTGCCGGTTTCGCCGCCGCCATCGTCTCGCAGCCCGCCGACACGATGCTTTCCAAGATCAACAAGACCAAGGGTCTCCCCGGTGAAGGCACCACCTCCCGTCTCGTCAAGATCGCCAAGGAGCTCGGCATCCGCGGCTCCTACACCGGTATCGGTGCCCGTCTCTTCATGGTCGGTACCCTCACGGCCGGTCAGTTCGCCATTTACGGCGACCTGAAGAAGGCCCTCGGTGCCACCGGCGGTGTCGAGATCTCCAAATAAGCGAGTCGACGAAAAGACGTCGTGCAGGGTGATGAAGGTTGGGTGCTGATTTCAGGAGAAGGGGGAGACGGAGGCCAGTGACGATGTTATCTTCGTTGCCTTGGCCCGCCCCTCCCTTTCAGCCTGGATTCGGAGTGTTATATCCGGGCATAATGACGGCGGGGACAACAACACATTCATGATGATATCCTCGCGGCTGCTTGCTTCGGGCCCCCGCAATAGAAGCTTTTGTTATTTCATTTTGTACGACGACAACATAAGAAGGGCTACAGGGGCAACGATTCGGCCCGGCAAGCTTCTTTGTTTCATCTGTTTGGGAAAGAGTCTTTGTAGATGGGGACTCGGGAAAGAAGTCTTTTTCTCACCAAACTGCCTATCGTTAGACGCAATAGAGCAATGATAGACGGAAAGATGGCTGGCCCGCCGGAGGGGTTGTATAATAGTCGCTCTGTAGTTTTTTTTTTCTTGCAATCATAGACTCTTTGCATACATGTGTATGGCTTTGCAGATGGAATGTGACTGATGGATTGCTCAGTTATGTTCTGACCCGGCGGTAAGATTGACAGTATCATATGTCTATGATGATTAGGTGGAGTCTTGTTTTTTTAAACTTTTTTTTTTTCTTTTTTTCGCAGGTCAATTGAATTTGGGCGTCCAAGCGTCCTAGGAACAGGGTCATGCAGCCTAAGCACATCGGACTTTCGGCCTGGACGACGGCACCAGGGCTCCGGGCGCGGTGATCAGACTATTATCGCGACCGACATTTTGACCCCCTGGAGACAGGAGGGTCCCGAAGCATTCAGATGACGTTACAAAAAAAACCAATGAGAGGGGGAAAAAAGATAGCAGCATGTGGTACTCTCGAACAGCAGTGTTCATCGAACGTGGAGCGCGGAACAGCACGGAGATGGGGAGATGGCCGGTCCGGAACCTTCGACCGACACCCCGTTGGGAGAGCGAGGAGGGAAGAATTAAACACGGGGCGATATCAGACAGGAAGCAAATGTCGCCCCCAGCCTTTTCCATTTTCTTTGCCCGCATCGAAAAAAAAAAAAAAATATGGATCGAAAGATTCGGGTGGAACGAGAAGGTGGAAAACACGAGCAAAAAGAATTGGGCGGAAACCGCCTCACTTACTTACCGCGCGCCCACCGGAAGAGACGGCGAGGGGTGGGAGGTTGGGCGAAGCGGGTACAGTTAGCGATCGACCGCCGCTGTCTGTTTCTGTGGCTCCCACGCACCCCACCACCGCCGCCAATACCACCACCGCCCCGTGTTTTGGCTGGGCAACGCGAGTAAACAAACCGGGGGTCAGGGAGCAGCTGTTGGGGGGGTTCCAGCCACTCCCGTCACTTGTCAGTGCAATTGCAGAGCCAGGACGCGGTGTCATTCGACGCGGGACTGGGGGGAGAGGAACGGAGGGGGAAAAAAGGGCAGGGAGGAGACGCAGCGACACATCACCTCGCCTCTCTCCCTCTCACCGCTGCCCAAAGGGTCTCTATCTCTTTTTCTTGGTAAAAAAGGGCCAGAAAAGGGAAACCCACTGTTTGGGCCGCTGGACCAACCACTACGAGACAGCGAAGCACATATCAGCCCGGAAACTCAAGGTACTCCTTGTCTCTGGCCTTTTAGTTTTTTGACATCTCGACCTTTGGAGGTTTGCTCTTCCTAGTCTTTAATCTTTGTTTACTCTCTTCCACAGTCTGGTTCTATACACCAACCAAACCAAACCACCCACCAATTCCACCACTTCCCAGCCGCTAGGTTGCTCCCTCGACCCGTCCCGAGCCGAGCATACACACACACACATCTCCAAATACTGGGGATCCTCATTCCTCGACCTTTCCCCATCCTCCCCTCCCTCCCCCAGAGACAAGAGAGACAAGAGGAGGGTCCCGTCCCAACAATCCCGCCCGCCCGGAAGCCCGCTTTTTTGGGTTATACACTTTTTGGTTTCCGTCTTCAGGTTCTCTCTCTCCGCCGTCGCCGCGCACGAGGCCCCCGCCGAACCCGAAATCATGGACGACAACGACAACGTCCCCGCCAAGCCCGAGGTGGAGATCGAGGCCGAGGCCGACAAGAAGGAGGACGCGACGGCTCCCGAGCCTGTTTCTGAGCCTGCGGTCGAAGCTGGCGCGGAGGAAGCTGTGGAGACGGAGCCTGCCGCAGAATCAACACATACCGCTGACGAGAAGGAGGATGATGTGGAAGTTGAAGTTGAAGCTGAAGCTGAAGCTGCAGAGGAAGCAGAAGAAGAAGCAGAAGTAAAAACTCAAGCTGAAGTAGAAGCCCAAGCTGAAGCAGATGCCGAAGTAGAAACTGAAGCTGAAGCTGAAGCCGAGGTCGTCCCAGCAGAAGACGACACGCCGACTGCAGACGAGGCCGCCAATGACACCACACAAGACGAGCCCGAGCAGGCAGATGCCAAATCGGAAAAGGATCTCGCGGAACAGACTTCCGAGCTAGAGCCCGCGGATCATGCCGACCCACAGGAGCCCGAGCCCGGGTCCGAGCCCACGCTTGAGGCCGAGGAAGAAGAGCCTCCTCAAGCCGAGTCGGAGCCACCATCCGAAGATCAACCTCAAGAGGGGGTTGAGGAGGAGCCGGCTCCGGAAGAGCCCCAATCTCAGGTCGAGGAAGAATCCGAAGAGAAAGAACCACCTCACGACGAGCCTGACGCGGAACCCGAGGTCGAGACAGTGGAGCCAGAGGCCGAGCCCGAGGTCGAGGCCGAAGAAGACGCTCAGCGAGGAAAATCACTCCAGCCGGCGGCTGAAATCACATCCACCGCCGACGAGGCAGCCGAGGACCACGAGGAGCCCGCCGCCGTGCAGGGGGCCAGCCGCTCTTCCTCTTCTCTCCGCCGCACCTCAGGCAACACCGAGGCCCTCATCCACGCCGCCGCCAAGGAGGTCCTTGAGCGCCTCGAGGCCCAGACCATGGAGACCATCAGGAACAGATCGCATTCCCGCCAGGACTCGGCCGGGTCTACCAACCACGGGACCGAGCTGCACTACGACGTCCGCTCTGGAGAAAGCCGTCGCGAATCCTACAACACTGAACCTCGGGCTAGCCGCCGTGAGTCGTACAAAACCGAATCGCGGGCGAGTCGCCGCGAGTCTTACAACACTCAACCCCGAAGCAGTCGTCGCGAGAGCGAATTCCGCCCTCCTTCTGTACATGCCGAGGATGCCGCCGATAGCTCCTCCCAGCACGGCGACTCGGACGTGTTCAGCGACCGCAGCCCCCGCAGCTCGCTGGGGTCGTTCGACGGCCATGTCGACTACCACAAGGACGCAAGCCACCGCTCCTCCAAGCGCTCCTCACGCAACATGCCCGACGACGTGTCCATCTCCGAGATGTCCTACTACGATAAAGAAGAGTTCGTCCCCACCATCCGCGGCACCAACCGCATGCCCTTTCGCTCCCCCTCCGATGTTCGGGCCCTGCAGTACTCCTCGCCGGCCCCCTCCGTGACGGGCTCCTACTCACCGCGCTCCGCCAAGCGCGCTCAGATACCCACCATCTCCCGCCTCGGCAGTCCCACCGTGTCCGGGCAATACAGCACCAAGGGCCGCAAGACGCCCACCCGCTTCAACCCCAAGAAGGAGCCCGCGCCCCTTGTGCTGCTCCACGTCACCCTCCTTCCCCTCCGCTGGCAGTGGGCCGAGATTCTCGAGCAGACGTCCTCCGACATCCTGTCCCCCGAGGCCAAGACCCTGCGCGAGGCCTGGCACCACCTCCACGACCGCGTCGCCGACACTGTCTGCGAGCGCGGCATCCTGCTCTCCCACCCGCAGGAGGACTACGAGCTCCTCGAGGAGCGCCTGCTCGAGGCCCTCGACCTACCCCTGCGCCGGCGGGCCCGCGTCCTCGAGTGCGGCCACTACATCGGCCCTTCCAACGAGATGACGCCCGGCGAGGACGACGACAGCGACGAGGATGAGTACGACGAGGACGCCAGGAGGAGGAGCGGCGCGCTGGTCAAGACCCACTGGTGCCAGACGTGCCGCCACGACATCCGCTACGAGTCGCTCGGCCCCGGCAAGATCTTCCGCATCAAGGTGTACGCCAGCAACGGCCTGATGAGAACGGGCGCCTGGGCGGCCTGCTGGAAGGAGATGGAGCGCGTCGACGTCGAGATCGAGCCCATTGTCGAGTCGGCCGTCCTGGACGAGCTGGAGCGCCTCGTCTTCGCCCAGTCGCAGCAGCTGCAGCTCGTCAAGCACGACCCCGCCATCCTCGAGTCCACCGAGGGCAGGGACATGCCCGAGGACCGTGGCATGTCCGACTTCGACCACGGCATGCCCTCCATGGAACGCGACATGCGCTCCCTGGACCGCGGCATCCCCGCCCTGGAGGAGCCGCCGCGGCGCGAGCCCTCCCACTTGGAGGAGAACAACCTCCTCGAGCCCAGCTACGCCGATCGCGAGGCCCACATCGCAGCTTCTTCGCCCTCCCCGGCTGCCGGCGACGCCCGATCGCCCTCTCCTGCTCCCATGCCCCACTACGACGAGAGCGAGGAGCGCCGCCTCCGCGACGAGGAACGCATGCGGGAGATCTACGGCCACCCGCCGCCATCCGAGTCCCAGCACCACGAGCCGGCCCCCGAGCCCCCCCATTCGGAGTCGCGCCACGAGTCCTTTTCGGCCCAGTCCCCGCCGCCGCACCCTCCCTCCCCTGCTCCCCAGCAGCAGCAGCAGCAGCAGCAGCAGCCCGAGCCGCAACAGGCGCAGTCCCAGCAATATCCGCCCCACCAGCCCGCGGGCCCGGAGGCGGCCTACCCCCCGCGGCCGCAGGGTTTCCAGAACGCCGGGCTCGGCGAGCTGCTCCTCGAGGCGGCGCGCGTCTTCATGCAGGACAAGAAGAACCTGGCCATCGTGGTCATGAGCCTTCTCGTGCTGTTCATGGCGGTCCGGCCCGCGCCGAGGGAGGTCAGGGACTGGGACGGCAAGTTCGTCGAGCACCTAGCGCCCGTGGTGTCCGAGCCGCCGTCGACGGCGTCGGCGGCGCCTCCGTTGATGGAGACTGTCCAGGCCGTTGTCGAGTCGGTCGCGTCGTCCGAGGAGGCCCCGGCGCAGGTTGTTGTTGTGCAGTCGACGGCCCCCGACGTCGAGGCTGCCGAGCTCAACGAGGTCCCGGTGGCGGAAGCAATCGCTTCTGTCGCCAATGAGCGGCCTGCTCAAAGTACTTCGGCGACCGCCACGTCGCAGACATCTGCTGTGGAAGAGGAGACGCCCTCGCCGGCGGCGACATCGTCCTCGTTGTCTGAGGAGGTGATGGCCCCCGCGGCCCCTACCCCAGTTCACGAGACCATCGTCACTAGGGAACTGGTCCGTATCATCGAGACGGTGACGGAGACGGTCAGAGCTGTGATTACCGAGACGGAGGTCGTCAGGGTCCAGGCTACGTCTAGCGTAGTGCCTGAGGTCCTTGTTGAGGAGGAAGCTGCTGCTGCTCAGGCGGAGGCGCCTCTCGAAGATGCTGCCGCCAAAGAGGCCTCCGCCGCCGAGACGGCTTTGCTTGTGGAGGAACCCGTGACCGAAGAGGCCCCAGCCACCGAGACGGCTCTGCCTGTTGAGGCGACTGTGGACGAACAGGTCGTCAAAGACCAAGATGTTGTGGAGGACGAGCACGACGAGCTCTGATGTTGATAATGGTTTTTGAGGTGACACATGTGAGAAAGAGGCATACACGAGATGAACGACGACAGGAACAAAGCCAATGTGAAGAAAGTCTGAAAGAGATATGAGAAAGGGTATGTTGGTGAATGACGTGAAGCCTGGGGTGTCTGGCTTTTTCTTTTCTGTAAAGCATTTTGGAACGATCGTTACAACAAGCAAGCAAGCAAGCCAGCTTTGAAAAGAAAACTGTGATTTCCGGTTATTTTTGTTGATGGTATACGGCATTTGGAAGGCGTTTGCGAAGGTTTGTATTTTGAGTACTGTAAATAGACAACATGAATTTGGACAACCTCTAATTAACTTGTTGTCACAATGTGATGTAAGGCGTTAGTTGTGCTACTGCAACTAACGGCGTCGTTTTTGCGCGACACTTGTAAAGTAAAAACAGCATGACACTGTGTATACATAGCCATTCTAAGCCCTCCTCATTGGAAAGTAAAGTTCGCCCAATTCTCGTCAGACAACACAAATCCCTGCATTGGCACCGGAGAGAAGATGTCTCCGCCAAGCATATCGTCCATCTCCGTGCTGAATCCAGCGGACAAGTCCTGCTGGTCGCGCAGGAAATCCGCGACTGTGAAGTGGTTTTCATCCTCAGCAAGCTCGATTGCTCTGCTGAAGCCCTTCTCCGTGTCCCCTACGGCGCCGGCGCTGATCAAGAACCGCACCATGTCAAGCCGGCCGTGTTCGGCTGCGCCTTCAATTGCCGTTCGGCCCTCTTCGACCGCAGGCGCAGCGTTGACGTCTGCTCCGTGGTCGAGTAACTGTTTGGCAATGTTTATGTTGCCGCTGATAGCTGCACCTTGCAATGCTGTGATGCCGCCTGTTCTTGCTGGAGGCGCGTTGACATCTGCACCGACCGACAACAGAAGCTCGACCATTGCAGGTATGTCTTCAGGCTCCCACCCGCATACCGCCGCTTACAGAGCTGTCCGGCCAAATTCATCGTCCGGGGGAGCGTTGATTTGTGCCCCATAATTGAGCAGTAGGCGAACAGCACCAATGTCTCCAACTTCGGCTGCAACCTGCAGTGGTGTCTTCTGGCCACGAGAAAACCGATCTTTGTCCTCGATTCGAGCTCCTGCTTGCAGTGCTATATCGAGGCATTCGATGATAGGCTTGAGATGATTGCGGATAAGAAGATGGAGGACATTTCCATGATCACCATCTGGACGGTTGATTGGTGCGCCTCGAGACAGCCAGTCTCGGAATCCCGGGACCATGTTGAAGTCAAGAGCTCGAGTCGAGAAAATTGTTAAATGCTGATGGGCGAATGCTTCGAGAACAGTCATGCCCCTCTGCTTAGCGGGAGGTGCTCTGACATCAGCTTTGGCATCCAGAAGACACTTTACGATATCATCGTAGCCATGTTCCAATGCTGCTTGCAAAGCCGTGCGGCCGCCATCGTCATGCGCTGGAGCGTTCACATCCGCGCCTTGGTCGAGTAAGAACTGTACCAGCAGTAGTTCCATTCGTGACGACGCCGCTTGCAAAGCATTCTTGCCACGGACCCCGTAAAGATTAATACGGGCTCCCAGGTCGAGGAGGAGGTCGCAGCCAGCCATGTCACCACACGAAGCGGCAACTGCCAGGGCCGAAGCCCCCAAGATATCCGACTGATATCTTCGTAAAATACTATAGATAAGTGGCGCCTCAGTCTTCCAATTATGGAGACGATGACTCAGCCTCAAAAGCATGACCTTGTTTGCGTGGGCTCCGGCTTTGAGCAAGAGGAGGAGAATATCAATGTCGGTATCGTCCAGGGCGTCGTAGTCAATAGCCAGTTGCAGTGGCGCACTTAGTAATAATTGAGGGTCGACATCCCCAAAGATGTGGCTCCCAGTTTGACGATTTCTCGCATCGGGGTCTACCCCACGTCGAAGCAGCGTTCTCACAGCCAAACTATTTCCTAGCTTGACAGCTTGGCACAAAACAGTATCCAATGATTTTTCTTGGATAATACTGTGGTCAAGCAATATCTTCGAGAGTGCTTGGCTGCCTGACGCTGCGGCAACGACCACGTCGTCCAATAGTCTTCTGTGTGGGACTGCCGCTTGGTGTTGGTCTAACAATCGACGAAGCATCGGAAATCCGTCACTCCTTTCTTTTCCGTCTTCGTAGGACAAAAGCCGTTCCAAATTTGCCGAGACAACGCAAAACTCACGTTGCATATCGACGCCCTTTGAGAGTAGGAGTTCTGCGCTTTCAACACTTCCAATTTCCAATGCGACGGTAATAGCATTGAAAATGTCGTCTCGGTCCAGTGTCCGGCCTTTCGTAGAACCAAGTTCAAGAAGGTATTCAACTATGTGGGGTTTCTTCTTGTAGACAGCCTGTACCAAGGGCGTGCCTTTGTGCTTCTGCGCTCCGTCCGTGATCGTCGCAATAGTGTCTACCTCAGCGCCCCGGGTAACAAGCATGTCCAAAAGGTCGGTTGAGTCGCCATGGATGATGACAGCATGAAGCAACAGCCCGCATACTTTCTTAGAAATATGTAAACTTTCGTCCCTATAAATTTCCATGATATTTAAGATCACATTTCCACTGGGTCTGCTTATCTGATTCATTTGTTGATCCCGAGATGCTCGTAGAATGGCTTCGGCGAACGCATTGGAAATTGCCGGACATTTCTGAAGGTAGGATGATAGCTGGTCCTTGACCCTGGCAAGAAATATCCATGTGCAGAAAGAAGCAAGCTTCATGAAAACCATGTCGTTGTTACAACAATGATGTATGACAGTTGCAAATAACAAATAAAGTATCCGGTGGTCAGTCTTGATAAAAGACGTCAGAGCCTTAATGTCGTAAGAAGAGCTACTGAAATCATTTTTGTTAAACATTATATTCAACAGCGTTGAGGCCAGTCGATGTTTGTTAGAGACTGACTGCATTCGAAATAGATGGAGAGAGACATTGTTTCGATGATTCCTGACTTTTGCGTGATGGTCAACCAGTTGTTGCAGACGAACCATGTTGTCTCGAGCCAAGGAACTGCTGGTCTCCATGCTGTTGATAATAGTGCACACATCTACCATCTTGGTAAGAAAATTTCCCATCCAAAAGGTGAACATTCATACCTGGTAAAAGAAGAAACGTCGATTGTGGAAGATTGCTTGACCAAATAGTACGACCCAGCTTGGGTGAAGGGCAAGCATACGGCAGATTGAATGCCGGAAGGTTGATGTGAGTGGGAAACATTGGATTTGAACCAGTTGATTGATACTGATGATTCATCATCGATGTGCACATATTGTCTTCGAAGAGCCATGATGGGCTTAGTTGAGTCTCCGTATTGTTGATCATGAGCTGAAAGTCGCTGAGTGACCCAGCACAATATGATGCTTCGGCAGTCCCCAGCTTTGGCGTGCTCAAATCAAGATCCTCTAGATCGACGTGGGACATTATCCACCCAGTGGGATCGAGGATATGATCGTTGGTGCTTTCTTCAATAGAAATGGTGGCGTTTCCAGCGGTTTTATCTGTAGAGCAAGGGCTTCCCTTCGGGCTTTGGGCAAGTCCTGGGACTGGTGTACGAATCTCCAGGCGGTGTTTGTTTACAGTGTTTACGCCCAAGTCTGCGCTCTTGTCAGTAACACGCTGATGCTATATCTTGAGCGAGATACTCACCGATCACAGCCGCATCGCCAGTCGAATCTCGGCCCCGAGCTCCAGAGTAACGACGCATCTCCCTCGCCAGACGATTGGGGTCAATCTGGCGGTCATTGAGAAATACAGCTGAACTCTTGCCATCGGCCTTTCTCTTTTTGATCACTCTTTTAATGGCCATCCATTCGTTAGCACGAAGCTTCTTCAATCCCGAATATCTACTTTTGAACTGTTTGATCCTGAAATTTTGTCAATATTTTTGAATCAGACTTCATGATGGACCTTGAAGACTTACGTGATTTTCACGTTGTGTTGATCACGCAAGAATTGAATTGTTTCTTCGGCAGACTTGTCTTCGGTCACGTACAACCGAGTGATTTCATCGGCCCATCGCGGCCAGTCGACAGACATCGTTGATAAGAGGCCGTAAGTAAAGAAATCACAATGGGTAAATTGGCAATCCTGGTATTTCCTTTAGTAAGACCAAATTATGCTTCGAAATGCGTTCTTGAGACAGGAGATTGGCGAACAATAACGCAGTTAAGTAAAATTCGCCAGATGCAACCAAGCCAAGAACGTGGAACTTCTGCTCATTTGCCGCCAAGCCCAAAAGAACAACCGACTCTGTGACCGGACTTCTGCTACCAGGCCACTAATTCAGGCAATTGGTTGCCTTCTGGACGCGCAGCCCTGCGTACTGCATTGGTTGGGCATCCATGCCTCCTCATGCATACGACAAGGGCAATTGAGTTGACATGTATGAAGTAGACACTGACTGATTGGTGTTGGGCTGTCTTGCCCATCAGCCATTATATGCAATATGCATGGGTCTTCTGCTTTTCCCGCCATCAGAACGAGCGCCTGCTTGAGGCATCCAACGGTAATGGCTGCCTCAAGGCAGCCTTGGCGGGTTGCAAGGTCGCCAATAGTCAGCATGTCTTTAGTCCCAGCTCTCAAGCATGCAAACTCCTGATTATCTCATGCCTGACCTGCACATCTCTGTATACTGCTGCCAATCCCGATCTTTCTAAAAGGCAAACCCATGAACTTGCCTGAACGCATGGCAAAATAGGCTTTTACAGCCGTTCACATTCGTGGTGATAATAAAAAACATTAATTGTGCCGAGCCGTCTTGCACCCATCGGTTCATGCGGTCCCGCTGCAGTAGATCTCTGGTCGTCACCATTCGAATACCGATATTGCATTCCGGCAGCAATGCTTTCATTACCAGAAACATAAGCAATGTAGCTTCCAGATCCGGGGTGTTAACCGTCGCGTCCGCTTTCGGGCCCACACAAAGGCTTGTTGATTGTGTACGTTTGTAAAAACGTTAGGAGTTTCCAGAGTGACATAATATGGCAGTATGATCACATAACCTGCTCAGCAATATCTTAAATCCTCCTCTTCATACATTGAATAAATATAAACACAGCATATTTGTTGTTTCAAAGTCGGAAAACGTGACCTTACCTCGATTTTTTGCAAATGTTTCGTTGGTTTTCGCCACGGGTGAAGTCTATTGTCAGGTGCCTGGCGGGGATCACGGGTTGGAGCCGGTGTGCCCCTATTAGTCAGTCCATAAGGGATAAAACCCTTCCAGCTCACGATAGTTAAGGGGTCAGATTCGAATGCTGTTACGACACCATACCTACCTTCCGTTAAGTGGCCCTATCGTTCACTTCATCACTCGGACCAGCTGACCCCTGACACCTATCAGCTGGGTGAAGCAGCAGTACGTATATAACAACTGATACTACCTATTGTTGCCTGATGAAGGGAAACGAAAGAGAAGGGAGCTATCCGGGAACACAGAAAGAAGTAAGTTGCTGGTTGTCGAACGTTGGTAACCCAATTATTCCCGACTTGATGGTGCTCATTTCGGTATTCCAACAATTTCACTATGATAAAACTCTCCCAATCCATCTGGCCAGTACCTTCTCCATGCAGCTCTGGTCACATTTCTGAAAGTCCATCTGCCTCCAAACGATTTGTGGTACTTTTCGTTTTTCCCCAAGCAGGGGCCTTTGGCGACGCATTCGGAATTGAGGCAGCTATTTGGAGTTCCTCTCAATATTAACGGAGCTCCCCTTCTGCCTACGGTTGAACGGAGGCAAAGTTTGAGGACTCCACTTACCGCGGGTACAACAGCTCAAGGGGCCACTCGGCTTGTTCTTGTGAAGCCCTGCATATGTGGACGCATACCACCTTTTGGGTCGCATTTGTCAGAAAAGCTTGTTCGAGATTCAAAGACGAAGCATTCAACATGATAGGATGATATGCGTAATATGAGAGAACAACTAACGCATGGGATAAGGTCGTCTGTCAAATTCTTATACTGAGCGACAAGAAATGGGCGGTTGATTTCACTCTCTTGGGAATTTGGCGAACCCCTTGTTCCCCTAACTCGGTCAATCGAACGTTTGCAGGCACTCCTCTCGCCTATGTCAAAACTAACCGAGGTTCTGGCCGATTGCCTGTCATAACCACTAAATCTGTCGCGGGCTCTGCCCTGTACTTTGTCGAGGTTTCGGCAAGGAGACTAGACGCGACATGTTCATCATCCAACGCTAGTCTCATCTTGGAGCTGTTGGAAAGGGGTTTGTTTCGTGGGTCGGGGGGAGCGGAGGGTCTTGCTGCTGTCAAAAGCTTGTCGCGTTCAACAATGGGACTGATTGTGGCCATGGTGCTCTTGGGGTCACTTCGAGGATCAATGTGATTGCGCTGCCCGATTCTTTCTCTTCCCGAGAGGTTGAAGTCTACTTCACCACCTTCGCCTCTGGTTCTTCTGACGCGTACTTCCCTTGGCCATTCAACGTTGTCGTTATTATGGTTGTCTATCACGCCAGCCAATACGGAAGCAACCAGATATGTTAGGTGGACTAAAATCGTGGAAATTAACATGGCGTCTTTGGAACCAGGAATTCAGGGTGGAATGCGAGTCGTGGCTGACAACTTGGAGCAGCATCAGGGGACTTTAAGCTGCGAAATCACTGCTGGGTATAACATAGGGAAAGAACATAATTGCCCCTAATAAAAAAGTAAAAAGAAAATAGGTGACGCGAAACACGTCGTAGCGCCTTCTGGTCCCTTTATCTTAGTTCCCTTGCGTCCTTTGATTAGGTGTTTGCGGCGGTTTTCGGCCCCCAGAAAGAGAAGTAAAAGAAAATCAGGTAATTTAGAACATGTCTCCGCCTTCTGGTTCATTTATATTTGTTCCCTTGGGTCTCTTTTACTTGGCGTCTTTGGTGGTTGTCAAGTGCTTTGCCACTCGTCCGTTCCAATTGACCACAAAACATCAACAGAACCGGAATTATCGTCAACCTAAAGAGCTATGAGTATTGACTACGGTGTAGCATCACTGATGTATCCACCAAGGCAAATGTTTTAATTACATGGTTATCTCTGAGGACAGGATGGTATTTCAGTGTCGCTTTGTGTAGCCCCGTATCACTGTGACACTAGCTGTTGTCCCTGCGCTTAACGTCAAGAGGAGTCCGACTCACTGGCCGATATTCTTTGGAAATCAGGGGTTACGTTTCTTTGCCTGCCCTATGACTTGGGTTGCCCATCTTTAAAGAGTTCCAAGTCTTTCCCAAGTCATAACCCCCCCTTGCCTGGCTTGGACCGAATGAAGCAGAAGAACATTTGACATTTTCTTTATTCTGTCGCGAAATCATGCATCCAACTCTTGCTCAAGACAACCCGATCTCTACAAAGATGCTTTCATTTCCCAAGGTGGCCTTGACTTCACGCCTACGTGATGTTTCCCTCGAATCAAAACGCAAGCGGTCTGAACAAAGGAGGACAAATCTTTTCAGTAGAAACGGAGAAGCCACAGAACATTCGCCTAGCATAATGACCATTAGGTGTGCTTTGGAAATTGTGATATAGACATATATTAAGGGTTTTGACAGGTCTCTTAACAACATTATTCACTCTGAGTAAACACGCTGTCGACGTCGCCACAAAAGGTCAGCCCCAGCTGTCAGACTACAAGCCAAAGGTTGATATCGAAAAGTTCACTCAGATAGCGAATGTTCTTCAAGACAATGCACCTCACCGCCACCTTCCTCACGCTGGCTTCGGCCATCTCTGCCGCCAATGCGCTCTGCTACAAGGGCGGCAGGTCAGGAAAGTACGGCGAGTGGTTGAAGGAGAAAGATATCATCGTGGACACCGAACGTCTCAGCTTCGCATGCGCCAACCTGGTAGGCCGAGGCGATGTCAAGTTCAGCGCTTTCGAGACGAGGAGGACTTGTATGCAACAGGACTTGCGTACCAAATGGGACTTTGGCATCAAGGTGCGTCACCGCAATAACTGTACCCGGGTATCCGCAACAACCCTATGGTTGAATTTTAAACACCTTTGGAACGGAGTTGACGAGTGGCACAGAGCATGATTGACCCAGGTGGTAACGGCGAATCGACTTTATCAATGGAGGATTGCATGAAGATTCTGGGAAAAGTGGCATACGGCTGTGAATATGGTGGGGAAACTTGGAACAGTGCTTGGTTCGCCAGGTAAGCTCCAAAACATTTCCCTTCATGAAGGCTATCTTGACTAACGAACGAGGCTTCGGCCTTGATTAGCGCTGATCCGAATTTCGGTAGCTGCATGGGCTGAGTTATGCGAGCTCTCTACAGACCCATCCATACCTTTCTATGTCCAGACTATGCTGGTCTCCTTGACTGTTGAAGAAGAAAACGGCGCTGGGTACAACTTAGTCACCGGCAACTTTGCCTTCTAGTTCAGTCTAAGACTCTGATGAAACCATAGTCAGTTAGCAGCGGGGTGTCGCAACTCCAATTGCAAAGCCCAAAAGCAGTCACCAAGTTATACGTCATGTGCGAGTCTTGCATCCAAGTTATTGTAATACCACCAAGCTCTATTTGTGCTATATAGTTCTCAGTGGTGTACCCGAATCCAAAGTAAAGGTACTCGGGTTCTTCATGTTCGGTAAAGCGTGACTCAGATGACGAATCAGCCTTGGGTATTACATGGGGAAAATCCGTAAAGCTGCCTCTGCGAGCTTACATTGCTCCAATATTTCCGCTAGCTTCTCTTGGAGCCCCAATCATTTTCAGTCGGGTGTCAGCATCCATTCAGCTCACTCCCCGCCGCGGCAGAGACCATGTCGTTCGTCCTTTACGAACCCCTCCTAGGCTTATTGTTGTACAAAGTGCCCAGCTAGAATCGCTCGATAAACTCGGTGAGTATCAGCCTGCACATGATTGGTTCTGTTTCGGAAAGCGCAAGGAACCAAGACGCCATGGATGGCTGAGCCCCTGTGTGCTTATTCCGCTTCTTTGATTTGAACCTACAAACAGACATATCTTATGCCCTCTCCCGCCACGATGACGATGTTTCAGGCGGCAGACTGTGGTCAGCCGTCCTATTCGAGAGTTCTGATCGTGATTTAGCGTGCCCTAGTTTTTCAACTTGCAGCCTGGTTCGTATATCGAACCGCGATGAGCTTTTGAGAATTTCGTGTGGCGTATTGTAAGGAGATTCTCCGCCTCTGTCACCACAACGGATATATAACCTCCGTTCTGCCGTCACGAATTCGACGGTTTTATCTGTAACAAACAATTACCACAACTCTCTAGTCGAAAAGATCTCATCAACATGTCTTCAGATGGAACCCGAGGCCCTGTTCTTGTCCATGGCGTCAGGCCGGACGACCCAGGTTTGCAAACACCTAATATTCACTTCGTTTCTCGCCGCTGACTTGTCAAAGCCAACCCACCTGTGCGTATGGAGGTGCGTGACATGATCAAGGACCACCCCGATCAGTGGAACTTGTTTCTTCTGGGAATGGAAAGATTCCAGAACTCAGTCGACGAGACAATGCCACTTTCGTGGTTCGAGATTGCTGGTTAGTGAGGTCTAGACAACACCTAGAATGCATTCTGACAGTAGCAGGCATCCACGGACTCCCATACAAGAAATGGCCAGACAGGAGTTGGAACGACAAGATGGTCCGAGTCGACAACGAATTCGGCGGGTTCTGTACCCACAGCTCAATCTTGTTTCTTGCTTGGCACCGTCCGTATCTCGCCCTGTTCGAGGTCAGTCTCAACCTGTCCCTTCCGTTACAAGTATTAACAGGGTCTAGGCCGAGCTCTACAAGCACGTGAACGCTGTTGCCAACGAGTTCGAGGAGAGTGAGCGGAAGGCCGACTACGTCAAGGCCGCCAAGGACTTCAGGATGCCCTACTGGGACTGGGCTCGCCCTGACCTCGGCGTCTTTCCCACCCAGGCGACCTCCCAAGCTCGAGTCCAAGTCAAGCGTCCTCATGGCAAGCAGCGCGATTCCCTTCTCAACCCAAACCCTCTGGCAGCGTACAAGTTCGGTGAGACATCGAAAGGTGACCGGGATATCAACACGGTGAATATCTCTTCGGACAGTGCAGCGCATATCACTTATCTGACTACAATCACTAGTTTCCGAGAATCGGTGCCACTGTTCGCCACCCGGGTCAGCCCAACAACAACGAGCTCATGGAGCAACTGACCAGCTTCTTTGTCGGAACAGCCCAGTCGTCTCGAGGCAAGAACTTGACGGAACGCGTCGTCTTCATCCTCCAGTCCTACCGCGACTTTGGGGCCGCCTCGCACAACAGGTTCAACCCACCGGAGGAGCCGGGACAGCCCGACTTCTCCGAATGGGGTAGCATTGAGGACATCCACAACGCCATACACAACTACACCGGTGGCGGGGGCCACATGAGCGACCCGGCAATCGCCGCGTTCGACCCTATCTTCTGGCTCCATCACACCAACATCGACCGTCTGTTCGCCATCTGGCAAGCTTGCCACGACGACCCCAGCGACCCATCTACCTATGTCACCGACCAGACCGCGGGCACCGGCCCGGTCGGGGGCAACTTCATCGTCAAAGCCGGCGGACCCGAGACGATCAACACCCCTCTGGCCCCCTTTGCGCAGTCCGCCACCGGGAGCAACCAGGAGTTCTGGACATCCGAGGGCGTGAGGTACACGACCGCGTTCGGGTACGTCTACCCGGAAACGCAGAAGTCAAAGTTCCCCAACAGGGAGGCCGTCCTCAACGAGCTCGACCGCCTGTACGGGAGGAACGCGTCGCTGGCCAACATCCTGAGGGGCGGCGACGAGGACTTCCAAGCCGCTTCCGAGGAGCTGCGTTCCCGCGCAAAGGCTCACCTGAAGGCCGAGAAACCGTCATCCGACGCTGCCGCCGTTGCGCCGCTAGCGGACCAAGCCGCGCAGAAGCCGTTGCCCGACGATGACGGGTCGGCCGACATCGAGCTCCCGGAGGGCCGCGACCTGAAAAGCCTGGCCGGGCCCGACAACAAGTACCTCGAGTGGCTCGTCGACATCAAGGCCGAGAAGGCCGAGCTGGGCGGCAACTACGTCGTCCACGTCTTCTTGGGCGACCCCGACGACGAGACCCCTCTCCTCTACGTCACGAACCACTCGCACGTGGGCGCCTTTGCGACCTTTGGCCAGAACGAGGGCACGGCTTGCCGCAACTGCCAGGAGGGACGCGCGGCGGGCCAGAAGATCACCGGCCAGATCCCGCTCACCATCGCCCTGGCGGAGCGATACGTCGCCGGCTTGGTCGAGAGCCTGGCGCCCGAGCACGTCATCCCCTACCTGCAGAAGAACCTGCACTGGCGCTTGGCGTTGTACAACGGCGAGCCGCAGCCGCGCAGCCGGCTGGACAACTTGCTCGTCAGTGTCGTCAGCAACGAGGTGACGGTCCCGGACAGCCCGACAGGCCTCCCGCAGTACGCCGACGAGGTGGTTCCTCATCCCGAGGCCACTACCAAGCGCAACGGAGGCGGCCGCGGAGATGGTACAGGATACGACGGCACGAACTTCTAGTTGGCCCACAGTAGTCTTTCGTAATGCGAACCGGGTTTCGCTATGAAGTGCGGGCTTTATGGCGATTCAGATATTTATAGCAGCCGTCAAAGGTTGTTACGTTTGGTTTCGATTTGAATGCGAGTTTCAACTTGATTTGCCAACTCTATACTCATATTAACAGACACCATGTGTCTATCTCTCCAACTAGCCTAGGTAGAAGATACAAGAAGAAAATCTAGTGACTATGAAAGGTAATCAGATCCAAATATGAGTCCTGAACAACATGTAACCTATACAAGGCGATGTGCTCCCCAGGTCCCCGATTCTGAGCTTTCCCAAGGTCATTAGTGAGCGAAGATCTCGATCAACGCTCCTTTTGCTTTGATATCAAAGGACAGATACATCACAAGAACCAAACAATTCATTCAAGCACCTCGCTGTTCCATTATCCTTGAGCAGGAATACCCGATACCTGTATCTTAAAGCCATTACACTAGGTTGAGAACTCGACATAGCCTCACGATCCCCAGCATACTTTCCGTCCTTACCTCATACAAGCTTGATATCTTGACAGCGGGTTCCAAATGGAGCCGCCTGGTCCACAGAGACGGCGCAAAATACATGTCGGTTCCCGCCAGAGAGACTTGGGGAGGGGACTTAGACTCTAGTAACAGGAGGTACCCCCAAGTAGTCCAACCACATAGAGAATAACACACAACATGGTGAGGAACTTGACCAGAAATGCTACTTGGCCAACGACCAGATCACACCAATGGCACAGTGACCGGGTCATCAACCAGCCCTGCCCTCTTCGTCGAAACGACGCAGAACGATGAACCCCCTCTCACATGTGCCCGTCCGCTACCCAAGTCCTTCCATACGCCAGGGCCGCGCAATGCCCGATGAAGTGTGGCAGCTCCGAGTGGGCCCATCGGCCCGCCTAGTCGGCTACGCCCATGCATGATGCAAGACAAGACGTCAACGCCGATGGCTCACCTTCGCACGCTCCGATCGAACAACCTTTCACCATCTGCCGAGACTGAGGGGGAAGGCCATTGGCGAGACCGTCTGCAGTGCGAATACGACGATCGCGACGGTATGCCAAGACAATGGCGGGAGCGAATTTCAGCACACAATGCGAAGATGCCAGTACAACGCAGGTCTCCCACGAGCAAACTGGAAACATGTTGAATATGCCCCGTCATACGATGGCTTGTTTGCTGATGCTGGCTCAATTCCTCAGACGGGTCGTTGAACGTGCCAGCACGGCATCGTCCCGACTGGCCAAGATGACATTACGACGGCCGGATACCTACGCACGTGGGGGATCTGAGTACAGCGTTGCAGCGTTCGAGATCCGCTATTGGAAGGGGGGCACAATCTCTGTTCCGATCGAGATGCCCTCTTCGACGTTTCTACTCCCCAAGAACCACACCTGGCACACGACCGTGGATCAGCATCCTTGCGGCCCGGCCGTCATGCGTAGGGAAAGAAGAAAACCTTACAGACACACCGCGCCAGGAGAAAAAAAGAGCAAAGCATGGCATAACAAAAAAATACTGAAAAAACAAAACAAAACTTTCAAGATGATGCAGCATCATCCGGGTGCACTGGACCCAGCTCTCCAGGGTTCAGGGATCTCTAAAGCCCCGATGAGCCGGTTCCTGGGACTTTCTCGAGTTCAATATAAGGCGACGAGTGAGGGTTTCCAGACGAGACCACATGGAAGATCTTTGGTCTCTCTTTGGACAGTAGCCCCCGGCGAGGGTCAATGCAGCCCTGCGCGGCCGCCTGGGAAGATCATCTCAGATTTCGGAACCGAAGGAAGTGATGAGCTAGGGGGTATCCACAGCTGCCGGGGGGGGGGGGGACGCATGTGGCCGTGTAACTGGGATGGAAGGTTTCACGGCAGAAAAGAAAAGAAAAAGAAAAAGAAAAAGCAAGATGAAGAACACAACTTGTACGGCGCGGGCGTTGCTTTGAGTGGAAGAGGTAAAAAGAAAGGGGTGGGAAAAGCTCCTGTGCGGTTGCAGAAGCCGGGTCGTGCTCCCCGGGTTTCAGAGCGACCGCTAGGCACATTGAGATTCAGGAACACGGTAGCAAAAGGTGAAAGCTGCTGCGCCACACCAACAGTCTGGGGAAGGCGACAGGGTTTCCGGCAGAGCCTCAGGGAGTGGCTATTAGAAAGGTGATTGGGACGATGTGTCAAGGTGCCCGCACTCACGAGCGATGGCTCCCTCACGTGTGCGAGTGATAGGGCAGCCCAGGAGGTGGTTCGGATGGCACGGACTGGCCAAACCCTTGCTGAACAGCAAATGAGACAGATACCCCTAAGATGCAGTGGTTCATCAGTAGAATAGGTACACTACATGCAAAGAGGACCCAAGACAACTTTGGAGCAGGTGAGGCCTCTTGATGTTATCACGCCCTGGAGTGCTGAGCAGGTCACGTAACACGCCGAAAGCACGCAACATTGCGTACGACACGACAAGCACCCGCCGATTATCTGCATAGTAGAGTTCAGACAGACAACAATTCGGTTGGAGGAGCCTGGGGGGGGGGTAAAGGTTGGGCTACCGTGAGGCATTCTGGCAAGCACGTTGTTGATTGATTGGCGGCGATAGGCCGACATGGGTTCATTCGGGTATGGGAAATTGAGAACTGAGCTTGGCGCAAGCTTATTACTCCAGAATTCCACAGTTGAGAAAACAGGGCCCCACGGCGATCTGCAAAGAGCAGCATCTGGGTAAACATTCTGAGACGTGTCAGGAAAGGGAGTTGCGTCTGGCTTAGACCGTGAATAGACGCACCGTCCCGTCTAGACTGCCTTTGGCGGGAAAGCTATTCCGTCGACCGAATAAGACAAGGTGTGTTGCATTCGCCGGGGCCGGCGAGGCTAACCTCGCTGATTTGATCTGTAGCCGACAAAGATAGTGGAAGAGGTCAAGAGGATGTCAATGGTCCGATGGGACCGTTTGCGGCCTTGTTTCCAGGCCTGTCTTACGCCGTCCAGTGACCGGTTTGTGACAATTCACCGATGTAATGTTGTGGAACAAACGCGCCCAGTCGTCCACTGTATCGGGTTGGACCAGCAATAGTGGTGACGACACCTGCATGGTTGATGAGATGGCAACGTGTCCATGAGTCGGACACTATGGCGCTGGCCACTGTCGCTCTAATCATGACGATTGGCGGTGTTGGGTTCAGAGATATGCCACAACCGCGCATGGATCCAGACGACGTGCTGGCCAGTGCAACACACCCACCCGAGCGGAATTTCCGGCTATTCGCTCTACGCGGATGACGGATGGAACCATCTTCAGTGCCATGTCAGAAACAACCGGATAAACAAGCGACGAAGAGCGCGAGCAGCCCTGCAACGCTAGCCAGTGGCCGAAGGAGTGGCCCGCCCCGACGAGGTGCGGCACCCTGGGAGCGTCAAAAGGGGGGGCCCGACGGTAGAGGACGCCGCCGGTAAGTCAACGCTATTTCTGACCCTGGCTAGGTACTACTGATGATGATGGGCGTATGTGAGAGACGGAGGGTTCGGCCATTGAGACGACAAATCGACTTCTTTCAGCTGGCGGACGATTGGTTTCGCGTCGTCTGATACATGAAATTCCAGCCGAAGAGACACTGGAAACCGTCGGCTTTCGGATGGGCCTGTAAGAAGTCGAGGAAGGACAACGTGCTCTCGACAAGAGTTTCGGGATCAACGGCCTGGCGCTTGGTCGCGTCGTCGTCGTCGCCGTCGGTCAATGTGAGAGGCGGTGTCGGTGTACGGTGTGTGCTTTCTGGTCTGAGATGCTGTTAGGCCGGGGAACGGGTCCGAAACTCTATGCTATGGATGTGCATACCCATCGATGCAATGACGCTGCCTACATCATGGCGGGAACCGAGTTGACTGTAGTATTCGGTACAGTACCGGATAGGTAGTGTAGTCATGCAAGCCCTTAGTGCACGGATACCGGCAGTCGGTCGGCTTGGGGCCAAGCTAAGTAGCGATGCTCGGAATGGTCAATTAGCTAATGACCGTTCTCGTGACTAGAAGACATGAGGCCCAGTGGCGGGCTGCGAAGAGGTTGAGAGACGCTGGTGGAGGATTTACAAGGTACCATAGGCCGGCAGGCAAGATGCAAGCAAGAGGCCATGGTCAGCCAGTTGGCGTCCCTAATGGCTGGAAGGACCAAAGGTCTGGGGCCCCGAGGGCCCCTTGCGAGTCGAGTCGGGACAGCTTCTGACCGGGGTTTGGCATTCGGCCCCAAGACAATCTAGGCAAGGGTTCTGGGGGCTAGCAGAGCTCTGCCATAGTCTTGGTGCTGGTGCCGGTGAGGGCGGCCCAGGACTCGATGGGCGCCGGATGACGGACTGGGGCGATTGGGAGGCTCCGGGAGCCAGGCTAGCAATCCCGTGGACGGCATCACACACCGTACAAGCGGGGTTTGGACGAAAGTGCTGTTAGATCAATACCGGCACCCACTGTGGTTGGGCAGGGGACGCCCGCAGGCGTGGGAACGAGAACGACGGGGAGGGATGGCCTTGTTTCGATTTGCGCAATGCCAAACCGATGGGAGCTGAGGTGAGGGTGTGTCTGCCGCGACGCGACGCGATGCAATGTAATGCAATGCGATGTAGTGCAGTAATTACGGTTCAGGATGAATGAAGGGGCGCGCTGGCATGTGTGTATATGTTTGCCCGGCTGGCTGGTTAGTTGAGTCGGTCAGTCAGTCAGTCAGTCGCTTGGTGTACTTTCCCTATCTACTCACATTGCACTTCCTACTTGCTGAGCAGCTTGATAATGGCGGGCAACGTTGGCGAGAAGTCGTGTACTCGATGTCGATGAAGGAACGCGTGATTTTGGGTTGGAGTCGGGAATCCGTTTTGGCCGGTGTTGGTGTTGGAGGCGGTGCAGTCGTCAGATTGTTGAGTAACGCCCGCTGCAACGCCCAAAAAAGAAGGGATGGAATGGAATGCGGTAGTAGTGTTGGTGGTTCCTTCCCACGATTGTTTCTGCCCCCAGGGGCAGGTGCCACTACTTTCTACACGTGGGAGTGCCCAAGTCACTCGCCATACATTTAAGAGGAATAGGTACATGGCGCGTATCTGTCGCTCCATCGTTATCCGTGGTACATGGTCTGCCGCCCATTGACTCCCCAATCGCATGTACCTCTTCCCTTGTGCCCCAAGCATCCATCCCTGCGCGCTACGTCCACCCCTCCCTCTACTGATAGCAGCTTCAGTGAGGGAGAGAGGGAGATTGGGAAAGAAGCCCAACTCTTCTTTCCTTCTCTCTAGACTCGCGCTTGTGATAATGACGGTGACACCGATCGATAAGCAACGGTTGACGCCTACAGGCATCTTGGACCCGAAATCTATCGTGCAGATACATCTCACTCACTACCTACCTAGGTGGCTAGGTACCTACCTACCTACCTTATGTAAGGCAGCCAAGGTAGATTCGACCGGCCAAGACTTGCCCCTCATTCGCGTCTCAGTCAGGGAGATTCGGATGCTCTTGTCATCATGTCATCTCCTTCCATTGTTTGTAGATTCGGGCATCTTTTGAGATGGAGAGACACAGGCTGCCCAATAACTCTGACAGTAAACGCACGTACGTGTACGTCCGTCCATTTACAGCACAGGCCACCCGAAGAAGCCCACAAGGTGCCCTTGGTGCCCACACAAAGTCCACGCTGCCCACCGCTCGCAGACGGAGTTCGCGACGCATGGAAGCGCATCGCATCGCATTGGCTGCTTCCCTCGCGCCTGTTCCTTTTCTTCTTCTGTTTGTATTGCATTCCTTCTTTCACGTGGTAGGCATTGTAGTGCAAGTGTTGATAGGTACGATCGGTAATGTGTAGGCGTTGGGAGTCATCACCGACTGCATGGCTTCCCCCGTGGTTCCGACAAATCAGTCAAGAAAAGAAAATAAATAAATAAAATAAAACCGGGTTGCATTTTCCGCCTCCCACGCCCTCCCAGCACACACCTCCCACAAACACTTGAACCGAGCCTAACCTAAGCTCAGGCACCATACGAATACAGCCCGGATGTCCCTCCCTCCCTCTCCCTCCCTCTCTCTCTCAGTCTCTCTCTCTTTCTCCCGCCCTCTTTCTCCACCCCTCCGCCTCCGGTCCCGGTCCCAGTCCTCCCTCCTTTAGTGTATCCGTAGATTAGGTAGTAGAGGTACCTGCCAAGGGTTAGTGTACAGAGTACAGCACGATACAGGGCTCTGCTCCAATCCCACACCGCCCGCCCACTTTCTCTCTTTCCTCCCCACGCATGTGTGCGTCGTCGTGACGTTCCTTTTCCTCCCCCCCGATTCTCGTTCCTTAGCAAATCTCCCATCCACACACATTTGCGCACACTTCACAGACGCAACCCACGTCTACGCCGCTCGACATCCCTACGATCCTGCCCCCCCCCCCCCCCCCCCCCCCCCCCTTTCCGCCCCAAACAACCGGCGACAAATCCTCCAAACCGTCCTGAGTCTCGCCAGATGTTTCCCTCATGTCCAGCTCGCCCCGTAACGCCCGAAATGCCGCACCCGCGACCCTGGTGAGCCCCGCGCATTCGTCGTCGACGTTGTCGTCCTCGCCCGTTCTCACTACCACTCCTACCACCACCACCACCACCACCACCACAATCATCACCACCACTGCTTTCGCCCCCGTCTCCAGCTCCGCGCCCTGTGGGAGTCACTTCTCATCCGACCCAGCTCCTGCTCCCATCGCTGGTGCTGACGCTCCCGTCCCAGATCCTGGAGCTGGATCGGACGCTGCCGTTGCCGCTGCCGCTGCCGCTGCCGCTGCCGCTGCCCAGCCAGAGCATCAGCAGCGACTACCTCTGCCCTCATCCCTTCCGCCCTCTCTTCGAGACACCCCCCTGGCCCAAGCTGCAGATCTACCCCCTGCCACGGCCGCTGCCACCCAGCACCAGCAGGATACCTCGAGCCATGTCGACCCGAATATTAAAAAGCCACGAGGCCCTGCCGCCCTCCCGAGGCAGTCCGGTCCGTCTCTGCTAACCCAAGCACTCGCCTCAGCTCGCGGCATTCCTTCGAGATCAAACTCCCACCAAGATCAACCACTTCAACCGCATGCTCAGCCCTCGTCCTCGTCCTCGTCATCGTCATCGTCCTCTTCGCGCCCCCTGTCCTCTGCCACCTCCGACAATCTTCCCAACAACCCCTCTGCCGCTGCTGGCCTGGACCCTCTCGCCCGAGATACTCGCAATGCCCTCTTTCTTCCTGGCCATGGCGCCTCAGTAACCCCTCGAAGCGCCCCCCAGTCCGCCTCCATACCACCACTTGAACCCACCGACTCGACCGACGCTAACAACCCCCCCGACGCCGACATGGAGATCATGCAATCCCCCACCTACGATATCTCCAGCTTCCAGGGTATCAGAGCTATGCTGCTGGACCACAGGGACTTTCTCAAGGGTACGCGGTCGCGGGGCAGGGGCTCGTCGTTGGAGCGCGTCGACCCAGAGTCGAGAGTAACAGGACGCCTGCGCAACACGCGCGCCCACTCGCATTCCACAAGTCCTGAAGATTCCTTCACCCCCCCCGTCCGCTCCTTGGACCAGAAGGTCCACAAGGACGTTGCCGTGCAAGAAGGACGACCCAAGAAGCTCGAGCAGCGCTTCTCCGTTGGGCCCGAAAAGATATGGTCAATCGGCTCAAGCGAGGCCATTGATGGCCAGGAGGATGGCCAGGTTGAGAAGTCGGTTCACGAGGCCATGATCGGCGCCGAACCAAACGCTCGCAGCCGCAAGGCTAGCTACAGCCTCCGCTTTTTCCGCGAGGGATTGCCCAAGGAGGAAAAGACACCTGGCCGCAGAAAGGACACGCGCCCCAAGGAGAAACCCCCCCCGAGCCACGAACCTCAGGAGCCTTTATCCCTCGACGTAGCTGTCGAGGACTTCGCCAAGGTTGCCAGTTCGCAGCCATCTCCCGGGTTTCTCGACAAGAAGGACTGCTTGCCAAAACAGCTGGAAAGAGTAAAGACCTTTCCTCTCCAGTCACCCCAGTCTGGCGAAACCCCCATTCTCACCGAATCGCCCACTCAGGATTATTTTGGTCTAAGAAAGGTCAATGGCGACATTTTCCACAAGGCGGACACCGAGGGCGCCAGACAAGCTGGAACTCAGGCCGATTTCAAGCTAGGGGACTCCGAGGGCGACGTTTCGCCTCCTGCCGTCCAAGTGACTCAGGCGGATGACTCTCGACGCCCGTCCACATGCAGCAGCGAACATGGTGAAAGCCACGAGGAGGGCGACGAGTCGAGCGAGGAAAAGATTTCCTCGGCAGTATTCGTACCGCATCCCGGCTTGGAAGAGGCCGCTGAGCGCGAGCGGGACGTGGCGAAGCCAAGACAGACGGCGGGATCCCGCATCAGCTCCAGAGCCGAGGACTTTCACCCTTGGCTGGTCAAAGCCGACGAACCCGAGCCCGAGCCTGAGGATGAGGAGGCCTCTCCCGATCGTCCCCCCGACACCCCCTCGCAAAAAGCTAAGCCAAAGCGACTCCCCGAAGAGCCGAATGTTACTCTTCGTGAGGTCCAGCCCGGCACCATTGACAATCTTGCCATTGAAGAGGAGCCGGAGCCGCCGGGGACACAACAGGTCCCCACCCATCTTGACGAGCATACCCATCATCACCAAGCTGAGGAAAAACAGCCTCTCGAGGCGATTGAGCTCATTCCCTACAAACATCAGGTCGGCGGCCATACCACACTGTGGCGCTTTTCCAAGAGGGCCGTGTGCAAACAGCTTAACAACAGGGAGAACGAGTTTTATGAGAAGGTGGAGCAGGATCATCCGGACTTGCTGCCGTTCCTCCCTCGGTACATTGGCGTGTTGAACGTCACGTTTCACAAGCAACCTAGGCGCAAGTCGACCCATAAGCGTGAGGATGCCCCTGTGCTGGAGCGCAGGAAGACCGGGGACAGCGGGATAACGGTCTCGGCGTCACCTTCAAAGTCCAATGCTGCCAATGGCAATTCAAACGGCGCATCCCAAGCCAATACAGACCCCCGCAGAATTATCAGCCAGTCACTGTCAAATGCACCGGAGCCCATACCGACCGTGACGTTCGATGATAACTGGCACATTCTGCCAAGGAATCTACTTCAGCCCACGCCGCCCCCTACTGCCGCCTTGCCGGCCCGCGGCCGGAGCACTTCGTCGTCAGGTCTGCCTGATTACCCCGAGCAGGGCAAGTTTCCATCCCCCTCAAGGCCCAGCTTGGACGAGAGACACGCCAACAGCTGGGGTGCGACGACTGTCAACAAGCGGCTGCGCAACGAGGTGTTCAACGACGTCTTCTTGAAGCAGCCGATCCCGATTCATAAGCACCGTCGACCTCACCAGAAGTCGATGGCTTTCCGGAAGCAGCCGACCCTGCGGCCGGCCAGCTCTGTTCCCGACCTGGTGCGCAGGCAAGACGTGTCTGTCCAAGAAGGTCACGCGCCTCAGCGTTCCAGCCCGCTCCGACCAAGCAGCGCCTCGCCGCCGCCGACGGAAAGCATCCCAATGGACCGTCCTGACCGTCCTAGCCATGCAGAAGCAACAGAAACCGAGGACAGCGACGTCAAGGATATGACTGGCACTAGTGCACCGGAGCCGGAGACGCTGGCGGACAAGATCATCGCGCAGAAGAAGAAGCGGCGCTACTCTGGGACAGGGCTCCGACGGAAGCCACGAACAGTCACGGAGTCTAGAGGGCATCTCAAGTACTGGGAGGAGGCGGATGACGCTGGCTATAGAGGCGAGGACGAAGGCGGGCAATCTCTTGGCGCGTCGCAAGTGAGCTCGCCCATGATCGAAGCACCGAATGCGAATGGTGCGGGCTCTCGTGAAGGAGCCGCGACGGAACTGAGTCTTCCTGACTCTGCTACAGCTGCACTTGACACGGAAGCCTCGAACGAGGCTGAAGATCATTCCACACATGCGTCGATGGTGCCGTCCGAGATGCCCAGTCCCACTCCAGAGTTCCACAAAATTCCACGTCCCGTGAATCCCAAGGAAGCACAGACACAGCGGGACTCCCGTGTGGAGTACTTTCTTTTGCTGGAGGACCTCACAGCAGGCATGAAGCGACCATGCATCATGGACCTGAAGATGGGCACCAGACAGTACGGCGTCGAGGCGACGCCCAAGAAGCAAAAGTCGCAGCAGGGCAAGTGCGCCAGGACTACGTCGCGTGAACTTGGCGTGCGGGTGTGTGGACTACAGGTCTGGGACGTCAAGAGCCAGTGCTACGTCTTCAAAGACAAGTACTTTGGGCGCGACCTCAAGGCTGGCCAAGAATTCCAGGACGCCCTGACGCGATTCCTCTACGACGGCGTCGACTACTCGAGCATCCTGCGGCACATACCAACCATCCTGCAGAAACTAGACCACCTCGAGTCGATTGTCAAGAAGCTGGACGGCTACCGCTTCTACGCCGCCAGCCTCCTCATGTTTTATGACGGTGACATGACGACCGAGGGTAACGAATACGATACAGTCGTTGACGATTCTACGACTGACTTTGCAACTGACACGGAAGAAACGTCCGCGTTGCGCGAAAGGAAAAGGCAAAGCAAGAAGCGCGGCATTGACTTCAAGATTGCCGATTTTGCAAACAGCCTTACCAAGGGTGACCTGGCCGAGGGGAAGCCATGTCCGCCTCAACACCCTAATGAGCCGGACCGTGGCTTCCTCCGAGGCCTTCGAACGTTGAGGAAGTATTTCCTAAAAATCCAGAAAGATACCCGGGCGGCCATGGGCCTGGACTGCCATGGACGCAGTAACAGAACGGATGTTGACGATATCGACATTGATCACATCTCGGACGACGAGGGGCTCGTCAGCGAATGAATGATTGGAGGCCGTGTCTCTTTTTTCATGTTGATAATTTGAGATTGTAATTCTGGATTGGGGAGGGAAATAGCTGGCTGGCTTGGAGAAACGGAACGGCGGAGTCACGGACGTCATTTGGCAACATACCCGGCATGAGTCTGGCGTCGCAACACAAGATTACAAGGAAACTGAGATGTTTTGTATTTCACTTTTCTTCTCTGACGAGGCTTGGGCGGAGAGGTAGCTTCGCCAGTAGGTATGGGCAGTGTCTTGCGTGAGCTCCGATGTTGTTGCCCAACACACATGGACGGGATAGCTAAGTTTGGCCACGCGATGAACGGGTGCAGCAGATTGGACTGAAGGAATGCGTGGCACAGGCACAGGGGACTCGGGTTGGTGATCAAGGCGTTGGTTTTGGTTAGATGTTAGACAAAAAGAGTGAGTTTGTTCTAGATTTAGCTTGCCGTGGATCTTCTGTTTCAGCAGTGCAGTCTCGGCACGGAACGACGGAACCCAACTGAGAGCTAAACCACGTTTCCAAGGCTGTCCAACTTGGGTCTGCATCCATAAACCAGGTATACAAGGATACTCCAACACAGTCGGGTAGACAGATTATAAGCATAATGCCCAATACTCAACGCCGCAATGGAAGGTTTCCAGATAGAAACACGGTATACTATAAGCATAATGCCCGATGCCCAACACCACAATGAAATGTTTCTACAAATAGACGGAAACACAGGGAATCAGATGTTTCGACGGTGCCGAATCCCGGTCGCTCGCGTCGATCCGGTGCGGGTTACATAATCGGCACCCTAGCACATCAATGACACGCGTACCACATGCTCAAGAGGTACATACATACATACATACATACACCCTGGCCCTCGTAACGAACCACTTACCAAAGCTCTCACATGCGCTGCTCCAGTTCATCTCCACCGCACCCGCCCACAATAACGCAACAACACCGGCTTAACGACCGTATCACATCGCGACTCGCCCATTCCAGTGGACACCCCCAACGACCACAATGGGCTCGGTCCTCTCCGCCATCCGCTCCGCGTCCAAGACCGTCGGGGCGGTGGTCAAGCTCCTCTTCGACCTGAACAAGCAATATCAGGCCCTGCTGGTGCGGGTCAACGCGGCACCGGGCCTGCCACATGAGAAACCCTCGAGCCCGTACTGGCTCGACGACCCGCCCTTCCCGGAGCTCAAGGACATGCGGTCCGAGATGCTGCCGCGGGAGGCCGACGTCGTCATCGTCGGCAGCGGCATCACCGGCGTGGCCGTCGCGAGGAGCTTGTTTGCCGCCGTACGGGGCGGCGGCGACAACGGTGACGGCCCGAAGGTCGTGGTGCTCGAAGCGCGGTCACTTTGCGCGGGCGCTACGGGACGCAACGGGGGCCACCTGAAGGGGAGCCCGCATGAGCTGTTCCCGCGGCTGGCGCGGCACTTTGGCAAGGAGGGGGCGGCACGGCTGACGCGGTTCATGCTGCGGACCGCCGAGGCCGTGCTCGAGGTCGGTCAGGCGGAGGGGAAGGAGGTGGCGGAATGCAGGGCGGTCGAGACGGTCGACTTCTTCCTCGACGACGCGGGGTTCGAGGACGTGAAGAAGCAGTGCGAGGAGCTGCGCCGGTGGGTGCCCGAGTTCGAGATCGAGGTGCTGGGGCGAGAGGAGACGCTGGCGAGGTTCGGGTGCGACAAGGGCCACGTCCGCGGGAGCCTGGTGTACGCCGCCGGTGCGCTCTGGCCGTACCGCCTCGTCACGGCGGTGTGGCGGGAGCTGCTGGACGCGCACCCCGGGCGGCTGAGCCTGGAGACGGGCACGGCCGTGGAGGCGGTCGCGCTGGACGCCGTCGGGGGCGACAAGGGCAGGCCGTACGTCGTGAGGACGTCGAGGGGGGTGATCCGGGCGCGCCACGTGGTCCACGCGACGAACGCGCACGCCGGGCAGCTCCTGACGGGGTTGCGGGGTAAACTGGCGGGCTTGAAGGGCCACATGACGGCACAGCGGCCCATGCCGTTGGATCCCGCGCACGAGGGTCCCGGAGACGGCGGCAGCGGCGGGTTCCGATGGAAGGACGGGAGCGCGCCAGGGAGCAGGTCGTGGAGCGTGCTGTACGGCAAGGGCTCGTTCGACTACGTCACGCAGCGGCCGAACGGGGACGTGATGCTGGGCGGCGGGTTCGAGCGGAGCGCGAGCGAGGGCGTGGACATGATTGGCGTGTGGGACGACTCGGGGACGGACGGGCTGACGATCGCGCACGTGTCGGGCGTGATGAATGCCGTGTTCGGGGCGGGGTGGAACGGGGACGTGATCCGGTCCTGGAGCGGGATCCTGGGGTTCACGGGGGACTTGGCGCCCTTTGTCGGGCGGGTCCCGGGCAGCCTGACCGGGGCGAAGGCGACGCTCAACTCGTCGCTGGGGGCGTTGGGCGCGGGCGGGATGAGGAGGGCGAAGACGCAAAAGGTTTTCGAGCATCTGGACGTGAAGGAGAGCGACGAGGCCGCGTGGAAGGGGGCCGGGGCCGGGGAGTGGGTCAGCGCCGGGTACAACGGCGACGGGATGGTCTGGGCGTGGCTCTGCGGCACGGCGCTCGGCGTCATGGTCGCGGGCAAAGAGCACGTCGCGCTGGAGAAGGGGGACGGGTTTCCCGGGGGCCGGCTGGCCGAATGGTTCCCCGCGGAGCTGCTGATCACGGAGGCGCGTGTCAAGAAGGCGGACCTGACCAACCTGGTGGACGAGATCATGTAATTGCCGAAAAGACGGGGGGGACGGTGCCGTTGGGGGGGGGGGGGTTCATTTGGGCCCGTTTTGAGGCGGGTTGAAATATGCCTGGGCGTATTTCCCGGTTGGTAATAAGACCAGAAGAATCTAAAGACAAGAAAAAAAAGAGGAAAAAGAAAAGAAGAAGAAAACCGGACCGGAAAGGGTTGGGATGCGCGGTTGGGCAGGGAGTCTGTTTGATCAGTTAATGAATCTCTTCGTGTGTGTTGCAGAATATTACATATTTATACTATCAAGAATGATCACGCCTGTTGTTTTCTTCCCAAGTTCATACCTATAGGACAAAAGAATCACGATATTTGGAACCTGATACGAGAAAAAAGGGTTCCTACATTCTCATTCGCCTGCATGCGCGGAACATACTCGTCATCAATCGCCTCAGGGGCGACGCCAATGACCGACCGACGCGAGCCGCTCCGGCAGCTATGTCCACGTAAAATAGTAGCTTCGCGAGCAGAATCGAGGCCCCAATCCCATGCCAGCTTACGCTCTTCGTGTGGGACCACCGGTGAGCATAGATGCTCGAGGATTTGAGGGGTTCTTAGTCGGTTTTTGGGACACGTAGCTCACCGCGTGCTCAATCGACAGCTGTTTGAGGCTAAGAAAAGCCTTGGGTAGAAAACGGGCTTGACCATGGGTTTTCATCTTGCAAAAAGGGGAGAGAAGAGGCGGTCTAAAGCAAGTGTGTAAGAAATTGCACAAGTATATGCGATCCAGAGCCACAATACTTGCCACGAAGTCCACTTTCCCCGTCTACTATCGTAGCCGTCACGCCTGCCCTTGTTACACGCTCTATCCTGATCACTTATAGCACTGCTACAGTACTAACCTTGACAGTAGTACCTGTGTATACTAGAAAGCCATACGTCGTCTAGGAAGCAGATATGTCATGTAGTTACCAGGCAATAATGTACTAACTCAGCTTGACTATAGATAGCAAGTGACTTACTCACTAGGTGTAGTAATTTCCTGACCGCAGTAGCTTATACTATATCCTTATAACCTAGCTTATTAGTCTCAAACTTTCAAAGCACGTAATATAAATGCTATCCATACTAAGACTAGTAACGCTATGTAAATCTAGAGCATATCTTAGAATGTACAGCTTAAGCGATAACATTAGAATATATGTTACTTTGCCAGACCGGTGTTCGGCCCGAAGTCTCGGGCCCGCCCCACCCGGCTCCGAACTAACACGCCGACAGATTTCCCGAATCAGGAAAGTGGGGGTCATGGATTGCCGAACCTGATACCGACATATTGGCTGGACCACCAAGGCTCTAGTGCATAATGAAACGATCCAACTGGCGTCAGTATTCGTTTGTTTGCGTGAAAATAGGGAGCATATCCGGCCCCTACGTAGAAAGCAGTAGAGTCAGATTGCTCTCCTCTCCCCGTTCACGTCCAGGAAAGACAAACGATCGTAATAGCCATTGCATAGGACCTACTACTGCATGCGAAGACGTGATCGAAATCTCTGTCCACAATGGAATAGCATTCAACATCATCATTCACCATGAACTTACAATATTGCACAGATTCCATAATAATCTAACGAGAAGCTCGCGGTTAGAGTCTGGATGACGAGACCAATCCCGCCAGTCACCCAGGCGCTCCAGAAGGACGTTGTTTAGACTGTTAATTGATCAAGTACGCCGGTTGATATTGATGTGTGCTTGTGCTTATGTGTCTGCTTAGTTTATTACACAAATTCTTTGCCCTTCACATTCCTCCACTCGATCCTTAGAGATGGCAGAATCGCCAAACAGGCCGCCGCGAGACCAAACTATAAGGAGCTCTGAAGTGGAAGCACATCAGACGGAACCGGAGAGCGCTGTTAGCGGCAGCATGAGCGACGCACACGACGGCAGAACCGCCGAGGAACTGGGCGAAGAACATGTGCGAGACGCCGGTTAAAAAATCCCTCTGGTTCAGCACCACCTGAGCAGCCAGACTCGCGAGCTGCATACCCTGCCCGATGCCGAGCCCGAGGATTTAGTAGCAGACCCGCGTGCGCGTCGGTTGTCAACGGCAAAGGCGAAGACGAGGCCACCGCCGACGGGCATGAAGACGGCGGGCGAGGAAAAGACTGGGGTGAACCAACCGACGCCGGTGATGATGCCGGGCACCATCAGATCAATGACGAGGCACATGACAAATAGGAGCGTGTTGATGCCGTACATGACGTCGTCGGTGCTCCTGGCGCACTGGAACCAGATCGACACGGCGATCAGGAACACGATGAGGACGCCGGGTACGTACATCGCTCTCCAATCCGATAAAGACAAAGACACAACATCGAGATGGTGTAGCCGGATGCCTCTCAAGGCGAGTGGTATGCTGATGCGGCACAGAAAGGGTCAGAGAGAGAGAGAAAGTGTGTGTGTGTGTGTGTGTGTGTCGTGAGAATTCGGTCGAGATGGCCAGCTCGGGACCGAAGTGACGCGGGGCAACAGCCACAAACTTCCGTAGCGGTCCCGCTCGGCACCGGGGACCCTTGTCCGTCTAAACCATTCGTTCACACTAATGAAGAAACGGGACCAACAGTGCAAAGAAGACAATAGTTTAGAAAGGTGGCGGATAGTCAGTTCCGGCCGGTATTCCGGTCTTCCGGCAAGGCTTGCCTTTTTGAGCTTGACCAGTATTATCCGGAACCCCCCTTTCCAACTTATGTACTTTTGCTTTTACAACAACCCGGCGCCGACGTTCTTCCTGTAGGGCCAACTTGGGCTTTCGAATACTTGACCGGCGAGACATGTGCATCAGTGTCTATAGATGGCTTTTTCGCCTTGGACTCTCTACTGTTCCTGACACCTTCATCTCTCAGCATTACTGCAGGCCGCGACACTCCTTGACCGCGGCAGCTGATCTCGAGCCGTCCAGCTGCCGTCTCCACCCCCTCTAAAATCCTGTAGTTCATTCGCAGTTGGTTTCGGATTCGCTTCCAATGATCGAGGTGAAAATAACCAGAGGGCGTTCTTGCGTCCCGTGTCAACACCGGAAGATCCAGTGCAATGGTCAAATGCCATGCGCTTATTGCAGCCGGACTAGCACAGACTGCGTTCGGCCACTCCCGCGAGCTGCCCAGACAGCGAATTCCCGCAACGGCTGTGTAGTCCAAAATCGGCCCGCGGCACCGGAAACGGCGCCCGCTCCTAGCAGTGGGAGGTTCGTTCTGAGCGGCGACCAGCGCCGCTACGTAAAAGAGTGAGCAAGCAACGAAACAATGAGGTTGAAAGGACGATACGAGAGACTGATATTGATGTCTTCGTCAGAAACAAGTTATGGGCGAGTCTTGGCAACGAGGTAAATGGAACCCTGGGACTGCCTGTAACCCGTGATGGGCACCATTCATGTAGTCATGGAGTCTGGTAAGACCAGCCAACTAATCGTCTCTTCTTTTCGAACAGAAAGAACGAAAAGAACCCAAACCTCTACAGTATGGGAGTCCCATACAGTCGAGAACTGAACTGCCTTCGAGCAACATCAATCTCATCTTCGGTCGACAGAGGGTCGACTCGTTATCGATGTTGTACCCATCAGCGGTTCAGTCGTTTCAGCTATGGCAAGTCTTCACGAGCAACGTCCACCCCTTGACAAAGGTCCTCCACGGGCCGTCTGTCCAGGAAGAACTCCTGAAGTCGCTCGCCGAGCCCTCCTTAGTTGACAGTCCCACCGAGGCACTGATCTTCTCCATCTACCTCATCGCCGTCGTCTCACTGACGGACGATGAGTGCCAAAACCTGCTCGGCGAGACGAGAGCGAAGCATCTGGCTCGGTACTGTCACGCCACCGAAGCGGCGCTGAGCAGGGTCGACTTTCTCAGATCAACAGACTTGAAAGTACTGCAGGCCTTCACTCTGTATCTGGTAAGCGATGAAACGACGCATTCTCCCCTGATACCCCCGCTGACACTTTTGGCAGCTCTCCCTCCGCCATCTTTGTGATCAGGACATCCTGTGGCTTCTCACGGGGCTGGCAACCCGCATGGGCCAGAGGATGGGCCTGCACCGCGAAAGCTCACTAAGAGATCTCCCGCCCTTTGAGGCCGAGCTGCGGCGTCGCGTCTGGTGGCAGATAGTCATCCTGGACGGCCAGGCGGCCCAGCTGACGGGTGCCGCACTGGGACCCGACAACCGACTCTACGGTGACGCGAACCCGCCAGTCGGCATCAACGACGGGGACCTCGTTCCCTCTATGAGTTCGCTGCCCCGCTCATCATCCGTACCCACGGAGATGGTCTTCTGTTCCGTTCGATTCGAGATCGGCGTCTGGATGATCAGGCAAGAGGGCCTGCCCGACCAGGCGACGACGCCCGAGGACAAAATAAAGCTCCTGCGCTCCATTGATGAGCTCGAAGGCCGCCTCGAGGAGCGCTATCTACGCCACATCAACACCGATATCCCGCTGAACCTCTTGACCACACACCTCGCCCGCTCCGCAGTGTGCCAATTGAGGCTATCTGTCTACCACCCTATCCGCTATCCCGAGGCGGCCTCGGGCCTGAGTCCGGAACAGCTCGACCTACTCCTGGAGAACAGCCTGGAAGTGGTGCGGTACGACATCGAGGCTCACGCCGCTGCGTCACTTCAGCGTTACGCCTGGCACGTTTTTAACTTCTTCCCCTTCGAGACATTCGTCCTGCTCGTCGGAACGCTGTCCCGGCGGCCGGAGAGCCCGGTCGCTGATGCTGCCTGGTCTGTCATCGGCCAGGTTTATGAGAACCATCCGCGCTTCGCTTCGGACACTGACCTCCCACTACATCGGGCCATCGGCAGTCTCACGCTCAAGGCCTGGGGCCGGCACGTCTCGGGCACAAGGGCCGACGGTCTGGAACCGTCCTTTGAGCCGCCGTTCATAAGGGAACTCCTTCGCCGGCGGGCCGCACTGGGCCGCGGTTCCCAGTCCGTGGAACAGGACTCGATGGCCATGGACAGCACCGGCCATACGATGCCGCAAGGTTTGAAAAGGATAAGTGACTTGCCGGAATATGATGGCTGTGATCTCGGAGCCTCACAACCCAGGTTGTTACTGCAAGGAGATGACTCGACCGTGGGCGCGGCCGGCGACGACATCTCCAGCATTATCAATGACATGGATATGGATTGGAGCTTCTGGAAGGGGCTGCTGGATGGCAACACACAAGCTGCACGAGATGCACCGGAAACCTACTTTTTCTCTTCCTTCATGAGCAGACCGTGATGCTCGTTGTACAGTGATTGCGGAGGCAAATACGAGGGACAGTGAGTGTGACGACGATGTTAGTTTATATCAAGACAAGGGTCTTTTCGGTGGATTGTGAGCTTCGACGTGTATATGATTCCCCCCATGTAAATATCACAGGGTGACCAATCGCACATATATTCGTGGCCATTTGTGCTGCCTAAAGGCTGATCTTATTGATGACTACCCATCTCGATAACTCACTCTATCATCTAGTACTTCCCTAGTTGAGTGCGAATGAGCTGCGGAGCAGGTATTTGATCATCACCGCTTAAGCTTCAGAAGTGTCGATGTTTGCAGTGAATTTATTTGGACCCCAACTGCCCATCACGCCAGTTATTTCTTTCTCTACGAGCCACACATGGAGAGATCAAGTTTCTGTATCGTCATAGCAACGGTCCTGTTCAAGGCTGTTAGGCCGATGTTGTGTCCTCCGCATTTTAGTCAGCGTCCGTCTCAGGCTTTCGAGCATAGGTAACTTGTCTGCGGTGCTTTAGTCACTAAGTCCCCGTACATGGCGGAGAAGAGAAAAGGGTAACTTACACGTTCCAGTAGGCATGAATGTTCTTGTTTTTCAGGTCATTCCGCGCGCCGGCGCAGAGCACCATAACCTCCTCCTTCGTCCACCCCAGGGCGCGCGTAAATAGCGCAAGAGATAGCGCCTCAAAGCCCATGTCGAGGTTGACGTTGTGCCACTTGCCAATCTCCTTGAGATTGGCGTCCTTGGGCCACGAGTTTAGCGGCCAGATGTACTTCTTGACGGTAATGTCGACAAAGCCAGCGTCCGCCATGGCCTCGGTGTACTTGGCAGGGCTCTCGATGGAGCGGCCGATCTTGTTGCCAGCCTCGACCATAAGCTCCTGCCACTGGCGCAGGGGCGAACCCTCGGCGAGGGTGCCGTCGTCGCACCCCAGCGGCAGCACGAAGCCCCCGGCCTCGAACCAGCCACCGGGCCCCAAAGCCCTGAGGTATTTCATGTCAGCAATACGCCCCCCGATAACGGTGTTACCGGTTCCTCTTACTTGTAGGCCTTCCGGATGACCGCTGCCGGGTCTGCGAAGGAGCCCTCCATTGTTCGGCAGAAGATGTAGTCGAAAGGCTTCGCCCACGTCCACTCCTTTTCCAAGTCGTCGATTTCGAAGACACAGTTGGGAGGAGTCCTGTAAGCCCACTGTCGTTAGTAGTGTTTCTCAATTTGATTGGTTTTCCTCTTACCATTCGGCCTGGGTCGGGCTCAAGTCAACGCCGATAACCTGCCAACAGATCAGCCGGGGGGCGTTCTTCTCGCTACTCGATTAAAATCAAACCTCGGCAGAAGGGTTTGCATCCGCTATGGTGACCATGTTAGCAATATAAATCAGGATTGCGGCCGTGTCCTCGGATAAGCACAGAAGATGGAGGATTTTCGTACCGTAATCAATAGCCCATACTCCGGTGCCCGTCCCCATATCCAAGACGCGCTTTGCCGTCTTATGGGCTGGGGCGACAGCGAGCTCACCGTCGAGGGTGAGATACCAGAGCTCATGCTGAAAATCTGCAGTGGTTGTCAAAGTCAGAGTCCGCGACGCAAAGCAGGAGTTGAATACTCCATTCTTTCAACCGGGACGACTGAAATACATACCGAGTCGATCATTCTCACGCTGTTCCCCACTGTCAGATCTCGCCGTCGATGGCTACAAAAGGGGACTGGCATGGAAAGACTTACCTCGTCGTTTGGATAGTTATACTCTTCCGGCAATTAGCACATTGTATAAGGACAGATCGGGGGATTCTGGTTGCGTACTTCCAGCACTCATCGAGTGATAAGTACGGCCATTTTCGGCTCGATGTTCTCGAATGCTGGCCGTCAAAGACGCCACAGAAGATTCTTCATACTGCTGGAAGGTAGTATAAATGTCAATTATGGGGCTCGCTACTAGCATATATCACTTCGTGGCAGGAGAGGGTCCAAAAGACTAACAGTGCCATCATCCTCGAAGTCGTCGGCCTCGGCCGCCTGGATTCAAACCGTTAGTCGCGAGACGCCGGGACTAGAAACCCAAATCTGAATCTCACGATATGTGTCTCCTGCATATTTTAAGTGGAGTGGCTGTGCCTGGCGTTCTATGTTCCGCGTATGCGTGTGATCGGTGGATAAGATGTGGTCAGTTTGAGTTGACGGGGGGATACCCAACTATATGGGACATGGAACCATCGAGGCCCACGCATTTTAGACACAGCGCTACGTATCCCACCGATATCCAGGGATAGTTCCCCACCTCTACCAGTTAATAACCGCATCCCTCTTTGGTTGGTGAAGGAAGACGTATTCAAAGCCGGAGAAACGTCTTGATACGAGTACGTGCCGAGCTCCGCGTACCATACATAGGGACAGGATTCATTATTGGCCCACTATTCGTCGCCCAAAAGACCTCTGGACCAGGATTGGGTCAGACGAGGTGGTTTGATAGGTCGAAAGTCTTGGGCATGGGGCGCTGCGCCGGATCTAGTGTATCTGACATGCAGCCGAGGAGGGTACGCTGTCAGGCGACAGCGGGGTTTCTCACGCCGAGGCACATACTTTCATCGGGATGCCTGTCCATCCTTCAAGCTGCACGCGTGGCATTGGCCATATGTATGCGCATGGACCGGCCTAGTGCACATCGAGTAACCAAAGCCTCGCAGGATTGTTCATAGGGGAGAACTACCAACGTAAACGGCCACAATCAAATTGCCACCGTCCTCAGCTGACGGGAGAGAACATGCCTTTGTACAACTCCATGTGCTTACATGCATCCACTTCTGCGAGTTCGAGATTCACCACCTTGCATAATATGATGTCGCTGGTTAGTCATGTAGGCTAGGTATTGACACTGATTCTGAAGTTCTGTATGAGTTAGTTATTAATTGGCTCTAAAACATTCCATGAAATCAAAACCTGCGTATATATAGTACCCAATATGTTAAGGGAATGCGAACGCTTCTTTACCCTGTTCGCGCTGTTGGCTTTTCACTCGTGATTTGCGCCAGAGGCACTATTTGGCTAAGTAGTATCCTACAGGCGACATGTCTTGAGTTTCTCATGGCTGGGAATTTCCCAGTCAAATCCTAGACCTGGCCATAGTTCCTGGAGCCCCTCAGCTTTGAGGAGAAAGTCACGAACTGATTCATGAATGAATTGAACCGTAGGTCGATTGGTCTTGGTAATCTCCGCTAAGCCTTTTGAAGTACCAATGACGCATACCTCAGTGCTGCCACCGACATCCGAAGTGCTGACTTCCGGAAGCTCTCCGTCGATCAGGCCCTTCAGTGACGGGTCTGACCACATAGCATGGCGAAACTCTTCGGGTCTTAAGGCACGCCTGGCACAAAGAATCCAGAGAACGCAAAGTAGAAGCTGGTCCCTATCAGTGTTGTCGCGTCCCAGCATGTCCTTGAACAAGTCGTGGAGGCCGCTGGGCATCTCTGCCAATCTCTTCCTCAAGGCTATTCCACCTGGGGCATATTCTTTGTTGAGGACATCGACAACCAATACAACCCATAGAAAAACCCCTGAGGCTTTCCCGATAAGTTTGGGCCGTAGTTCCTCTTCGAGTTCCCGGTTGTGGATGCGTAGGCGGCTTGACACGTAGCTGTCCAGGTCTTCGGTGTGGCCTTTTTGGTCTTCTAAAGTGAGCTTTATCCCCCCCTCTCTGTATGAATATAGGGATAATGGCGGCTAGAGAAGCATATACGCAGTTCGATGCTAGCCTGTGTTGCTTCCGCTGTAAGGTCTTCAAACTAATCAACCATATCCATGACTTGCTGTTCATCGCATTCATCGGGAGCACCAATGAAACAAGTAAAGTGCTGTTAGCCAAGTTAGAGAACAGCTTTATGAAATATGTTTTTGAGTGTGTCGAGGGGAGGGCAACCGCCCTTATGCTGAATGACCAGGCCGTCCAAGACTGACTGAAGCTCAGGGTAACCTCGAAGCAACTGTAGGAGAAGAGACCGGTGCATACCCTCAAGTGACCTTTCCAAATTCTCTCCCCAAGCATAAAAGAAAAAGCAGGCGATGAGGGTTTGTCTGCCACGTGCCCTAGCAATGTAGTTGTACAGGTATTTCATAAGCGTAGACTTGCCTACACTAGGCTTGCCATGAATCCACAATAAGCTATGGTGTTCCGCTAGCATTTCTGGCCTTAGCCACTCGTTATAATTGGGGCTCTTCAGAATCCAGCAACATGTTTTGTTATAAGCGGCTTTAATAGAGGTTTAACGAGAATCTAGTTGATCAAACTTAAGAGACTCTAGCGATTGCCGCCGATAATCGTTCAAACTGTTGTGGCCTTAACCATTTATGTAAGCAGTTGTAATAGTTACAGTCCAATATTCGGTAGATAAACCAACCATTATCAGGGAAGTAATTACATTCTATAGGCGAATAGGCACTAGGTAATACTGCCAACAACTCCGTTACGTACGCAGCCGCAGTCACTGCAGCATATTTCTGCCACGTTTTGCTCTTGCGAGAATCTGCATAATCACAAATTCCTCGTATAGGGAGGCAGGGAAAGTTGCCCATCAGACCAGCAACCTCCATCTCAAAACACATAACATCTAGCTCTCGGGCAATATTGTCCCGCTGAAAGGCACTTCTCATGACCTGGTTGCCCAAAGCCATTGCGCCATGATGTATATACAGATCGTCTGTCCTTCTAACACTCCGTAGAACCAGCCAAGACTGGTCACAGGACTCGCATGCACTGCAGTCTAGAGCTAGAGAAACGTGGTCGTACGCTGACAAGAACAGATGATCTGGCAAGTTAGGTCAATAGTAATCTAAGTTCTCGCCAAATCTCTCCTTGAGAACAGTCGGGATGCTGCTCTTGCGGCCATCGTGTTTGGCTCGGAGTGCAGTGACAGCTGTGCGTAGCAGTAAGGGAGGCGTCTTGTATATTGCCGTCCGCTGGAGATCTCCGTCTCGGATAACTTTTCCGAAATCATATTGCATCGCCCTCGACCCGACAACAACGTCTCCCAAGCGTATGTCAGCAAGACATGGTGCACCACCGCCTATTCCCACCATCAGGCATACGCGAATTTTCGGAAAGGTTCGTTTCAGGTTGGCCATGACGTTCGCCGCATTGTTCGTGCCATGCTCTCCTTCCGGTAAGCATGCAATGACGACATTGTGCCCCTTGATTCTGCCAGGTATGTAGCAATTAGTGTGCTCGTCGTATGGGGGCAGTTGGGTGTGTCTCTCGTCCAGCATTGCGATAGCTGCCGTCATCTCCAGATATAGTGCGCAGATCCAGGCGATAGTGTAGTCATGGTGGTGAGTTCTCTTCTGCTTTTGAGGATGTGAAATGACCTCTTCGTCCTGTTCCTAAGGTCTTTTCCTGTCCATTGCATATGAAATGTAAGATGTTTCAAGGAAACAAGGCGCGCCTCGGTGGTGATTGACGTGAGCGTTGTGAAGAACTTGGAAAGCAAAGCACCGTGTCCGTCTCAGCTTGACGTGGGAAACGTGGGGAGGGAACCAACGGTCCAACGTGTCGGATCAAACCCCGTCAGCCCACCACCATTGATTATGCTAGGAATACATCGCAGTTGACCTTGCGCCTCGGCAAAGGCGCTCCAGCCTGATTCCACAACGTTTGGTGAGCTTAGCGGCTTTTTGTCACCCTGTCAAGGCTGTGTTTGTTTGACCTGATTAGAAACATAATAGTGAGACATGCATAAGAGTCCAACACGCTTAGCCGGATTCATGCTCGGTATCTCACTTGCCCAGGGAATATTAGACTAGAAATGTGTCACGATATATAAGCTACTATTACTGCCCACGTAACTAACGGTATCGTTTTGTTACGTGACAAAATGTCTACTAGCTACATGTAATGAACTACAGCGTCTGGTTTTTTGAGAGAGGAGTTCCTGTTCTTCCTAAGTCTACTTACAAGAAGATTTCTGGGTAGAAATGCCCTAATTTATATAGGTCTATCTTTTGGTAATCTACATCTATAGTACTTACTACTAGTACAAGCCATATAAAGCTATACTAGCTTCACGATACTATATAACCAAGTAGAAACTAGAGTATTTAGCTTTTCTTATTTCTTTAAGATAATACTGAAATGTGTTGTAACTAGTAATAGAGAAACGAAATAAGGTGCAAGAAGACATGGGTCAAGTTAAATGAGGTGAATTAAGGTTGATCTTCTCAAGGATTTCCGTGAGGTCGTCTAAATACAAGAAATACGTAAGGTTAGGGTTTGTTGCTAGTCGGCTTGTACACTATGCTTAGTTGTTGTACATGATCGTTTTTGACCAAACGTTCTTGCCCGCCTCGTGTATGATGGCCTAATTTGCAGCACCTCTACTCTGCGCTACACCCCAATTCCTTACTACGATGCAAAATACCCAAAGCAACTGTCGAATCGGACTTTGCTTTAACCGTAATTCCATAATGGAAACTAACAACAGTGCGGTAGGATACACTATAGTTATTATATTTATCATTCTGGGTCCCTATAGATAAAACAACCCTAGTACACATGATCGACGGCGTCTACATCTAACAGCTGCTACGCTACCGAGGAAACTAGTCAACGCAAACATCGGCATGTCACAACCCATCTCAAACGTTTTTTTGTCTTCTTCCCCTTCCCTCATAAGACTTATCCTTATGTCTACTAAATACCTGCTACTGAGCAACAAGGCCTATCACACTCGATCGCTGGCTGCTGCTTGAGGCATTGCGTGGCAGATGCCACAACCTCGACAGAGGTTTGATCGGTGAGAGCTACGAGTTGTGCCTGTACGCCCTGCACAAGCTCGTCGATTACCGAAGAGGCGGCATAGTGCCCGCTGATCATGGCGGCGACAATGCCGCGGAACAGGCCGCAGGCATCTCCCGCTACCCAGGCGGGAGCATCGAGCAGGCGGAGGTTGCTGTCGACCTTGGGGTACCACCCGATGCCCTCGAGGGTGGGCCCGATCAATGTGGCCTCCTCATCGCCTCCCAGATCATCGTACGTCTCTGATAGGCGCCGAAGACCCTCTGTCATCTTGCCAACCAGCTCCGGGCCGTAGATCCCTTCCATGGTCGCTACTGCCTCGGTATCGCCGCGCAGAAGGCCCTGCGCCGAGAGCTGAAAGTGCGCCTCGGGCCGCTCCATGGCACTGAGGACGTGGTCGAGCGACTTGCGGGCCAGCTCCTGGTCCAGGATGCGCGTGTTGAATCCTGAGTTGGACCGACCGGTGGGCGGGCAGTCAGAACGACCGGAGACAGTCCATAGTCCATTGGTCTCAGTCAGACAGGTCTCGCCCTCACGGCAGACGCAAAAGGTGCGCCACTCGACGCTGCCGTCACTCTCCCGAACACGCAACTTTGGGTCGAGCTGGGGCATATCACGGAAGAATGCCCGGTCGCTACGCTGCTGGATGCGAAAGCCAACTTCGAGGCGGTGGAACTGGTGGTGTCTCGTCATACGGCGCAGGCTGCCCTCAAGGGGCCCGAAGCGGCCGGTGGTGATGAGAAGGCGGTTCGCGCCAAGGCGCGAGACCTTGCCCGTGGAACGGTCCTCCACCTCGATGCTGAAAGAGTCCGTGGCGGCATCGTACGTGGCGTCCCGAACGGTGCACTCGTTCATGACTGCACCGCCGATATCGCTGACCATCTCGTGTACGAGCTTGAGACGCGCATCGAGCGACAGATAGTCCGAGGGGTAGTCCTTTAGCTTCCACTGCTCGCTCTCCACCATGCCCGCCACCGAGTAGGCGTCGGGGTTGCTGGGGAAGGAGGGTGTTTCCAGACCCGCCTGGTTCAGGACGTTGCACGTCCAATCGTACGCCTCGCGCAGGTCGCTGTCGCGCGGCAGGGACCACAGCTCCGATGCGGAGGGAAAGAAGGAGAACTTTCCGTCAGAGAAGAGGCCGGCACCGCCGTGTCCACGAGTGGCGTCCTCCGGCAGGTATCTATCACGGTCCTGCACGGCCTTGCCGCTGTCGAGGATAGTGAACTGAATACCAGTGCCCTTGAGACGCGCTGCGGCAGCGAGACCCGCCGGTCCCATGCCGATGATGATGATATGAGGACGCCCGATGATGGCCATTTCGATTAATCTTGTTCGATAATGGAGGTTATCGTCACAAAAATGGTGGAAAAGAATAGGATTCTGGATAAAAGGGAGTGAGAGAAGGGTAGAACTTGCAAGTTTGAGTAAGTGATCTGGCAATATTGCTCAGTGGAATTACTGAGGATTTTATATCCATCCGCCCATCCGTCTTGCACTTCTTTGTTCTTTCGTCAAGAAAATCCATCACTGCCTGTCAGTTGAAGTTGTACAGAACGGAGGGGGCGTCTGAGGCCGAAGGAGGGGAGCAATAGCGGCTGCAGCAGCCACAAACAACAATGTTTGTCTAGGGTTATTGCCACTATTGCTTGCCTCGGAAGACGCCATTCAGGATGAGTATGCGGCCCGGTGGATCCATTATCCAATTGGAGTGTCTCAGAAAGTAAGAATTACCTAGGACTACTTAGCACATGCAGTATGAAGTTGGGTTATATGGGCGTCTTACTACTTGGCATCTAAGTGGTACTTGTAGCAATATATAACAGAAACAATAGTCATACTGCAACGCTTGGTTTTGGAACCCTGAAGAAGATGACGATTCTCATGACTTTTGGTATGGGGAGAAACGTGCGGGGTGATTATGTGACAGTGTTGTTTAAGGCAAAGATGAGGATAGAGGATCCCATCGCCCATATGCTGGCGGGTAATATCATTATTCACAAGGCCCAGTCTGTATGTTTCTATCAATATCGCATCATGCTACGGCATAGCTGTTGACCTCTCAGAGCAATGCTGTCGAAAATGGCAACGTCGTTGTGTGCATTCGCCCCAAGTACGCATGTTGACTCTCTGCTGGGGTGAAATAGGACGGATTACTCGGCTTGAACACTTTGGTATTTTGGCGTATTGCTAACACCCAAATCCACTTAAACTTCAACCACTTTCCACCACCTCCCGCTTGAATGGCGGCCAGACGAGGAGGAACAACAATGTACCAATGTCGGATCAACAGTGCACTTTTCGAGGAGTTATAGTGTTACGAACAGTGTCTTAATTCATGGCCTACTTGTCAGGACTTTTCCTCGCCTGCACGCCAACTTCCGCACCACCCTAGTAGCCGTGGCTAATACGGCGGTTTAGTTACAAGACTCCATGGTACTTTGTTTCTATCTAGATATATTCTAGTATGGTGTGCAGTATCGGATATGGTGCTCCTAATGAGCTTGTCCGGCTTTGTTAGAGTACTGTTATGTACCTGTGCGACCTTAAGAGGGATTCACTTGGATACCTACCTATATCAATTGGAACATCGTTACTTAGATCAATCAAAAGTACTAGAGCAATCATTCCATTTTCTTCAAATGCGTTAGTGCAATGCGAACTGAACGACATAGAGTCCTTCAACAAGGATGTTAAGAGATTCAGGTCACTAAAGCCTGCAACAGGCTAGATTAGGCACTGTGGCTGCAACGGTTTCGGCAAATGTAAATCTGTGGAACAAAGCGATGATGTTGGATACATTCCTCAGTGGGAATACCAGTACTCGGGCCGATCAAAAGTGCCAGCACAATCATGCCATTCCACGTGAATGTCTCGCTATAGTTCTAGCTAAGAGACGCAGAAACCTGTAACAAGAACGAAGGGCCAGAATGCCCCAGGGAGATTGTTAAAATCTCCATGTCATTAGAGCCTGTATTTGGCTAGATTAGCAGTTATGGCTGCAGTGAGATTGGCAAACTAGGGAATCTGTAGAACAAAGAGATATATTGACCAACCCACCCTAGTCACGCCTTCTGTAGGTAGAGAAACGCAAGGATCTCTTCGTTGTGCAAGGGTGGCATTTGTAGGAACAGAGAGCCCATAGCCCGCACGAAGTAACTTTCCTACTTCGTAACGAAATGAAAAAGACAAAGAAGAGGGAGAAAAGAGATAAGAGACTACGAGTTTGAGTGCATCTAGCGTCAAACAGTGTAATAGGAGAACTTTTTAGCGGACTCCAACCTCAGAAACAGCTCTCATTCAATATATAAGGCCATATTGAGCGCAGTATTAATTTAGATAGAACTGCATTTTGGACTTGGTGGCAGACTTGGTCCTGAAGATGTGAGCAGTGGGGGGTGAAAGTGGTTGCAGGATATTAATTGTAGTGAGATCTTGGCCTAGGATTTGTTTCTCGGCTTATTCCGCATCCCTTGCCAACTCACTCCATTAAGCTACGACTTGATAGCGACAAGTTAGCGAAGTGAGAAACAACTTCTTATATTTCCTTCGAGGCCAAGCAGTCGAGATGCCTTCCTCTGATTGGTCGAACCGCGAGCTAGGTATCCGGAGGTCACGGCGCCACAGGCTGGCCTGAGGGCCCCGCACGGCAGGATTGTCATATGTCGACGTTAAAAACTAAAAGAAGATATAGGTAATAGAGAGGAAGAGCAGCAAAGATAATGAAGAACACGTCTATGGCAGGGCGATGGAGACGGAACATCTCCGGATCCGCCTCATATTCTTGCTTTAGGACATCCGATAGCACGTACGTATGCGGACAGGTATGTCTGACTAAACTACGTTGAATCTAGCACTTCATACCAGTCCCACACATGCAGTCGCGGGATTGCACTCTGTATTATCGGAAGATCCCTCGCGCACGTATGGCAGCGGGTAGCAATTTCGGGTCGCGCCGCAAGACGTGTTATAAAAGTCTGAGGCAGCTTGGGAAAGGGGTTGCGAAATGACTATTGCAGCGAAAACTAATAGCACAATAGATGAAGGCACAACACCTTACGTGATTAACCGGAGATATTTGCATTGCTCGACAGTTCTAAACATCTCTCGTCACTACTATTTCATCAGCCGTATCGTCCGACTCACGTTTGAGCGCGAGACGCTCGAGAAAACGGGCCTGGTAGTCAAGGCCACCAAGCTTGTCGCCGTCACCAACTCCATCTTCGCCGACGTTGGCAAGCACTACATCACGCTGTTTGTGTTCTGTGAGCCCGTGGACCTGGAAACCGAGCCGCAGATACGTGCCACCCCTCTCCATGCACCGCGGGGGAAATATGCAAGTTTGTTTTCTCGATTTGTCGGCCTGCAGCACCTAATTGGTCAAGGCACATACGCGAACTGATCATTGAAAAGGATCACGAGACCTGCTTTAAGGTGTTCTAGACCGTAATACTCCTTTGTTTGGCTTTCGGCTTGGCGAGGGATCGTATCGTATCTTGCGGTGAGGGTCAGTTGTGACGTTACACGCAGCCCATTCACCTGGTCGTGTCGTTGGTTGAGCAAATACATGCAGTTAGGTGGGTGGTGTTTGTGTGCTGGCAAACTCGACCGGAGAAAAATGGGACGGTTTCCGCAAAAGGTACGGCACAACGGATTACACGCACACTAGGAACAAGGGAGCATCCGGTACTAGCTCAAAATCTAGACTCGCGAAACGACTGACATGGTGTCTATTGTGCTCATTCATTTGTTCTCCTACGTGCCTGACCCAATCATGTTGTGTGATAAACCCAGCCCTCTACCCTATTCCGAACTCGTACCGTTTTTCGGTGGCTGATGTACTACAGACGAAGTCGTTTGTTGTAAGTACGCTAGGCGGAGATTTTTGCTAATGTATTGAATCTCTTCTCTACCTGTTAACCGTACACGAGGCAGAGTTGTGCAAAGTGACCAGGTTTAGAGGGCTTGGCTATAGGCATAGTCGCAGACTGGTAGCGGACAAACTTGCAGAACCCGACATGGATTATTTAGCCCCGGATGGACAAACATTTGTGGGTTGGAGAAGAGATATACCTGTTCAATATCCTGCAGGAGGGCACGGGCGCCATTGAGTATAACATATGCTGCAAAAGCGTCGCCTTTTTTTATCATCCCTCCTCCAGGAAACCCCTCTGACTTGATCGCTTTCTGCTTGGGCGCGATGGGAGAACGGCATCTTCTAGCCGAGACCTGCTCCGAGGAGCTCACTCCTACAGGACCTCACGTCCTTTCCAGAGACACGGATTCAGGCCAGCAGAACATGCAAGAGAAGACAAAGGCCAATTTCCAACATGCCGAGATTCTGGTATCAGAACCCCCGGCCGGCACAGATGGCGCTCCCGGCAGCAGTGATGTGTCGCTTAGCGAGCCAGACCTCATGGCTGTGTACAGCAGGTTTGCGCCGACACAACGCATTGTCATCATCGCCGTCGCGAGCACCATCGGTCTGCTGAGCCCCCTGAGCTCGAATCTGTACACCCCGGCCATCCCGGCCGTCGCGAGGGACCTCAATGTCTCGACTGACGCCATTAACCTGACCATCACCTCATACCTCGTGCTCCAAGGTATCAGTCCCACTCTCTGGAGCGCCATCGGCGACAGCACCGGCCGCCGCCTGCTCTACCTCATCGCCCTCACCATCTACCTGGCCTCGTGTCTAGGCCTTGCCCTGTCCCGCAACTACCCTGCCGTCGTCGCCCTGAGGGCCGTCCAGGCCGTCGGTTCGGCCTCGACGACGGCCATCGGCGCCAGCCTGATAGGCGATCTGATCCACGTCAGCCGCCGCGGCAAGTATATGGGCAACTACAGCGCCTTGGGCGGAGCCGGCACCGCCTTTGGCCCCGTCATCGGCGGCCTGTTCGCCCAGTACACTGGGTGGCGAGGCATGTTCATCTTCCTGGCGTCTCTGGCCGCGTTCCTCCTGCTGTTCACCGTCCTGCTACTCCCCGAGACGAAGCGCGGCATCGTCGACGACGGGTCAATACCCCCGCCGCGGTACCTTCGCGCGCCCCTGAAGTGGCTCGACGCGCCCAAGTCCGGCGACGGGGCGGCCGATGCGAAGGCGGGCGCCAATTTCCGTATCGATATCGGTGCCCCAGTCCGTCTGCTCGTCGAGCCCGAGTGCCTGTGCATCGTCACCTTCACGGGCATCTGCTACACCGTGTGGCAGGTTACCATGGTAGCGACCGCCACCCTCTACGCGGAACGGTACGGTCTGAACGAGATGAGCATCGGCCTCACTTATATCTCCAATGGTGTCGGCTCCCTATGTTGTAGCGTGCTCACGGGGAAGCTTCTGGACCGTGAGTACAAGCACCAACTCAAGAAGGAACAGGCGGTCCAGCGAGCGGCCGCCGACAACGCCGACGGCTCGCCCACCGTCAAAGAAGTACAGCATATCGAGCTCGCACGCATCAAGCCCGTCATCATCCCAACTGTGGCCTACTTGGTGTCTGTTGTCGCCCTCGGCTGGATCATCGAGTTTCATGTCCACATCGCCGCCTCTATCACCATGGCCTTCTTCGTTGGAGGCCTAGACACCATCATTCTGGCCGCCTTCTGTACGCATTCCACCCCCACCCCTCCCCCAAATGTAACATTTTCTGCAAATCGACTCGTGGAGAAGCACCTCTTGGCTAATACGTTACGCGCACCCCTGTAGCAACCCTCATCGTCGACCTGTTCCGAAGTCAGAGCTTCAGCGCTGCAGCCTCGATGAACCTGTCACGTTGTCTCTTGGCTTCGGGTGGAACCGCCGCCATCGGTCCTCTAATTCGCGCCGTCGGCGTTGGCTGGACATTTACGCTCTGTTCCATCGTCGCTCTGGCTTCATGCTCCTTGGCATTGTTGGAGCTGTGGCGGGGCCGACACTGGCGCGCGAAGCGTATGCGGGCGGCTGCGCAGCGGGAGAAAGCGGCTTGACAAACCGAAACCCGACAAAATAGATGACTCAACCTTTCGCGGTCGCCATGTTTTCTCTTTCATGTAGATAACTTGGGGGATAACGCGACAGGAGTAGTGCGGTGCAATCCCCAAGGATGTGCAAGTGAGGGCCGGATGAGTACCGGGCCATCGTAGCTACTTCACGACACCATTGCTTTTCCAGCTTTGAGAGCCTTAGTAATGCTGGATTGTTACGTAGCCCGGTTACAGAGTTCTCATGTCGTTAATTACATTACGGCGTGATGATAAATCTGAATGAACACCGCCCATGCTGAGATGATCGTAGTGGTTTCTTCGACCATAAACCAATGGAAAGCTAGCAATCCCATCCGCTTTCTCATAGTTAAGCTGCGCTGGGTTGTTAATATTAGTATGTATTGCAGATATTAGAAGAATCCAGTTGCGTTGAACATGCTGTACAGCTTGTACCATACGTCTAGAGGGAACCATCCAGTACCGCCACTGTACTTTCCCTGCATAGCTTGGCTCTTGAGGGTTGTCAGACGGCTTTTGGAGCACGGCGTGGATGTGAGTGAAGGCAACGGGACACGATGCGGCGCTCTCTACGTCTCTTCAAGAAACGGCAATTATGATGTCGTTCAGCTTCTGCTTGATAACGGGGCTGATGTGAACGCGGGATACGATAATTCCTGCGCACCTGTTCAGGTGGCCTCAGAACGTTGTCACCTAGCAATTGTGAAGCTTTTGCTTGAACATGGAGCAAAGATTGAGGCAAACAATATGGCGGGTGATAGCCCACTTATTGAAGCCTCACGGAACGGTCGTTTGGATGTTGTTAGATCTCTTCTCAGCTGGGAAGATGGGGTTGACAATGCCAACGCCGGCTCACTGGCTGAGGCTATTCGGGCTGCGTCAGAAGCAGGTCACTATGTGATCGCACAGCTAATTCAGGAAGCCAGACTCTGTACAGCGGCTTCAAGAGATGACTATGATACTGTCAAGGCACTTCTGGACGAAGGTATCGATCCCAACGCAAGTCCGCATGGTGCTGTGGGCAGCGCACTGGAGGCTGCTGTGAGCAAAGAACACACAGAGATCGTCAAACTCCTGCTTGAGAGGGGTGCGGACGTTAGCGCCAGCATTCGTCTCGCAGCCTCTTCCGTTGGAAGTAGCACGTGGTCTGAGAATCTTGAGCTTCGAGATCTCATACTACGACATGATGTTGCGGAGTAATAGTTCTGATGGATTGGTTGGTGTTGGATCGAAGGGTTCATCGGGCAGTATTCTATTTTGGAAAGGCTTCGTTGCACTATTGAATAGTCATAAAACCACACTCTCTTGTTTTCTTGAGGGCCTTTCTTATGTCAGCTTAATACTATCACTCTCTCAGTTGGGATCAACCTTTCTAAAGGCCTCTACAGCGAGACAATACTGTAGTTGGAATTGACAAGCTGAAGAAACCCTGTGATTCAGTTGGTTCCGAGACCCGATGGGGCAGTGTAGAATATAATCTCAGTGCAGTTCGCAATGCATCATGTATCCAAGTGTTGAAGTTGTTAGCGATGTGCGTTTTTATGAAGTACCGGGGGGCTGGGCCAGCGGAAACTGGAAAGCCAGCTATCGATATATTGTGGTGACCCGGAAAGGTCACAGATCGAACAACTAGACATGTCACCACCAGATGGATAGTCACCCTCCTCATCTTTCATTATCGAATATTCTAAGAACCTCGTAGTATTTTATAGGTATTGTGCCTTGATTAGAGCCAAGGAAGGAAAGGATACTGCGTTGCATTGAGTAGCAGCTATTACACTCGTAATCGTCTGTGTTTCAAGCCTAGCAGACGAACTTTGCGGGTTTCATAGTACATCAAAGTGGATCAATATACGGGTCAAACCCGCTACTGTCGCTTTCTCTGTGGCCGCTAAAGTGCTTCTTGTATATCCTCATACGTCTCTTCGATTTCTTCACGACGGGCCCCGGAAGGAAAGAGCAGCTACCGGCAGTAATTTCTGTGATTGGCAGCCGGGCTCGCACCGTTCTTGAGCAGCCGTCTAACGAGCTCTCAGTCCGTGGAGTGGAAATACTGGGATCATGAACCTCAACGCCATGGTACGCATTTCATAGTTTTACTTGAATCGTTTCATATCTTGCGGCGCGAAAGGGGAGGTGGTCCTGCGACATCAGTACGTAGACGGCCAGAATATTGTCAGAAGATGACTTAGAGCCACTTCCTATCACCTTGATGATAGTTGATTCCAAACTCAAACATCTGAACATTGAGAGTCTTGGCCGTTCCTTTGCCTTTGTTCTCATTTAACCGGACGTTTAGCACCCGTCACATCACATTTATCTCGTTTCAATCAAGCCAAGTCTTCTGCTTGCGACGAAGAGCTAAAGCAAGCAGCCTCCCCCCCCCCCCCCTGTTGCCCTTCTTGGTATGATTCTGTTCCGACCTGTTAGGACCTTGGCTTGGGTTCTCTTCACTCAAGGACGAAACACCAGCACACAGAGATTACCGGCTTACCAGAATGGGTCGATGAGCCTGGGAACTATGTCTCTCCTTGCGGTTGATGTGCTTGTGGAGGCACGACGTGAGGTTGAAGGAAGCTTGTTTTGACGCGAAACCTAGGAGCACGACTTGTAATCCCCAGAAATGTCGGCTTCAGCTTAATTACCCATTATTCAGCCATTCAACGCACGTAGATACGTGGGTAAGGGGGTTCAACATGAATAAGTCACACACTCAAAATGACTCGTCTCGTTTCCCCGACTCCCCTAACCCACTTCACGTCCAAAAGATCAAAAGATCGACGAGACCCCCCCGCTACGGCCCTCCACAGGACCAGGGGATGCCCCTCCGCCTCACCCCCCCGCCCACAACTACAGAGTAAAGACGATCGCTGCGGGGTAGCAGTAATGACGTCCCTCCCCCCAATCCCAGTAAGCTTCCAGCGACTCGGCACAGCTGCCCGCCCCATCGTTGGCCTTTGAACCCGGCGTCCGTCGGTTCGCCGTCGCCAGGGTTTGAACCATCTACATTCCCGATTCTTTCCATTTCTCTCTCTCTCTCTCTCTTTACTTTCTATCTAATCAGCAAAGGCCAGGTTAATCAACTTGTCAAATCCCGTCTACCTATCCAGCCAAGACAGACACCTCCCCTGGCCTGTCAGGGTGTCACAGGTACCATCGCCTCGACGCCGGATGCAGGCACACCAAGGACCCCTAAATCCTCGACAACTTCACTTCTTCCCCTCCCTACTTTCCCTCGCATCTGACCAAAAAGCTAACCATCACAACCCCGGCACACAGTCGCCAGAGACTTGAAGAAAAGAAAAGAAAAGAAAGAAAGACCAACCGCAGACACACGCCCACGATGCCTCCCATCCGCCTCGCGACCGCCTCCCCCGCCACCGGCCCCACGACGGCCGCAACCTTGCGCCACATTGCCCTCCTCGCCTCCCGCGCCTCCGCCCACGGCGCCGACCTACTCCTCCTCCCGGAAGCCTATCTCGGCGCCGGCTACCCTCGCGGCGCCTCCTTCGGCTCAAAGATCGGCTCCCGCGCCCCCGAGGGCCGTGACGAGTACCTCGCCTACTTCCGCGCCGCCGTCGACCTCGGTGACACCGTCGGCCACGACGGAGCCGGCGCCGGCGACAGGTGGCTGAGGCGCGAGCTGCCCGCCCAGAACGACTCCGCCAGCACCGCGCCTGACGAGGAGGGGAGGAAGACGCCCGAGAGGGGCGACGGCACGCGCGAGGAACTCGAGGCCGTCGCCAGCCGAACTGGCGTCTTCCTCGTCGTCGGCTGCATCGAGCGCGCCGGCGGCAGCCTATACTGTTCCGTCGTCTACGTCTGCCCTAGACTGGGCGTCATCGGGAAGCGGCGCAAGGTGATGCCCGTACGTCCAACTCAGACCCCCCCCCACCTTTACAACCAGGAACTATTCACCCCTCGCCCGAGATCAGACGTTGACAAACCCCCCAAGACCGCGACGGAGCGTCTCATCTGGGCCCAGGGCTCCCCCGCCACCCTCCGCGCCGTCTCCACCACCATCAAGGGCGTCCGCGTCAACCTCGCCGCCGCCATCTGCTGGGAGAACTACATGCCCCTCCTCCGCCAGGCCCTCTACGCTCAGAACGTCAACCTCTACCTCGCCCCCACCGCCGACGGCCGCGACACCTGGCTCCCGCTCATGCGCACCGTCGCCTGCGAAGGGCGCTGCTTCGTCGTCTCCTCCAACATGGCCGTTAGGCACCCCGGCACCCCGTCCGCGCCCTCCTCCTCCGCCGCGTGCGTCGTCGAGGACGGTTTCGAGATCGCCCTGCCCGGGAAGCCCCCCGCCAAACCCGCCAACGGCACGGCCGCCGGCCCGCCCCCCCGCAGCCGCCGTCGCAAGTCCGTCATCGTCGAGGACGGCAACGAGATCGTCCTCCCGGGCGAGCACGAGCCCCTCCCCGCCAACGGCTACAGCGACGTCGCCGGCTCAAGCGGCGGCACCGACGACACCAAGACCGCCGCCGCCGCCGATTGGGTCTCCCGCGGCGGCTCCTGCATTGTCGGCCCCTTTGGCGACGTCCTCGCCGGGCCCCAGTGGGAGGACGACGAGGGCATCATCTACGCCGACGTCGACTTTGACGACTGCGTCCGCGGCCGGCTCGACATAGACGTCGGCGCCAGCTACTCGCGAAACGACTCGTTCAACTTCTCCGTCAACGGCCTCGACCTCGACCCCTTGCCCTACTACTGAGGGCCGTGGCCGGCGCCCTTCCACACCTCTGCGTTCGCACGCATTGACGCTGGTTGGGATCCTGTGTGCCTTGGTCTAGGTAGCCAGAGTGCTGCGGGCTTGTAAGTGATTGCGTGATTGACGCCCTGAATTCACGATGACTTCCGCCTTCTCTAATTCACCAAGAAAAAGCGTATTCATGACTAGCGAGCACAAATTGTAGCTTCACACTCGTAATGCATGTATTTCAATTCATGTCTGACTCACGCCTTGACTGGCTACGGATGAGCCCCGTGATGATGGTGATGACCATAAAACCCCCGAATCCGAACCCGTATCCCTCCCAGTCCCCCGTGTAATGCCTGCCGAAAACACCGTGCCCCAGTTTCATTAATGCAAGAAAAGGTCGTCGATAGTCTTGGCGCATGCCGTCTCAGCGCTCCTCGTCATTCCTTGCCCGACTCGAGCCCTCGCCTCCGTCCTCAGCATCGTCCTTTTCCGACGCTTCCTGCGGACTAATCAGCGGGCTTGTCACGCCACCGATGCTGCCGTTGATGCTATCCGCCCGCCCGTGTCCCAACATTCCGCTCCGGATGCTCGCTCCGTCTCCGGCACCGCTCTGCTTCGGGTAAGAGCTGGTAGCAGGCGGAATACCAGTGGTCGAGTAGATGCTGGTGCGCTCGGCATTGGCGATGCGTGAGGTGCTTTGATGGAGACCCGGGGTCGTCGGCATGCCGGCGCCCTGATCGATGTTGGCGCTGAGGACGCTAAGGGGGAGGCTCTCCCGGCTGCCACCCCAGAGCGACGAGGGGGCCAAAGCGCGGACCGAAGCGTCCGTGTCAAGCGAACGCCGACGACGACGTTGAGAGGACGACGCCAAGGTGATGATGGATGCATTGTCGGTGAGAAGGTTATTGGCAGTCGCTGTCATATACGTCGTGGGACTGCTAGACCCCGCCGTTATGGGTGCAAGGTGGGCGGGGATGGCGGAGGCGGGCGAGGCTGTAGGAAACGGCTGGTTGAAGTGGATTGACTGGGTGTGACCCTGGTGCGAGGTGTGGTTGCCGTGGTTGATCGCGTTCGTTGGCATATGGGTGCCCCCGTTGTTTGGCGCAACGGACTGGATTGTGGTCAAGGTTGTTGTGAGGGATCGTACAGAGGGCGCGGGCGACGAGAAGGTGCTGTCTCCTCCCCTGCGAGACTCGACGCCGCCAACGGTTCGGCTCGTGCCGGCGACGGAAGGAGGGCCGTGGGACGGGGCTGAATGGGCCCCATCATGGTCCGTTGATATCGTAGGGGCCATAGATCTTGCGCCGGCGGTATTTGGGGCGCGGTCATCATCGGACGACATGCGGGACGACCGTTCGATCGAGGTTGCGCTTCCGCTAAGGGCGGTGGAGAATGAATAGGAGCTGGTCTCAACATCGACATCAACATCGGCATGGCTGGTCGAGCCTACCCGACCCGACTGTGGATAGGGGTTGTTGTTTTTGGAGGCTCGCAATTTGGGGTGGAGTTTGGCCTGCTGGCGCTTGGAAGTAGGGAGTCGGACGCCGGTTCCGTCGCTCGAGGAGGAACCCTTGAAGTTTGTGAGCTTCTTGACCCAGGTAGAGAAGGGGCGGCGGCGGCCCGCACGATCGGGGCGATCTAGCATGGTGTCAGTATCTCTGGGTGGCAAAAAAGGGTGCGGGCGAGATGGGACTCTGCTGAAGAATCGTGTGGTGGGCAAGCAGAAGCGACAGGAATGCGAATACAGGCGAGGAGGAGAAGGGCTGTTAGTTACCATGGGGCTGCAGCGCGGCCTCGGTCGTAGCCATTCGGTAGCCTCGCGATCAGGATAGAAGTAGAGAGGGATTCGTCGGGGCCAGTCGGTGAAAATGTTGCCCAAAGTTGTCCAGCTAAGGGGTTGGCGCGGCGGTGAAAGAACAGGAAAGTAACAAATTCGCCGGAAAGATGGGTTGGACAGGAGAGAGAACAAGCGGAACGACGAAGGCGGCGTTGGAGGGAGCGCGCGCGGGATAGAAGGGAGAGGAGGTCGGTCGGTCAGCGGGTGGGCGGGAAGTCGGATTCGGGCACGAAAGAAAGAGACGTGTGGGGAAAGTCGAGGGAATGTGAGCGCGAAATGTGGCGGTCTAAGACGGTGAGCAGGTAAGCAGTCGGACGGCGACGGGGGGTGGTTGTGGTGAGAAGAGGGAAGAGACGACGGGAATGAGTATTGAAGGAGAAACGAGGGCGCAAGACTGGGAATGGGACTGGGAATGGGAACGGATGGAAGTGGAAGCTGACCGACGGGATGGAACAGCACCCAAGTGAATGTGGATGGCAAGACGCCAGGGCGGATTGGGACGATCGGGGAACGTGGAGCTGGGTGGGCCTAGGCAGAGGGCGGCAGCACTGTCCACTGTCACTGCCATTGTCACTCACTGTCTGGGGCAAGGTTTAGGGGCAAGGCCTAGTCTAATTCTTAGGTACCTATCCGTACACTACACGACCATCAAGTTGCGAGAGGCGCACACGAGTACCCAGGTACTGAGGAGTGCCAGCCGGTTCCAAGTTAGGTAAGCAGCAGGCTTTCAGATTACAGGAGTCGTGTTCATCCAACTTGACATCCACGGGGAAGCGTCCCCCGCCTTTGGACCGTCGATCAGCGAGGCCCCAGTGGCCCCATCCCAAGCCCAATCTTCCTAGAATCCGGGAACGTCTCAGTCTGGTGCCGCCGGCTTGAAGGTGCCCAACTGGTCTCTGAAACTGGTGTGCATCGATCCCCGGCGGAGTGGTCCACCTAGATGCATGAATTATATAGACTACCAGCCTTCCTAGGTACAGCGTCTCGGGACTGGCTGCGGGGTGCGCTGAACCTCGATCGAGTGAGTTCTAGCCATTGGTACCTACCTATCTACCTACCTAGTATCCAGTGTCTCGGTAGGTAGGCCACTTTGTTGCGGATACGTCCGCTCACCTTACTTGACAAAGGTCGCAGTTGGGTGGATTGGAATTGGACTGGACTGATGGGCAAGACCGGGACCAAGGCGGGCTGAAGTCGGCGTGCTTGTAATCAAAGCGCAAAGGCTTTACTAGCCTACCTACTACTAGACACCTTACCTAGGTAGGTGGCCTGCTGGGTTCGGAGTCCATTCAAGCACTTCTGTTACATTGGTATTGTCCCTGCCTTGTCTGATTGCTTACTTAAGTTTTTTTTGCCAATGAGGCTGCATTACGTCATCAACGCCGTGCTACGCAAGCCGCTGTCGTCGTTGTCGTCGTCCTACCCCCGATATGTGATGTCAATTTTCGTCCTCAAAAAGTAGGTACCCAGACGCACGTACACCACTCCGCAACCGAGGCACCAAGACTTTGACCTGGACATCCCGCCCCTTAATGTGCAAGCATCTGGAAAACATCCTGATGCCTGAGTGCGAGGGATGCTGTACGATAGATTTGGGGGGGGAGAATGTGTGTCACATGTAAAACAACACTCAAATCATCTCAGCCACATTGTCCAACTTCAGGCGACAGCTGAAGCCCGACATATACAATGCCCACCTTTCTTTCCATCTTCTCTCTCTCAGTGGTCTATCGATAACCGCTCGCCGCTATTGCATGATCCGGGGTGAAACTTACACCATTCGCATCACCGCCCAGCCACACCCAACCACCTACTACCTAGTTATGTAAAACGCAACAAACGATTGGCAAGCCGCATGTCAAAGCTCTCGGCTCACTTTCTTACGCACTTGCTGCTTCCGGTCCCAGATGAAACTCTCAAGCCACGTGCGCACGTTCGTGTTACTGATAGGCAAGGTTACCTAGAGCTGCCAGTCGGTCACCAGAAGGGACGAGAAGGAGAAGGAGAAGGGGCCGTTTTTCTTATCTAATCTTATCCGGCACTTATCGCCACTTCGACGTCGCCAAGCATTAATCTAACCGCGCGCCACCTCAAATCAGTGTCCCGGACACTGCAAGTGGCAGCCCTAACTAATTAATCGCCATCTACGGATACCTAACCAACCTACCTACCTGCCTACCTTACGGCACAAGGAAGCTTTTATGCAGTAGTTCACGGCCATCTTCGGTGGTTCTCACTCATGCGCCTCGACATGGCTCTCCCATGTCCCAACAACCATCATGTCCATTAAGCCCCTGCCCGAAGACGTCATCCGCCGCATGAGGTCGTCTGCCACCGTGACCTCCATCAACGGTGTTGTCTGCGGCCTCGTCAAGAACTCCTTGGATGCAGGTGCCACCAGACTCAAAATCACCATAGACTATTCCCGTGGCAATTGCATCGTCGAGGACGATGGTTCGGGCATTCTACCCGTCGAATTTCGAGAGACGGGCGGGCTTGGCAGACTGCACCGTGAGTTGGCGGCACCATGTCACCCAGTCGACCCGCATCCGCTAACGCCCACTTAGACACATCCAGACACGCACCTGAATTTGAGTGCCACGGCGTCAACGGCAGCTTCCTCGCCTCGGTAGCTGCTCTATCTCTCTTGACCATCACCTCTCATCACCATCTGCACAACTCGCAAAACTCACTCACCATCCACAATTCGCGTGTCTTGGCCCGTAACATCCCCGCACTGCCAGAACAGCGTCTGGTCGCTTTCAACCATGGCACCCGTGTTACCGTTAGAGACCTTTTCGGCTCCATGGCCGTTCGAGTCAAGCAGAGAGCTGCGGCCTCCGAGAAGGCCGCCATCGACAGGGAATGGGGTCGCTTGGTGCACGATGTCGTTGTCATCCTGTTGGCTTGGCCGTCCGACGTGGCCCTCTTCGTCCGAGACACCGTCAACAGCAACGAGACACACTTTAGGCCCACCGCCACCCCCAGGTCGGAAATATTGACTCGTTCATCACGAATTCTGGCTCAGTCGGGTCTTGTAGACGGCTTGGGCCAAGCGCCCTGGACTCCCATCGGAGCGTCTGTAGGGAAACTGAGCATTCAAGGATGCATATCCTTGAACCCGGCGGCCACCCGGCGAGCTCAGTTCATCAGCTTTGGTATCCACCCTGTGACTAACGAACATGGGACAAAGGTCTTGTACAACGAGGTCAACCGTGTCTTCATCAAATCTGGTTTTACTGAAGAGGAGGAGGTAAAGGAGGATGTGGCCATTTCCAGCGACTCGCCCCTGGCAACATGGGGCGCGTCTTCGGGCAAAATTACCCGGTCAAAGCGTGGTTTGGAACGGTGGCCCATGTTCTACTTCCGAATCAGCTCTACCTCGCGAACACGCCCGCTTCTAAGCTCCTCCATTGAGGATCTTCTTGATGCCCGTAATTGCACCCTTGCCGATATCATCGACCTACTCAAGCTGGTCTGCTACGAGTTCTTGAAAAAACACCACTTTCGTCCACACAAGGTCACCACTTCACTTCGCGGATCTTCGAAACACAAGCAGAAAGATGAGCTCGGCGCAGCGTACTCGCGGGAAGAAGACAACCGGCCATTGGCGGCCTCGTTGCCATCTAGCCGGTCCAACTCTGTCACGCCTATATCGAGATCGCAATCTCCTTTTGATCTGTGGCAACGAGTGAAGGTCGGACGAGTACTGGAAGGCAAGTGGAAATCAGGTACATCGACTCCTACATCATCTGAAGCCTCCCGTGCAAAACCCGTGACGCCTCTTTCGGAGGAGGACTTGGGGGGTTCCGGGGCTTTACAGCCCAGCTTGCGATTTCTTGACGATTCGGGGAATCTGTTGCGCAAACCCTTTGAAGACTTGGATGCGAATTTCGCCTCGAAGGGGAATGAGCCAAGAGAGCGCGGCTGTGTGCGTCCACTGAGCCCCGCCACTGACGATCAGGTCCATTCACACCGTGAAACTTCGGGCCACATAATGGATGGTGGCCAAGTTTCGCCTTTGGAAGAGCCCTTAGGTGCATCCCAAACGCCAAAAGCCATTGACCCAGAGCCTCTCTCCTCATCCCAGTTCTTCGCGGCAAGCCGCAATCAGTCACAGCGGCAGGAACCTAGCGAATGGCTCAAAGGGCTGCTTTCTCAATGGGAAAACCCAGTCTTCCAGCCTGCTGAGCCTCCCGTGCCTCGCCTCAACGAAGGGACAATGGGAGGGCCCCATCGAGTAGCGATGCAATCCCTCGACCTAGACGCCGAGTGCACCCATGGAACCCACACGTCCAACATCAAACTGTCCGGGCGCATATCCAAAGCTGCCCTGGCGGACGCGGAGGTGGTCTCGCAAGTTGACCAGAAGTTCATTCTGGTAAAACTGAGACGAGATCAGGTTTCCGGCAGCGGTCGACCTGACTCGCAATTCAATTCCGTTCTGGTCCTTGTGGATCAGCACGCTGCTGATGAGAGATGCCGACTTGAGTCTTTGATGCGCGACTACTTCCGTCCGGCGAAAGGGTCGGGGGAGGTGATTGCAAAGACAGAAACGCTGCAGAAGCCTTTGCGATTCGAGTTCTCGGCCAAAGAATGCAAAATGCTGCGCAAGTATAATTATCATTTTCGCCGATGGGGTGTATTCTATGAGATAGAGGAGTCCGAGGAGGCTCAGTGGCGGCACAGGAGCAAACAGCTCTCAAAGGTGGACGTAACAGGTCTGCCACCGAGCATTCTCGAGAGGTGCCGGTCAGAGCCGAGATTGCTCGCCGAACTACTTCGTCAGGAGGTATGGAGGGCTGAAGAAGGGGAAGTGCCTCCGGTTCGACCCTTGACCCTCGCCAACGGAGGCCTCGGTCACGATATTGACTGGGTGTCCAACTTTCACGGGTGTCCCCAAGGAATTCTCGCCTTGCTCAACTCGAGATCCTGTCGCAGTAAGTTACCTCCCTCAGGGCCTCTAAGTAATCTCTACTGATCTCGCTAGGCGCCATCATGTTTAATGATGTTCTGTCCAAAGACGAATGCAAGTCTCTTGTTTTGCGTCTCAGTCGATGCTCGTTTCCTTTTCAATGTGCGCATGGGAGACCATCCATGGTACCTCTGGTTGATATGAGAACATTGAATATGAACCATGAATCACACCTAGACAGTTTTGGAAGCCGATTAAAGCAATCCGGCATGACAAAGTAAAACGTAATAACCGGCGTTTGGGATGACAGAGGCTGCTTTAAAGATACCCTACAGGAAATTTGCGTCTATAGAAACATTACTTCTGAAGCCATGGCCCGGCTTAAACGGTGTACACATCGGTATTTCACATGAAGCTAGACACCAAAGTCTTGCTACACATCCCTAAGTAGACATGCTTTGATGGACGAGAAACTACATATCAAGACTTGTGGGCGGAATCTGAAGTGATATGTGGCTGGTGCACCTCTACGCCACTGTGGCGCATATATGCAACTCTAATGTGCTCCATATTGATCGGACATCAGCGGCAGCAACAGCGACGACAGCTCCCAAGCTCCCCACAGCGGCGTCATTGGAGCGCGACGCACCGACGACGTCAATCAACAACCACCACATCGCTGCGCACTCCCTCGCCAAACCCGCCCTTCCCACGACTTGCTGCCGCCAGGAGATGTAGATATGGCCTTTCAGGTGCGTGTGCAATCTGTCACCTCTCTCCCCAAGCGCTTGCCGTACGAAGACTAGTACTGACCGTGGTCCGCAACAGTGGAAGGCATTCGACTTCTTCGACGTCAGCCAGGTCCGACTCGCCGACGACGAGACCCGTCTCTTTTTCGAGAGCAACGAGATCGCCAGCGTCTGCTCCGGCTCGGACAGTCTGTTTCTTGGTAGCTACGATGGATATGTCCGCATTGTCGGGGCGAGCTGGAAGGTGGTGAAGAGCTTTCAGGCCCACGATGTTGGAACGATCACACACATGCGCCAGATTGAGGGGACAAGCTTGCTGGTTACGGTCGCTGTAAGTGTACTCGCAGCTTTCCCAGATTCGCATGTATGGAACTGACGTCCGCGTAGGAAGACCTCAGTAGCGAGCCGGTGCTGAAGATATGGGCTCTGGACAAGCTGATCAAGAAGACGAACATGCCGACTTGCCTGAGCACCCTGAACATCAGTAATGGCAAGAAGCAGTTCCCCGTAAGACCCGTCTCACCCTCGAGTACCGAAGCACATATTAACCTGTTGGCGATGCAGATCTCGGCCATTGACGTCCTTGATAACCTAAGTCAAGTCGCAGTCGGCTTTGCCAACGGCGCCGTAACCCTGATCCGAGGCGACTTGGTCAACGACTTGGGAACCAGACAGAGAACCGTGCACGAATCCGAGGAACCGATTACCGGCGTTGAGTTGATGACCGACTCCCAGGGCCTCACAACCTTGTTCATCTCAACAACAACCCGGATCCTGAAGTTGAGCATCTCCAAGAGGGGCCACAGCTCTCCACCAAAGACTGTCGAGGACATGGGATGTCATGTTGATTGTATGACGGTCGATAAGAAGACTGGAGATGTGGTTGTGGCCAGAGAAGATGCCATCTATACCTACACAATGGAAGGCAGAGGAGTGCCACGCGCGTACGAGTCGGCGAAGCGGTTGGTGTCCATCTACCAGGACTACATCGCCCTGATATGCCCGCCCTCATCCTATACCTCAGACAAGCCGACTGACAACTTGCGCCGTCGCTTCGGTGGCGGTGCCGCGGACGCCCTCTTCAATGCATCCACCTTCGTTCTCCTGGAACCAGATCTCAGAGTTATAGGACACACACAGTCTCTGATTTCCCCGTTCAAAGCCATCTTCCAAATTTGGGGCGATCTCTTTATCCTTACGCAAGATGGCAAGATCAACCGGTACCACGAGAAGTCGTTACAACAGCGTCTCGAGATGCTGTACCAGCGCAATATGTTTCCCTTGGCCATCGAGCTGGCGCAAAAGTCTGGACTCGATGCCACGCAGCAGAGCGGGATTTTCCGACGCTTTGGTGATTACCTGTACCAGAAGGCCGATTATGACGGGGCTATGGTTCAATACATCAAGGCGATTGATACGACGGAGCCATCACAGGTCATCAGAAAGGTAACGTTCATCAACGGAGAGTATCAAAACAGGAAAGACTGACTGGCATGCGCAGTTCCTCGATACCCAACGGATACACAACCTTATCCAGTATTTAGAACAACTGCACGAACACCGCAAGGCGACATCTGATCACACGACGCTCCTTCTCAACTGCTATGCCAAACTCAAGGATATTGACAAGTTGGAAGCATTCATCAAGTCACCCGGTGATTTGAAATTCGATCTGGAAACCGCAATTTCAATGTGTAGGCAAGGAGGCTACTACGATCAAGCAGCCTATCTCGCCAAGAAGCACGGCGAAATTGATCTGGTCGTGGACATCCTGATAGAGGATTCAAAATCGTACAATGAGGCACTTGATTTCATTTGGCACCAAGACCCCGATGTGGTAAGTACACTGCGTTCTATGAGGACTACTGGAAACAATCTGACTTCTCCCAGGCGTACCCTTGTCTTAAGAAATACGCGAGAGTGCTGATCGAAAACTGCCCGAAAGATGCGACGACAGTGTTTGTCGATTACTATACGGGCAAGTATCGACCGAGATTGAATTTGATTCCGATTGAGGACAATGGAGAGACTGTCGCAGTCAGCGGTATGGTTGCTGGTGCAGCAAGCGCGGTTCAGAACCTCTCCAACTTTCTGCCTTTACCGTATATGAACACATCATCTCTTCAAAGCCCTGAGACACCAGGCAACGGGACTATGGCGATCAACGGCGCCACTCAGCTTATCTTAAACCCCGACGACATCCCGGTACCAAAATATACACCGCCGCCTCCGAGGACGGCCTTTTCCTCATTTATAGATCACCCGGATGAGTTCATTGTTTTCCTGGAGGCGTGTTTGGAGGAGAAGGGCCTAAAGGAGAGTGACAGGACAGATTTGTATACCACATTGTTCGAGATGTATCTGCACAAATCGAACGAGAAGAAGGGAGAGCAGCACCGGGAAGAGTGGGAAAACAAGGCCAAGAAGCTCATCGAGGGCGAGGACATTCCCATGGAGAGCTCCAATGTGCTCCTCTTATCGCACTTGTCCGACTTCAAGGACGGCACGACGCTGGTCAAGGAGCAGTCTGGCCTTCTCTTCGACATCTTCCGTTCTTACACATCGGCCAAGGATACCCGCGGAGCCATCAAAGCGCTCCGCAAATACGGGCCTGAGGAGCCCCAACTATACCCGGCCGCCCTAGCGTACCTCACCTCCGACCCGCGAATACTGGAGGAAGCCGGTTCGGAGGAGCTTTCCGCGGTCCTCAACAAGATCGATAAGGACGGCCTAATGGCGCCGCTACAAGTCATACAGACCCTCGTCGGCCAGTCGGGCTCGTCGGGTGGCGTGGCGACCATGGGCATGATCAAGCCCTACCTCCACGAAACGATCGAACGCGAGCGCAAGGAGATCGCGGCCAACCGGCGGCGCATCTCGGCGTTCCGTAGCGAAACGGAGCAGAAGCGGGCGGAGCTGGCCGACCTCGGCTCCAAGCCGGCCGTGTTTCAATCGACGCGGTGCGCCGTCTGCACGGCGCCGCTTGACCTGCCGGCGGTGCACTTCCTCTGCAAGCACAGCTTCCACCAGCGGTGCCTGCGCACCGAGGGCGAGTGCCCGCAGTGCGCCAACGACAACGCGACGATCCGCGCGCTGCGCAAGACGCAGATGGAGACGGCCGGCAAACACGACTTGTTCAAGGCCGAGCTGGAGCGCAGCGAGGACCGGTTCGCCACGATAGCCGAGTGGTTCGGCCGCGGCGTCATGGAGCCGCCCAGTGCCGACACGGCGTAAGCGACATAGGGATGGATGGGAGTTGGAAGTTAAGCTAGGCCAGGCCGATCGCCGGCAGGGTTGTACTGGTTAGCGGGGAACGGGTCTCGGCAGGGTGGAATCGGCGGGAAGAGAGACCGGCCCTTCTGTCTCGACCATCGTTGACGGCTAGGCATGGTGGTAGTGGCGAACATGACGGCGAGGACGATAGAGAAGCCGGGGCTAGTTGTTTCGTCGCGTAATTAATGTCAGCTTCATCTGGGGGAAGGGGGAATGCTTAGTCCAACGGAACCCTGTTAGAATGAGAGGGAAAATACCATATTCCTTTTTTTGTTATTTCATCTTCCCGTTTTGATTCTGCCCAGCTTCCCTATCCCCCCAATCGGCGTCCATCCTTTTTGACCCAAGGAAAGCTAGCTCTCCCAGCTCCACACAATGGCGTGGACTGCAGGAAACCCGCATGCCGTCGGGCAGAAGCCCGTTCGTTACCCAGGAGGGAGCAAACCCACAGTTCTGTGAGCTCGCACGAGTAGCGGTCACTGCTGGCGGCTCTAGCGGGCCGAAATTCCCTGTTGGCGAGCAAGTCCATGCTCCCGAGACAGGTGCCGAAGCTCTTCTCGGACTCATCGACGCATCCCTGGCCACATACCCCCGCCCCCCCCCCCCCCTCATCCCCTTTTTTCTTCCTACGTTACTAATCCTAGTTACAGGATATATACAACAAGGGGTGTGGTCCTAGCCCGCGATGCCGAGGGAGGGAGCGGATGAGATGGCGAGAATGCATCGGGCCACAGGCTTTGCTGGAGTGGATAGACGTCACGGGTAAGGGAACAAGTCGGGGGGGGGGGGGGGGGGGGGGGGGAGGGTTGACGTTTTGGGTTTTTCGACACGCGACCTCGTTCAACATCCTTTTTTGCCCGGGTCCTAGATTGGGGGGCCCCGTTGATGATACCAGACGGTCCAGACGACCTTTCCCCCCTCCCGCCCTCTTTGCTTGAGTGCCCGTCCGTCCATCTGTAAATGTCAGCAACCGCAAAAGCAATATATAAAATAAAAAAACGACCGTCCTTGGGCCCCTTGTGGAGACCCTCGACGCGGTTCGACAAGGGGAAAGAAAAGTGGCTGTTTTTTTTCCTGTCTGCCAGCAGGAAGAGAGAGGGGGGGGGTCCGGCATCGGCGTTCCCCACCATCCCAACCTTTTCCTTATGTTTACCCGTTGAACCTGGGCCCCCCCTTTGCCAGATTCGACCGCCCGCATCAATTTTCACCTTGCGGGGAAGAAGGAGAGAGAGGAGAGAAGCAGGTAAGGGGGGAGGCGGGAGGGCCGGGGGGGCGTATGTGTTCGTGGCCCAAATCAATGGGTACAGTGAAGAAAAATGTGGCGGGCAAGGGATGTATGTATGTGTGTGTTGTCCGGCCGTGAAGAACGGTGAAGGACCGAACCGGTTAGAGCCCGACCGGGTATGGATGCGGCGCCGGCGCCGGCGGCAGCGGCAGCAGCGACATACGACAGGTCATTCGCTATAGCGCGGGACAGTTGCAGGGGGCATGGCAGGCACGGTTAGCGTGGCAGGCAAGCTCTTGTCCATCAAGCAACATGTGTGTGTGTGTGTGTGTTTTGTATTGTCTCTATTCTTAGACGAAGATTGTCATCTGTCTTTCTCATTCTCCGCGCCCGTCGCTGGTTTGGGCGGGGAATATGGAGCGAGGAAGGGATTTACATGCAGAAATGGTACTAAAAAATGCCTCTCTACTCGCTCCAGGAAGCATCCAAGAAAAAGCGCCGTCGCTCCGGGACTATGACAGAAAAATGATACTCGTCCAACATTACAAAGCAGAAAGCCTTCCCGAAACCTCGCTCTTGATGCTTGAAATTGACAGACTTGTTGGGGCCTTGGGGTCCCCAAAGTTGACCGCGAGAGACTATGACCACCCCCGTTTCCCGCTCGCACTCCGCTTCCCAATCGAAACAAATAAAATATCAGGGGAGGAAGTTCTTTTTGTGAAAGACAATGCGTCCTCCATGACCCCGCCTTGCTACGCAATCATCATCCATCCGGCCCAACGGGCAATCCATCTGCATTCCGCTAGGCGTCCTGGCCCAACGGCCAAGTCCTCATCTATCCGTCCATTCGTGTCCACGTGTAAGTCGTCTCATTCTGCTTAGACGGATCTCTCGCAGTTCGTATGTCGGAGACGCACAATCATCCATTAGAGAAGTGTTCAAACCAAAGCAAAGAGAGATCTTGGCCGCTGAGATGCAGAAAATGACGCGGTCGTCGTTGTCTGGCTCCTTGAAAGGGAACATGCACAACGGTCCGTACACATTACCACCAAAGAATCCGCCGAAGTTTGGCCAATTCTGCTCCATCTTGGTGCTGCTTGACGCTGACCAGGCAAGATCCTTCTCTATAATGTAAATGATATGTGTTTGGGAAATGTCCACAAGGCAAGGCTCCGCATGACAATGTGTGCAATTTTATTGCATGCTGTTCTTTGGGTATGCTTCAAACGAGAAACGAAATCAAATCCAAGAGGGGAGGTTGGTGGGGTTCTGATCGGGAAAACTCAGAAATCGGTTGGCCAAATATATGAATGCTATACCAGCAAGCCAGTATACAGTTTGAAAATGTGTACATGTACTCGTCGTGCAGATACATGACGCTTAGTCGGCGTAGGTGATGACCTCTTCGCCATGAATGACAACTTTCTTGGCTGTCTCGGTGCTGGCAATGCTGACATTTGTGTCGCGCCGCCTCGCGCCAAAGGAAATTCGTTCAACGTGGGCGTTTGTTGACTTCTTCTTCTTCGACTTTGCCATCAACAACCCCTCGTCGCTGTCGCTATCATCGTTGTCACCATCCTCCTGTGCGCGGAGTTCTGGAGTGCGATGGATTGAAGGAGGCGTCTTGTATACAGGACTGGCCGTGATCCGCAGGGGCATCGAACCAGAATCAAATGAAGCATTGTGTTTGTCAAACCGATCCTGCTGCTCGTACTGCTCCAAAGGAAACCCGGCCATCGGCTCCTTGACAAGGGCTGGGGGCGTAAGCGAGTCGGTGGTCTCCAACAGCGTCGGCTTGCTGTTGGCAACACCAGGCTCCACGGGTTCGGCGTCGAGATCGGCCGAGACCGAGCTCGAACCGCTCAGGAGGGCAGGCAGAGAAGGGTCTGACTGAAAGGCGAGCATCTCATCCTTGAAAGGATGGGTGGTAGACGAGATTGGACTGTTGACATCGCTCGGGCTTGTCAAGGGAGAAGCCAGCCCGCCGCCACTGGATGCTGAACGCGAAGATTGTCTTGTTTCCATCGTGTCTTGACGGGAAGGAGGCGGCGTCGTGCCGAATAACTCATCGTCGGGCGAGATGGGGCAGGGGACGTCTGTTGGGTCGATGACTGCAACGTCCGACCTAGAATCGTCCAGAGCTTGCTGGGCAACTTGGAGCTGGTGCTCTTCAATCTGCTTGCGGTGCAGCTCGTCTCTCGCGCGCGCAAACGATTCGGGCGTGGATGTATTGTACTTCCGGGGGGGCGGCGTTCTGGCCTCCGGCACGTCCCGGACGCTTTCAATCCTGTGGGCCGTCTGGGGTCTCTCGTCCAGATCGGTAGTGCCTCTCTGGTTCTCGTAAATGTTGGAGTCCGACTGGGGTTGGCCGTGCTGATAACCGGTGACGGACCGAGCAGAGAAGAAGAGGGGCGAAGGCAAGCCGTTGCTGACCTGCTTCGCCTTGCCCAGGTCGACGGATCGCATGGCCCGGGGCCTGCCGGGGATGCTAGGCATCCGGTGCAGGGTGCCAGGGACGCTCGCGGTCGTCACGCTTACTTGTGCGAGAGCGCGCTTGTCTTGCTCTCTAAAGACGCCACGTTCGGCCGAGCGCGCCCGCAAAGCCTCCTCTGTCAGGGCGTCGTATCCGCGCGTCTGTCGCATGTCCCTGACTGGGTCGGCAAGTGTCTTGTCCGCAAGAGGGGTCGGAGGCACAGTCTTCACCTCGGGCAAGCTCGCCGTTAGAGTCAGAAAGCTGTTGCCATTTGAGGGGCTCTGAGAGTATCGGTACGGCCTCCAGAGTGTTGAATTCCCAGGTATCGTGGACTGGTCCGACGGCGAAGCTGTGCCGCTGTTCGTTCTGGAATCATTGCTGTACTGCAGGGCCTGCAGCAAGGTGGTCCCTGCAGGTGGGGGTACAGCGGTCGCGAGAGGATCGTATGGAGACTCGTACGGGGACGCGGTCTGGCTGTAGACCAATGGATGCTCGGAATTTAGGGCGAAGTCCTTGGCGTTGATAAAGTAGGATTCATCGCTCTTCAAGCTTTTCCGACGGGCTTCACGCGAGTGTGGTGTGGGAGGCACGTTGGACATGCTGTCTCCAGCCGAGCTGGCGGCGCTGCTGGCAGCGCGGCGCCGAGACCGGCTATCGCTCCGATCGCCTAAAGGGTGCATCAGCTTTCCGACGGCCTTCTTTACTGTGGATCGCGCTCGCTCCAGAAAGGCGATGGGAACGACGGCATGGGCGGTCTCCTTGTCGTTGACCTGCACACGCCTGCCCTGGGACGGTCGCGCCGGGTCGGTGTCGTCGATCCAGGTGATGGGGTTCGGGATGCCCTGAACGACCCACGGGTGCCTCTTGATATCCCGCAGACGGATTCGCTTCTCCGGGTTCTTGGTGAACATCTGGCGCAGGAGGTCGTAGAGAAGGTTGTCGATGTCCTCGTAAGCCAGCTCGTTGTCGTCTCTGTAGGGCGGCACGTTATGACGCTTGAAGAGAGACTCCGAGTTGGGGGGCGTGGACGGGTCCACCGGCTTAAGGCGTTTCCGCGGGATGAAGACTTCCTCGGTCGCGATCTTACGGAACATTTGCCATTCGTCTTCGGCCTGGAAAGGGATCCTAGCGTAGATGAGGCAGTAGAGCGTGACGCCCAACGACCAAATGTCAATCATTTCGGAGATTTTTGGCTGTTCCATGCGATCGGCGTCGGTGTAGCACAGTTCAGGTGCGAAGAAAGCCGGCGTGCCGACAGTCTTGGCCAGCTCGAGGTCATCGTCGAAATCCTGGGCCTCCGATTCCGAAACGGTCTCGTCGTCGGGTTCACCATCTCGGATGGGGCGGCCAAAGTACGAAACGCCAAAGTCGGAAATCTTGACTCGGTGGTCTCTCGTCCAAAGCAAGTTGGCGGGCTTGATGTCTCTGTGCACGACACCCTGGTAGTGCAGGTATTCCAAGCCCAAGACAGTGTCTCGGAAGGTGGTTCTCGCCTGCTCAATGGTGAAGCAAGGAACGTATGAAAAGTCTTCAGCAAAGGGGTCGTGCATCCGAGAGTTCCAGTCAACCGAAGACATGTGCGAGATGATGGAATCAGCCATACTGGGTGACCGACCGCGCATGGCGGCGTCTTCCATATAGGCGCCGTACATGGTCCCTTCCAGAGCGGTGGCCGAGCCCGGGTTGCTCCGTAGGGCACCCGGCGTCTCCATGTCGTCAGTCTCGATGATGGCCTCCTGGTCATAGACGGCGGCCTCTCTGATGGACTTGACCGACTGTGACCGTGACGGTGCTCTCGACGTGGCTCGCGAAGCCTGCAGGGAACTCGGCTGGGAAGTTTCGCCTGGAACGTAGGCCAGATTGCTCAAGTCGTCTCTAGATGGGACGCGGGAGTGTGACCCGTTACTAGCGTCATCGTAGACGCCGAATTCATTGCTCCAGAACCCCATGTTGGCCTGGGACATCTTGGCACGCTTCAACTCTCTCAGAGCCAAGCGCCTATCCATGATCAGGTTATACTGCTCCTCCTCGGGTGTGGGCGGTTCGCCGCGGGCTTCTCTCTCGATACGGCGACGCTCGTGGTAGCAGATGTGAGGGAGACCCTTCTTTCTCCAGACGACCTCGCCCAACTCGACATGTTCGAGGATCAAATATATCTTTTTGAGTTCCGGGTCGTCGATGATCTCGAGTAGCGAGACGACGTTGGGGTGTCTCATCTTTTTGAGGATGGCGATTTCCCGCATTGTCTTTTCTTGGGGAGACATGGCCATGACCTTGCCGAGTCGACGCTTCTTGGAGTAGCGCGGAATGATCTTGATGGCAACGTTTTCGCCAGTCTCGAGGTTTCGGGCTAGCTTGACCTTTCCGTGCATACCCCTGCCGATTTCTTCAATGACCTCATACTGATTGATGAGTTTGCGACCGGTGATGCTGTCGGAATCGATCAAGGCTTTGTGTGTCCTATCGTTCGAACATGGTTAGCTTATCAGATGATGGTTCCCTGGTCGCGGGGTTTACGATCAAACGTCCCCATGTCGGGTAAAGCGATGCGCAAGCGCGACCATGAGTGTGGCGTCGACGTAAAAGCAGCATCGCCAGCGGGGTAGGCAGCGTGGACAGAACGGTACAACGGCGAGGGATGGAGGGACTCACTCTCTGACTTTGTGGTTTTGCAATGGGTGCAGGTAGGGGCTCTTCTCGACGCTGGGAGTGTTGGAGTCGGACGAGGGGTAGACCGGAAAGTTCATTTTCGGACGTGGATTCGAGGGGCTGAAGAGACCGGGCGAGGTCATGGGAGTGCTAGCGGAAGACCTCGAAGGCAGCACGTTGGGAGTGGGCTGGACGAGAGACTGCAGGTGAGGGTGGGGATTGTTCCTCTGGTGAGAATGTTGTGGTTCCATGGTTTGCGTGGAAAGGCTGAGGATGGACTGGTCGGGGAAGTCTCAATCGGCGATTCGACATGCTGAGGCGCATGAGAGTACGTAGGACGGGCTCGCACGGCGGCCGAAAAAGCGATAGAGAGACGGCGATGGATCGAAACTCAGGTAGCCATGATAGTGTGCCGCGGGCAAACTCAGGCGAGACGGGTCGGGGAGGACGCAAGAGTCGCCGAAGCAGTTTCGGGGGGCGAAGACGTGGACGTGAAGCGGAAAGTTGCGGTGACGGTGCCGAGGAGGCGGGTTGGTTCGCAGTTGGCAGTTGGCGGTATTTCAAACGATGATGTGTGTGATTGTGCGTCGAAAGAGTTGTCGTCGTTGTCGGGTACGTTGGTCGTTGTCGTCGTAGTCGTCGGTGGAATAAATAGAAGGAGTGCTGGCAGAAGAAAAGGCAAGATTACTGGAGGCGAAAGACGGCGGTGACTGACGGCAAGGTGAGGTATTGACGAGGCGAGATGTGAAGTCAAAAGCGGATGAGAGAGAAGACGGGAGACTGGACCCAGGAGGTTTGAAGGTTGGCAGGCACCAGGTACTTCTGGGGGGAGGGGGGTGATGGGACTAAAAGACAACGAGGGGAGCGACAAGACGAGGGATCTCAGTCTTTTTTGGTGTGTGTGTGTGTGTGTGGGTGGGTGGGTGTATCTGTACGGTATGTGGGCAGTAGGTAGGTGTGGATCAACGATGGTGGGTAGTGGTAGGTGGTGGGTAAGTAATGGTGTGTGCCGGGCAAGGTTGGGAATCGGGAGGGGATGGGAAGAGTGGAGGGGGCAGGGGGGGAGAGGGAGGAGGGGAGGAGGGTAAGGTAGTAGACGGGAGGGGTGGGAAGCAAGAGGCAATAGCGCACAGTACGAGGGTTTTTAGGTAGTGCCAAGCGGGGAGAGTGTGTGTGTGTGTGTGAGAGAGAGTGAGAGTGAGAGAGAATGAGAGTGAGAGTGAGAGAGAGTGAGAGTGAGAGGGAAGAGTGCTGGCCGGCTAGCCGGCGGGCTGGCTGACTGGCTTGATGCGACTGGTTTTGACCGCAGGCGCGTGTGTGCGCGCGCAGGAAAGAGGAAGAGGGATAGATAGGACAGTCCAAGCTGACTGGTGTATTGCTCTTAGGCCTACGGCATCCTCCGCGTGTGAGGTGAGGAATTAATGTATTCCTACTAATTTATTTGATGCTTCTGCGGCTACTACTACTGCTACGGTTACTATTGCTCTTATTGTTACTGTTACCCTGAATGAGGGTCGAGCTGCGGCACCTACCTACGTATGAAATTGGGAATACATGTGAACGCAATCCTTATACCTCTAGCAGAAGGGCAGGTAAGGGAGAAAAACAGCAATACTGCAAATTAATATCAAGATAAATGGTAATACTGTCGTGAATATTACTTGTTGGTGGAGAGAGCGCGAGAGTGTGCATGCACGCATGTATTCGCATATTCAGCAGCGGTAACAGGGACATTGTGGGACGGGACAGGACACAAATACTACACGGGGATGATGGATGCACCTCTGAGGGGGATTGCCAAGAGACGCAGAAACCGTAGACAACAGCGCACAGTGGATTGCATCCTCTTCTTGTCCTTCTCCTTCTTCCTCGGCTTCGTCCTCTTCGTCTTCTTCATCTTCTTCCTCTCCCTCGCATCCTGGTTTTTTTTTTTTTTTTTCACGGCCAAGGCGCAGGATTGAGACGGGATGACGGTAGCCATCGAGAAAGAGGGAAAGAAAAAAAAGAAAAGAAAAAAAAAACACAAAAGGGTCGAGGTGCAGGGCCTGCATGCGGTACGTACATTGCACAGGGGAAAGAGAGAGAGCCACAATCTGGACGGGGTCGCCGGCCTCTTGATTGGTTTCGATAAAGACTGCAGCTATCTCATGTGGGCCCCTTGCTGCATTGAGGCTGGCGTCGTGTCGGTGTGAGGTCAGTGGATAGCGTATCCGCACAGGCTCAACGTCGGAAATTCCAACTCTCTCTCGGGCGAATCCGCTGCGTCCCCTATCTCTTATCTACCAGCACCACAAGGAGCATGTGCAAATCCACACCTGGTCGCACGTACGGCTTAGTGGCACGTCCAGAGAGGTAGGCACTACCTGCGAATACTCTACCTAGGCGGATAGCCGTGGGTGTGTACGGATAGTGAGTGTGTAAAGAGTGTACTCTACAGGAAAAGTACGTACACGGTACATACATCTCGAGATGGGAAGGAAGGCACGTTCACTCTGGATTGGATTGCTCCCTTGCCGGCCTGGCATCTACAGATATCTACGATGTATCTCACTTGAGGCCCCCGAGTGGGTTGTGGGCACAAGTGTCGGAATATACACCCATTTGATCAAAGAAATACCAAATACTGTGCTCAACACAGCACAGCGCAGCATAGCACTGTCCAATGCGTTGACGGCGGATAAATCAGAGGCGGGAAATAATAGCAATACGTACATTCTAATTCTATCCTTTCAATGACACCCACCAGAGTAACCTCATGCTGCAGATGTCATGCAGCAATGTCTGATTCTGCTCCCACTTGCCCTCGTTCCCGTCCCAAAGCACTGAAACAATCAGTTGCTCGTCTCATCATCATTGCCGTCCTCGCCATCACCGTCCGCCATCTACACTATACGGTATCTATCTACCGGTACCTAGGTCGGCAAGTGTCGGAAGCCCCATCCAGCTAAGTACTGCACCATCTGTATGCATGCGAGCGTAGCCGCTCCCCTTTCCGTGTGGCGCTTGCCAGTAAATCAAAAGAGAAGAAAAAAGAGAAAAAAAGAGGGAAAAAAAAGAAGAAGAAAAAGAGAGAGAGATAAAAAAGATCTAAGCATTCGGGCCCAAGACTGGCATGGCAGGTTTGCTTGGGTTCGACCAGACGACACAAACATGTACGAGTAGTGATGCGGAGCCAGCCAGAGAAGGTTGCGTGGCAGCCGCCAGCCAGCAAACACATGGAATTCGACATTCCCATCCACAGAATAATTTTGATTATAATACCGCAAGAGCAGCAGCAGCAGCAGCAGCATCCTCATTGCGGCCGCAATGCTGCGTTATAACGTTTCGGGTTCCCTGCTCCGTCAAAGCCCCCTCCCCTTCCCCATCTCGATCACCTTGAATCGAGGCTGTCCAGCAAGCAGGAAACGAATCCTTGGAACTTGGAACCAGGCACAACGGATGGATCCCAGCAGCCGCACATGCTTCGCACCACTAAGGACATACGTACATGGTACCTACACACTTGTGCTGCACTGTCGCATCACCCGTCTTATTAACTTCTCGCCTACCGTAGCGAGCGGGTGGATGGATACCATGATCCGGTTTCTGAAGCGTTGGGGCCTTGCGATTGTTAAAAAAAATTGAGAGAGAGAGAGAACAACTTGCAACCCTGGAGGGGTTGGCGGGCGAGCAGCAGGCTGTGGTGTCTTGGCCAAGCCCAGGCAAGAACAGCAGAGCAGTGGGCTGGTGGAGCGACTTTGTGCGTTGCCCTACCGTCTTGTCTTGTTCTTCCCGGCAGCACATGGAAGGATGCCGTCGGCGGTAGTGACGATGGCGACGGTGAAGAGCCGGAGGGGGAGGGAGAAGCAAGACAGGCGACAGGGGTGATGGTTGTTGGGCGCCAGTGCTGCGGCTGCCAAAGCGAGCCCATATTCGAAGACGAAGGAAACTACCCGTCCTGCTCCCTGAAAACGCGCCTATCGTGCCAAAGAGTCTCTACGCGTGTATACTTAATACCACGGATACCTACCTACTGCATCATACATGGGTGGGTACGTACCCGCCTATCAAGTAGGTAGAAAAATGAGTGGAATGCACCTCTTGGTACCTACATAGGTACTTGCTAGTAGCAGGCAAGCAGGTACGTATCGACTGCCGTCCGCGCAGATAAGGTACGTAGCCCAAGTGGAACCGCAGGACGGGATCAGGGCAGGGGACATGGACATGGACGGCAGCCACGGAGAAAGAGAAGGAGAGAGACTTCCGGTCAGGTACCTTACCTTATCGCGCCATGATCTGCAACTCGTCATTGGCCCGATGGAGCCTCTCACCTCTTTTCGTGACATGCGACGACGACGGGACAGGTACCCTGTTTTTTATCATGCATTTTATTTTCGTTTTGTGTCCCTCTCACCCTCACCTCGTTCGCTCTTGCCTTGGCTGGACATGAGGCAGAGAGACGTACGATGTAAGTTCCTTCCCACGCCCCGTGTCTGTAGGGGTACTCCGTATCCGTACATGGCACCACCAACAAACCTTCTATTCCACCCCGTTGCTTCTTCCAGCTTCGTGTTGTTGTGTTTGTTTGATTGTTTGGCTTGAGAAACGGCGATAAGGAGAGACCCGAAACACCCAACTGCTTGGGAAATACGGCCCGAGTCAAGTGTGTTGGGCCGCCCGCCGTCCCAAGGATTCATTCGCTCATTCCTCCAACTACTGCGTACCATGGGCATGTAGCTACCTACCTTGCCTACCCAACCTGCATGACCTACTTACCTCTGCTAGCTTCATGACGCACCCGCAGACACGCAAAGTACGGACAGAATCGGACCCTTTCTTCGCAACCAGAGACAACATTCCTCCTTCTCGATACTGGCTGTGACAGACTGCGCCGGTCTGAACAAAGAAACAGCCCATCATCGACCTTCTTTCCACCCCCCTCGACTGTCTCGCGCATGTCTGCACATCCCGTCTGTGACGCGGGCCCCTTCCGACACCCATGACTTGCAACGACACTCTCGGGAACCATACATACACACACACTATCACTTTATTCGTTCCACGCATTCATTCAACACTTTCACGGAACACAGACGCAAACAGACGACCGGAGGACCGACGACCCAACCTGGCCGGAGACCGATCCGGTTTCGGGCCATTGAACATCATCACAGTTATCTGGTGGCAACGACAGGCTTTCTATTCTGTCACCCAGGTTCCGGATGCCTCGCGTTGAGTCCCAACTCGACGTCTTGCCCCCTAGTCTTTTTCAGGTTGACGTCCAACAGTCCATTGATCCATGTCCATTGAGCCCAACTCCCACCCTACACTTTTTACACTACATACCAGCAACGTGCCGTGCGTTCCCACCAATTCCCGCTCTTCTCCACCTCGACCATCCGGGCTACGCATTCGGCATATGCAATTAATTCACTGGGCGTCTTGTACCAGTAATGACGGCGGCGGCGGCGGCGGCGGCAACTAAACTACCCATTTTTTCAAGGACCAGGTCTACCTACCACGCCCAACCAACCCCGCCTTCCTACCATGACCAACAACACAGCACTGCGGCTGGAACCAGATCGTGGTCGATGACCTGCCGACCCGTGCGGATGGCGCAGAGACTCGACAGACCCAGGCCCAGACCTCTTGATGTTTCTTCGTGGTCTGCTGCGTTCGCGAGCCCTTCCAACGCTCCGGCGCCTGGCGACGCACAAAGAGCATATGCACATGTAAAGCGGGCTCGTCCCGTCTTTCTTTATCCGACACGACTTGGATGGCGACGGACGGGGAATCGTCTCTTGTAATCACCGCCCACCAGCTGGTGGCGGCAAGGCTCTGGCAGAATAGAGAGACCTGCTGGCATAAAATTAGAAGACGAGAATGCCTCCTCGCCGCCGCTAAAGCACTCCTTCACGGAACTGCTCTTCGGCACTGGTCCAGTTTCCCTTCTTGGGCGCATGTTTTGCTTGTCGCTAGCTCTGAAGCGCTGCAACGTGCTCAGCTCGACCGAAGAGACACATGCGACGCTGGCTAGCTCCTGGCTTAATCGACGGCATGGACATTGGGAGATGCAGGGTGTCCTTCGCAACCCCCATTGGTCGCCTGGGCCATCGGAGCTGGCCATCGGAGCTGCATGTCTCCTGTCTCTGCATGCTTCCTTTTCCGCTCGACTTGGACGCCACAGTTGAGACCCTAATGCGGCAAGCCCTGGCAATCCCTCAAACCCGGGCTAGCGAAAAGGAATGGCGAGCCATTGCAGACGTATGTCGACCACGCCCGTCGAGCCCATGCATGCCACATGCGCTGGGATATGTCGAGTCCGTGCCTAGCTACGTGAAGGCGACCGACGCCCTTTAATACAGCCCAGCACTTGAGATATCCACGTGGTGCAGGGTGCAGCCAGAGTATGTAGTGTAGGTACACACACTACTGAACTGCTGGACAACGGCTATGCGGGCGTTCCATTCCATCTTCGATCGCACACAATGTCGAGTCGCACGACTGGCTTAGCACTGCTGGCGTCGCTGTCGTTTGACGGCCTGATACCTAACCCCCCCCCCTGCAAACACACCTGGCCTCACCATCTCGAGCCATGTAGTGTGTACTTTGGACAGAGTATGTCTTGAAACGCCTTCTCTGGTGCTTGGGAGCTTCGCGAGAAACGATGATGGCAAGGACATCAGCTTTAGCTTTACCGCAAGGACCCTTGCTGTCACTATATTGGTATCTCAGCCTGTCTTTCCGGCTGGTCTTCCCATGGCCGTTCTTTGGCTAGGCCTGTCTGTGGTCGACCCATTTAGGGTGGTGGTCGAAAAACCTGCCGTCCCCCCCCATCCGTGTCGATATAGGAAGTGATCACCATGACTACACAGGCTGGCCCGTACAAGATCCACCGTCCGTCAGGCCCCAGAGGTGGATGCATCAGTGGATTGACACCATCAATCGATCGATCACGGTCGGCTTTTTCGAACAGTCGATTCAGGATGTACCCTGGCACTGCCTTTGCTGTGTCGCCGCTGAGGAGTGACTCAAGTCCAGAAAACCCAGGCCGGCATCACAACTCTGCGCTGCCGTGGAATCCTCTATTCGGTTTGCACGGCATTATGCCTTTTCAGTGTTTCTGATTTTCCAGGACCATCATCTCCTACGGCCTAAGCCTCGCCAGGCAGCGTGCCCAGATCCCAAATTGATCGTCGTGTAACCGGCCATCACTCACTTCACACACTAATACCCATGCGACCGATGCAACAACGGGAGACCTACAGGTATGTAAACTATGTACGCTACCTACCTACCTACCTACCAACCAACCAATCAACCAATCACCCTTGCCCCAATCCTCCTCCTCCAAGGACGGCTACGGGAGACGTTGTGGGGGCAGCTAGGTCATGGAGCCGCCATGCCATCAACGTTGACGGCCTCGAGTGGAAACACGGACGCTTCATGCTCTCAGTATGGGTCGTCCCTCCGTGGTCACCACGGTGTATGGGTTCTCTTCTTGTTTCCTTGAGGCCCGAATATCTCCACCGTCCAAGCGTAGTATCGGGGAGGGGAGAGGCTAACCCTGGGACAAGGCCTCCCCCCAAAGTACGAGCGATTTCTTACCTAGCCAGACAGGAACAGGACAGACAAAAAGAGAGAGGGAAGGGGGAGGAGGGAGTGAGGTGAGATGGAGCACTGCCAATGGCATGCCAAAGTCCGTTCGTCCGCCTCAAGTAATGGCATCTGCACGCAGATTAGGCGGGTAGCGCTCTCATGCAATGCAGGTCTGGGGAATCATGACACAAAAAGAAACGGCGTCGTCGTCGGTTGGTTTGACAGTCGTCTTTCGGGCCATGACGGAAGCAAGGGAGGAGTGATGAGAGTGCAGGTACCATAAGCCCGGGTCATCCACGGTGTCGGTCAACCAACATGGACGACAATGCAGCACTGACAGGAACGAGAAGCGATCGGAGCTGGGAGCAGCATGTTCCGTCCCGACTGCCCGATCCAGGTTAGCATCATCCCCTCAACGGCCGGTCATATCAGCCTCGGGAAAAGAGAGGGGAGGGTAACACGGAATCTGCGTGCCGTCGGCCGTTCTTCGCTCTCTCCCCTTCATGCCAGAAGAGATGGATGGCGTTCGGGCCGCGGGCCTCAATTGTCCGTCAATCAGCCCGACGTCCACACTTTTTGCATCAGGGCGGGCGCCGACAGCGGCCAGCGGTGCATGTGTGTCCCTGCAGAAACAACAGACCGGCACGTTCACAAGCCCGGCGCTATTCGGCCGGGCCGTGGACAAACGTGGACTTTTTGGCCTTGGGCGAGGGAACGAAGGCCATGCATGCATGAGCGCTTCCGGGATCACCAAAATGTGACGATGTTTCTCCCGGGCTTATCTTCCAATTCGCGACGACCGACTGCAAAAAATTGGAATTGGGGCTTCGTTTTTTCTATTCGTTTCTGCCGGACCGTTTCGGTCTGAACTTTACATGAGATCAGATCGGGGCGCATGCATCGGCGCATACTTGACAAGAGATGCCTCGCGTTTTCCACCTTGGACGGGGGATGCCCCCCCCTTCTCGTCCGCGTCAGGCCTCGTCTATCCCCGGGAGACAGGTCTGCCACGGACCAACGCTTAACGATACCATGGCCTCTCTCTCTCTCTCTCTCTCTCTCTCTCGATCCCTCCTTCACGATGCCGCGATCCCGTCTCTCTGCTGAGATCCCGACGACCCAATGCGAAGCAGTCGTTCCACAAGTCCAATACATGATCTCGTCACAGCGCAATGTCGTCCTCTTGACTCGGCGCATCTGCACGTATCTTTGCCCCAACCGAACGGCCGCCGGCACCGCCTCGCCCCCGACGCTTGTGGCAGGCCCCGTTGCACCCCATCGATTCCGTCGTGGAAACACACGATGTATGCGACGGATACGGCGACTAGTCCACGTAAAGATGCAGCCTTGGGTAAGTAAGTAGCCTCGATCAGCCGGATCCGCCACTAGGTAAATGGATATGGGCCCTTTGCCAATTCCGTAATAGGGTGAAGGAGAAACAGATGGGGTGCATCGTAGGCCTGGACCTGGGCCAGGGCATGAACGACCGATTACAGATACACAGCACACACGGTGTGATACCTGATTAGTTCCGATATGACTGAGCAGGGGGTGGTCAGGATCCAGAAAGGGCCAAATGCCAAATTAGTTTACGAGGGCGGAGGAAGCAGACGGGGGACCCTTTCCCCGCCGCCCCCTCGTCTTCCTTTTTTTCCTCGCTCATTACGGCGTCTCCATAGAAGATTCGCGAGACCCACCGAAGCAAGAGGTGAAGCTCACGATGTTTGCCGCCTGCGACTGTTGCTGCTGCTGCTTCTGCTGCTGCTATTGCTACTACTGCAGTTACTACTGGCTTTCGTATGCGGCTGCTTTCGGATCTTGCTTTGCAACGGATCATGCCCCCCTCGTCGGCACGCACACCGATGGCACGCTTCGCTGCGGTGCACCCGAATGTAACGACGACGTGGCAGGACAACAGGAGGAAGGGGGGTTGGGGCCGGGCACGGAACGGTACATGCAAATCTCACGATGGCTTCGCTTTGGCATTCCTTGCTGGGCGGTGTCCCTCCTCCCCCTCCCCCCCGCCCTCTTGGCCTCCCTTTTGGCCACGGGATGCGTGGTCTGGACGCGCCCAATGGGCCGGTCCAGACTGACGAGCCCTCCCAGCCGTCGGGTTGCGGAGAAAGGGTAGGCCAGGGGTCTTTGTCATGGTTATCGTCGACTCCCCTCTTGGGACTCACTCCATCGTTAATCCGGACCACTGCCGGGTCCGCTTCACAGCATTTTGGCCCGCCCCGGAGGAGCCTGGGTGGGCTAACTAAAGGAGGGAGGGGGTCTAGACGAAAGTGTTTTAAAAAAAGAAAATGAAAAAAGGTAAATTAGAAAGAAAGGTTCACAAGAGAGAGAGAGAGAGAGAGAGAGAGAGAGAAGGAAATAAAGTTCGTGGCCGCTTGTCCGTCCTGCTTTGGTGTTAGTGCCGAGTATCGACCCTTTTTCTGGTATCTTTCTCTCCTCCCCCCTCCGGTTCCCAGGCTTTTTTTGGTTTTTATCTTTTTTTATTAGTTTGCTCGAATCAACGCCATTGTCCCTCTCTTCCGCCCTGTGGGGGGGGGGAAAGGAGGGGGGAAAAAACATGCCTGAGCCGTTCGTGCCTTTGAATCTATTTCGCGCGGCATTCGCTTACTTTTGGTCTTCCCGCCCCAAGCGACGCAGGGTATGATGGCGCAGCCCCCCCCAGTTGTTGTCATTGTCATCGTCATCGTCGTCGTCTCAACGTGCATGAACATGAACCAGCCACGTATTATTCTCTTGTCTGTTTGCAACATTATGGAAGAAGAAGAAGAAAAAAGGGCCAACGCGAGCTAAGACAGACCAACCGGGATACATCGACTCGTCCCCAGTGCCTGACTTGAAAATTCATCGTCACACTACGCAGAATATACGTAGAAGCAGCCTCGCCCCCCCCCGTGCGCTCTCTCTCGCGTCCGGCTGTAAGCGGTTCC